AAATAAATTAAAATTAATTTAATTTAAATTAACGTTAAATTTTATTAATGTAAGTAATAAAAAAATATGTTTAATGTCGATTTTAACGCGTTACTTTTTTAAACATAACTAATAAGTTATTTAATATTATATTAGTTTTAAGTTTTAAAAAAATATTTAAGTTTATTTTAGCATTTATTTTAATATATATTTAATTTTATTAATATAAAATTTTCGGTAATTTTAAATATTAAAATTTTAATTTAATTAAAAAAAACGGCTTATTACGTTAAATTTTAATAAATTATATAAGGAATTATCGTATTTTAACTTTATTATTAGGTAAAGGGGAAATATAGTAATATAATTATAAAGGTATTTAAGTAAATATAGTTATAAAAATAATTATTAAAGGTGAACATAATGTTAATTAATAATTATTAATTTATAGTTATTTTTTTAATTAGTTATTAATTAAATAATATCATTTTTAAAAGCAATTATAATTTTTATATAAAAGTTATATTAAAAGAAATAACCATTTTAAAAATAGTTTTATTTTTTATTATAACGGTTATTAATTAAATAAATATTAAGTTAATAATTATTATCACGTTAATAATTATTACTAAATTTATATTAAAAAAAAGAAAAAAGAAAAAATTATTATAATTTATTAAATATTATTTTAAGGTTTTTAATATTTATTAATTAAAGTTAATTAAATAATAAAAAATTAAATACGAAACGTATATTTAAATAATAAATTTAATTTTTAAGGGAAAAATTAGCCCGTTTTTAAAATATAATTTTAATTTTAATATTTTATAACTTAATTAATTTACGATTAAAATTATTATAATTTATATTATTTAATAAATTTTTCGAATATATTTTAATTAATGTTTCGTTTAAATTTTTATTAATTTAATTCATTATAAAGAAATAGGTTAAAGTTGAGGACGTATAAATTTAATAAAGTTTTCGTTATGTATTTATTAAGTTATCGTTTATATATATAATTATACGGCGATTTATACGCGGGGAAAAGTATTAAAAATGCGTTACGTGATTATACGTACGAAAAAATAAATTTTATACCACGTAAGTAATATTATTTATAATAAATGTTACGATTACGCGTTTAATTAAATAATTAAAATTAATTTATATATATTAATATAATATTTAAAGTTTTTTTATCGTTTTAATATATATAATATTATATAAAATATTATATTTATATTATAATAGTAAAAAATTATGTTTATTATTTTACTTAACTTTATTAACTTTATTAATTTTATAAATTAAAATCACGAAAGTATTTATTAAGTAAGTATTTACGTAATAAAAATAATATTTATATATTTTAAATTTTAAATATTTATTTAAATAATATTATTTATTTATTTATTTTAATTTTATTTTTTCATTTAATTTTAAAATTTAAATAATATTAAATTTATTTATTATAAAGATATATTAAACTTATTAAGTTTATAATTAAGTATAATTTTAAAACTTTTTATTTTTAATTAAATTATATATAAAAACCGTTTTTTTAAAGGATAAATTTTTATTAAAAGGATATAATATTAAAACGATATTAATAATAAAATACTTAAAATAAAACGAGTAATAATATATTCACGAAATGATTTATTAAATTAAAACGTAATTTTAAAATATTTAATAATATATTTAAGAATAATTTTATAAAATAAAATATTTAAAAATAAACTTATTTTTTTTAATATTTAAATATATATTAATAAATTAACGTTTATTAAAAGTTTTTAATATATATTATAACTTATTTTATAAAAAAATTTAATGGATAAAGATAAATTTATTTAATATATTTTTTTAATTAAATTAATATAATTAATTTAAACTTTAAGTATTATTATATTAAATAAAAATAAATATAAACGTAGTTATTATTTATTATTTAATAATATTTTAATTTAAGTATTTATTTACGATATTTATAATATAATTATTTCGAGTTTAAATTTAATTAAGTTTAAAAATAATTACCGTTTTATGTAAAAAAAATATAAGAAACGTTTATTTCGTTATATATAATAATATAATAAAGTTAAAAAAATTAACCGTTTATATAAAAGTTAATTAAATATATAAGGAATATATAAAGAATATATATTTAAATATAATATTAATTTATATATAAAAAAGGTAAGAATATTTTATAACATTTAAAAAATAAAGTAAACTTTATTAAAAAAATTTTTAAATTTTATAACGAAATAAATAAATTAAGTTTATAATTATATATTAATTATATTTATTAATTAATTTATAAATATATTTTAATATAAAAAAATATTATTATTTATATATTTAAGTTAAATTAGGAATATTTTTCGTTATTATTATACTTATCCCGATAATTAATTAAATAATTTTAACCGAATTATTTAAAAAAAAGTTTAAAATTAATATAAAGCGAAAAAAGACTTAAAGTGTTATTATTACGATTCGTCGAATTATATTTACATTTTATAGTTAAACGATTACGGTTTAAATTATTATTAATTTTTTAATTAATTATAATTATAAAGATTAATACTTTTATTATTATTCGAAAATTTTTAATCGTTATTTATTTATTCGAAAAAAGTGTTTTAATTTAACTTTTTATTAAAGTTATTTATATTATTATTAAAAAAATTATTACTAAAAATTATACGGTTATTTTTATTATTTTAAAACATATTTAACTTAATTTTATTTATACGAAGTTTTTAAAAAACCTCGATTTTCTTTTTTTTTCTTTTATAAACGAAAATATGTTTTTTTTTTTAAAACTACTTTTTTACGATTAAAAATAATTCTTAACATTTAATATTTCATTTTTTATTTTTTATTTTTTATTTATTAAAATTAAAACGATATAAATTATTATCATTTATTCTTACGCGATATTAAAAGGATAAAAAGAATTTAACGTGTTTAAATAAGAATATATTTAACTAGAAAAAAAATTAAACGAAAGGAATAAAAATAAATTTACGAGAAACGGTATATATCGAAATATATTATATATTATAATATTATATTATTATTTAAATAATTATTAAAACGCTTTCCCCGTTCGATTTTAAAACATAATAAAATAATTAAAAAAATTTATTATTTTAAAAAATGGAATTATTATACTTTTATTAAATACGTGGCGAGTTTATTTCGATATAAATATAATATTATAAAAGTTTAATTCGTAAAAAGAAACGTTATTAATTATAATAATAAACTTTTTTATATTTTTTAATTTTATTTAATTTTTATTAATTTTCGAAATTATATGCTTCGTTTTTAATCGGTAAAGCGATATGATTTTATATGACGATATAAATTATTTTTAACACCGTTATTATATTTAAATTATTTTTTAAGATTTTTTTATAATTTTAATAGTTTCGACGGGAATTTTTAATGAAAAAAGTTCGGGTAAATAAGGTATCGATTTATTAAAATATATATTATTAAATTTTATTAAATAAAAAAATTAAAGTTTAATATTAACGAATATATTTTTTTTATTTTAATATTTTAATACGATAAAATAATACGTTTTATTTATTAAAATATTATTTTTTAATATTTAAATAAGTTTAACGTTATTATCGTAAATTAAATTTAAATAAAAGCTCGGGTATTTATTAATAACTTTTAAAAATTATTTAATTAATAAGTTATTAATTAATAAAATATTAATTAATAAATTATTTTAAAGTATATAAGTTTTATTAATATTTTTTTTTCGTTAAATATTTTTAATTATAATATATATTAAATTAATTAAGTTATAATAATAATATTACGTTTTAAAATAATTAAACTAAATAAAAATAAAAATTAATATTATTATTTTTACGTTTAAAAAATGTATATATAATAAAGTAAACGTAACTTTATAAATAAAGTTATATATAAATTATACACGTTACGTAATTTACTTATAATTAATATTTTAATAATATAATAAAAATAATAAATAATATTATATTAAATATATTTACGATTAATAATTATAAATTTTAATATTTCGTTTTAATTACGATAACTTAAATAATAAATAAGTAAAAATGTTTTATTTTATTTTATTTACGAAATTATTATCGAAAAAAAAAAAGGTTATTAGTTTTTTTATTATACGTTAAATATTCGAAATTATTCGTAACGTATTATTATTAATAAAAAAACGATATATTCGATAAAATAAAATGAAAATAAAAAGTATAAAATGTTATTATTAATAATACTTAAATAATAAAAATAATTAAGAAATTATTTTATTATAAAAATTAAAATTAAATATGCTTATAATTCGTATTATTTTAAAATATAAGTTTATTAAATTCGATTAAATTATATTATAAACATAAATAAATTTATTTAAATATATATAATCTTTTTATTTATTAATAAAAAATATTCATAAATATATATGCATATAAAGATAATATACTGCTTTTATATATATAAAGTAAAATGATTTAACGGGATGGCGGATCTTACGGTTATCGTCCAACGTATAATCTACCACTACCTCATTAGGCAGGCACCTAGTCTTAGCTTCTAACGTCCTTTTTCATATGTTGCTCTCATGCTTATCAAACCAGTAGAATGATAATGTTGTTAGGTTGAATATTCATATTAAGTTTAGAATAGGATGAATGTTGCGCTTCATCTAAACGCCTCGCTGCCTTGTTACATAATGCTGTTTCATACCTACCTACTACCTAGGAAAGATGATGTGAGTGACACAAAAAAGGGGTTTCCTGGGTTCACACATTACATCACAGGAAGGCTCAGTAGAGCATATAGTGACATTCATCACACCTTGAAATCTAAACGCCATCAACTAAGGTCGGAATCCAAAGTAGCTTCTAGTATAAAAGTCAACTCTCATTGCTCCCACTTTGGATGAGTAAACGACATACTAGGTATCATACTAGACAATACTGCTGATCCAAGTTATCTCCTTCAATATGGCACCGTATCTTGATCTGGGTTTATCACAATCAGGGCGAGATTCTTCGCCTCCCACGGCGAATGGCCATGATAACAGCAAATCACCTGATATTGCTATCGTCGGGTATTCTTTCGAGTTCCCTGAGGCAGACACTGATGATGCCCTCTGGGACATTATGTTATCTGGGCGAACAACCGCCTCCGAGTTCCCCGCAGAAAGACTTTCAGCTCGGAACTATCGTGGCATCGATGAATCTGAAAAAGGAACTGTGAGCGAGAACATGTATTGATATTACCTTTGGATTGAGTCTAACCCTTGCTCAGGTTTACCCCCGGCGGGCTGCGTTCTTGAAAAGAGACCTTGGTGCTTTCGATGCCAATTTCTTTGGTATGACTGCAGAAGAAGCATCGGCAGCAGATCCTCAGCAGCGCATACTCCTTGAGACTACTTATAAGGCGCTTGAAAGTGGTGAGTAAGCCGACCTAGACGGCGCCAAGAGCCTCTACAGCCCTGCACCTCCTTCCATATACCTTTATTACGTATTATTGACAGGGTTTGCAGCGGGAATGCCTATGGAGAGAGTCAGCGGTTCTAGGGCTTCTGTGCACGTCGGAGCCTTTGGTATGGACTACTTGTTAGCCACGGGGAAAGATCCTCAACGTGGTCCTAAGTATGCATCGACGGGGATGGCGCTCAGCATGCTATCCAATAGGATCAGTACATTCTTCAACCTTACCGGCCCTAGTGTTACACTCGATACAGCGTGCTCGAGTAGTCTGGTCGCCTTTGACCTAGCCTGCCGCTCCATCAAGCAAGGTGAATCTAGCATGGTAAGTCTTTACTTCCAACTGTTAAGCAGAATCTCTATTAACGATATGTTACTGTGAAGGGGATCGTTGCTGGCTGTAGCATGCTGCTTACGCCGGATTATTTCCTTAGCTTGTCGAACCTTGGCTTGCTAGGGCCAGATGGGCTTTGCCGCTCGTTTGATAGCAAAGGTAACGGCTACGGTCGCGGAGAGGGTTTCGGAGTCGTTATACTCAAGCCTCTGGATGATGCTATCCGGGACGGTGATACTATCCGTGCCGTAGTTAGGGCGACTGAAACCAACCAAAATGGGCGTACAAGCCTGGCACAACCAGACGAAAACGCACAATTGCAGCTCATTAAGGATACGTATCGGCATGCACGTCTTGATATCTCCCGTACGCGTTACCTCGAGGCACACGGTACAGGGACGGTCGTCGGCGACCCTATTGAAGCAATGGCAGTTGGAAGTGCTTTTGGTCCTAGCCGAAAGGCCGCCGATCCCCTCATTATGTAAGAAAAGATTATCAGTTTTCCTTTAGCTGAGCCGTTGATTCCTAACAAGGCAAATAGGGGGGCCATAAAGGCAAATATTGGACATCTCGAAGGTGCCTCAGGGATTGCGGGAATAATCAAAACCATCTTGGTTTTGGAAGCAGGAATCATTCCTCCGATCGCAGGCCTCCAGGACTTGAATAGCTCGATCGACAGTGAATTCCTGAAACTGAAGGTAAGCTTTATCTGAAGATCCCAGGTAGTGTTAGTCGTTTTTATCTAACATAATCTCAATTTAGTTCCCTCAAACTGCTCAAGCCTGGCCATGTGGTGGGTTGCGACGAGCATCGGTTAACTCCTTTGGCTTTGGGGGAACTAATGCCCACGTAATTCTTGATGATGCCTTCCATTACCTCCAAGAGCACAAGCGGAGCGGGAAACATCGCACTGAACCTGTACCTCGGCGTCTTTTGTCATTAGAAGACGGCGCTAATTTGGAATGGGGTTCAATGAACGGTTCAGCTGAGGATAACACTGCTGTCATACCAGCGCCTACGAGACCAAGGCTTTTCGTGTGGTCAGCGAACAACGAGAACTCCATATCTCAAATGAGAACGCTCTGGCAAGAATACCTAACGCAATTAGGTTCACAGGAGAGTGTAGTGGCCGACCAGTATCTCGATGATCTGGCGCATACACTCTTCCGTAAGCGAAGCCTTCATAACTGGAGGATCGCTGCTGTGGCAGATTCTGTGTCCAGCCTTGCCCAGAAGCTGCTTGATTCCGAACCGCCTACAAAAACAAAACGAAATCCCCATCTGGGGTTTGTTTTTACGGGACAGGGCGCGCAGTGGGCCGGGATGGGCAAGGAGCTCATCATGTTCCCGACCTTCCAGGAAAATATTTTGGAAGCCGGAATATATCTGAAAAGTCTGGGATGTAAATGGGATGTCAGTAGTAAGTGAAATATTCAGCACTCGTGTACATTTGAAGCCCATTCTAATATGATGTTTAGGTGTGCTCTTTGGCGACGACATAAACCGGGCGAGGATTGACGAGCCTCAATTCGCGCAACCACTCTGTACTATTATCCAGGTTGCGCTTGTTAATCTCTTGAGGGTCTTTCGTATCAATCCCTCTGTCGTAGTAGGCCACTCCAGTGGGGAGATTGCCGCCGCGTACGCAATTGGCGCCATCAGTCGGCAGTCAGCCTGGAAGCTAGCGTATTATCGTGGACTCCTCTCGAGCGATATGGCGGCATCTTCGGATTTTCTGCCCCGTGGTTCCATGATGGCCGTTGGTGCATCTGAAACTTCACTTTCCTCATATATAAAAGAGACAGTGTGTATTTCAGATCGCGGCACCTTGGTTGTGGCTTGCGTGAACAGCCCACAGAATGTCACGCTTTCGGGTGACGCAGATCTTATTCAATCTCTTCAAGCTCGATTGGAGCGGGAGGATATATTCAGTAGGAAGCTCAAAATTCCCGTCGCTTATCATAGCCCCCATATGCACCATATCGCGCAGTCATACCGATCGTTAATCGGCACGCTCGACTCTGGAGATTCACCCTGCTATACTAGCATGGTATCATCAGTAACCGGTGACAAAATCTCCAAATCCGAACTTCAAAACAGCGATTATTGGGTGAGAAATCTGGTTTCTAAAGTACGATTTTCGGATGCGATTACCGTTATATGCCGCAACTCAGTTACGAAAACCAGAAACAAACTTGATATGAGCCATCGTGACGTTCTCCCAATCTCCGACCTCATCGAGATTGGTCCACATTCAGCATTGCGGGGACCAATTCGAGAAACGATCGCTAATTGCGGGATACCAGGAATTGAATTGTCGTACATCGCCTCCATGGTGCGCGGCAAGTCGTCTATGATATCTTTGCTAAATGCCGTAGGAAACCTGCACTGCCACGGGTTTGACGTCGACCTAGATAAGATCAATAGTCTTCACGAAGAGTCTCAGATTCCGCGAATATCGCTTCCGACTCTACCAAAATACCCCTTCGACCATTCAAAATCATATTGGAGTGAACCTCCCGTTAGCAAGCACATGCGATTTCCACCCTACCCATATACCGAGTTTTTGGGGGCGCCAGTACCTGACTGGAACCCTCTAGAGCCACGCTGGCGTAATAACTTGAAGATTTCCTCAATTGGGTGGTTAGAAGACCATAAGGTAAATCATCCTCATCCCCAATCTTTGATACAGATGCTAACAAGATAGATTAATGGGGACACCCTATTTCCAGGGGCTGGCATGCTCGTTATGGCGATTGAAGCCGTTACTCGGATTACTACCGGGGGCGAAATCGTTGCGTACGAAATCAGGGACACTGCCTTCATCTCCGCGTTGTCAATCCCGTCGGACGAAGCTGGCGTAGATGTCCAGTTCTGTCTCAAGCCATCCCAAGACACAGCTGCCAAGGGAGGTTCTTGGGCGACATTCTCACTTTTCAAGGTATACAACGACAGCTTCACTGAAATTTGCCGAGGCTCGATAAAAGCCATCCTCAAAAATCAGATTGAGCAAGATCTGGAAGGAGAAGACGATAATCAAACAAGATACGTCGAGAGTCTGATATCGTCGGTCGATGCTTCGCGTTCAATCAACATGCAGGCCACAGAATTCTATACAAAGCTAAGCGACCGCGGGGCTTATTACGGCCCGGCATTCCAGCGCGTTGACAGTATATGGGGTAATGATGAGGGCCTCGCAGCCGGAAACATCTCAGTATACACCCCAGAGATGTTGCTAGCAGGAGGTCCCTTGGTCATTCACCCTTCCACTCTTGATGCCTTATTTCAGATGACTTCTGCGTTAGCACTTGGACGAAGTGATAACTCCAACTCAACATGGGTTCCTTCCTATGTTTCCAGGATGAAGATTGAAAGTTCAGGTCTTTGCGGAGCATCGGAAGGGGAAACCCTCAAAGCGTATTCATCGACTGAGGTCAGAGGTTCTCGATCAACCATATCGTCCGTGCGTGTCATCGACGATCATGCTACATCACAGCTGATACACGCAGAAGGAATAGAATGTCGCATCGTTTCGGACGAAGCGCAAATTGAAACTTCGGCGACGGCAGCATCGAACGTGAGGAGGCTCTGTTACGATCTTCATTGGATGCCAGACCTTTCCTTGCTTGATAACAGGCAAATAGCAGCATATGCCCATGAGCTTCCATCCACAAATCCCGACCCAACCGATTTTCTTCGTACGTTGAAGTTATATATCTTAGCTTCGATTTATAGAGCAGTGAGAACAGTTTCGCCGGACGAGCTCCCCGTGGAACCAGCCCATATACAGAGACAGTACGAATGGTTGTGTATGCAACTTGATGTAGCTGAAGAACGGCTGCCGGCGGGGCTCCCCCAGGACTGGATGAAGTTTACTCGTGACGCGGCCTATCAGAAGTTGTGTGATGATCTCGAAGCCACGGGTAGACTTGGTCAGATCTACGTCCAATTTGGCAAACATGTTGCGGACATATTACGTGGCGATGCGGACCCATTGGAAATACTCGCTCAGGATGACATGCTGAAAGATTATTACGAGCTCTTCCAGCGAGATGCGAAATTCTTTAAGCCTGTCCAGAGATATTTAGACGCGCTAGCACACAAGAACCCGGCCATGAAGATGTTAGAGGTCGGCGCGGGTACCGGAGCCACAACCAAGTATGTCTTAGAAACATTGACTCGGGAATCGTCTCATGGAGTCTTCTGTCGGTTTTCGCAGTACGACTTTACCGATATCTCGCCATCATTCTTAGAAAAGGCTTCAGATGACTTCGTAGGGCTACCAAAGATGAAATTCCGAGTGTTTGATGCCGAGAAGGACACAAGCAGCCAGGGTTACGAAGAAGGTTCTTACGATGTAGTAATAGCTTCGAACGTAAGTCCAGGCCGATGATATGTTGCCGGAGAAAACTACGGGTAAAAATCCGCTAACTCGTCGATTTCAAGGTCCTTCACGCTACGGCGTCGCTCAAAAACACATTGGAAAATATTCGAAAGTTACTGCGAGAGTAAGCGCATCATATCGCATATCACCTGCCACTAGTACCAGCTCTAATTATATTATTAATGTGTAGGGACGGGAAACTGATCATAATCGAGATTACGGATCCAATGTCCATAATTGCCCATTCGATTTTTGGATATCTCCCTGGGTGGTGGCGGAGTATGACATTCCATTGTTTTCGTACTTTTGAGGCTCAAGTAGTTGACTGACGTTTGACATAGGCACGGAACCTTGGAGACAGAAAGGACCTATAAGTAGTCTTACCCAATGGAAGCGAGAGCTCAGAGACACTGGATTTACCGGAATAGATTGGACCTCTGACGACTTTGAGCTGGAGGAGAACCACTTCACGACCTTGATCGTGTCATCCAAGGCGAAGGATCCAGAGTTACCGGAGAATGGCACTTCTATCCATAATAAAACCGTGAGAATAGTTACAGACTGGTCTGAGCCATCCCGCTCCGGCCTATCAGATTTGGCAGCTTCGCGACTCAAGGAACTCGGTGTCCTTGATTTACACGAAGACAGCTTCTGCAAACTTGCCACACAGGATGGGATTGAGGATGACCTTATCCTGGTCATTCAAGAGGGCGATAAGCTTTCACTGGAACACATGGACTCCCAACAGTACGAGTGGCTACACTCAACTCTATGCCGCGCCAACGCAGTTATGTGGCTTGCAGATATATCGAGCGCAGAAGAAACCTTGAGGGCAAGCCTTGTACAGGGATTTGCCCGAGCCCTACGAGAAGAGCGGGTGGGTCTTATTCTAACTGTAGTCACTTTCGATACTTCTTGTCTAGTCAACCTAGCAGAAAGCCTGGATAGGTCCTTGGAAGGATGGTTCGAGTCTATACAATCCGATACTTATGAGCCGGAGCTGGCCCAGGTCGGTCAAAGATTGCAAATTCCTCGGGTCTACGAGTATGATGAGTTAAACCGGAAGATTTTCGAATTCACATCAGATTTCATCGAGCGGCCGATACGATTCAGAGAGCGGAACCTCAAACTTAAGGTGCGCCAGGCCGGATTACTGGAGACTCTTTACTTCGAAGAGACCCCACCACGAGCGCCGCTCGGACCGGGGGAGATCGAAGTTGAGGTGAAAGCAGTCGGCGTAAATTTCAAAGACTGTCTAGTGGCACTTGGTCGCGTTTTTGAGAGTTCAATCGGCGGCGAATGTGCGGGAATTATTGTCGATGTAGGTCCAGGATGCCAGCTCAAGGTCCACGATCGCGTATTCCTATTTGGCCGAGATTCGTTCCAAGGACGGGTGAGAAGCTCGGAGAAACTAGCTGCTAAAATCCCGGACGATATGTCGTACGTTGATGCCAGCGTGTTGCCAACCAACTTCGTTACGGCGTACCATTCTCTAATTACCATGGCGCGGCTTATGCCTGGAGAGTCGGTTTTGATACACTCGGGCGCAGGAGGTACGGGTCAGGCAGCCATCCAAATAGCCAAAAGCTGCGGTGCGAAAATATTCACCACGGTTGGATCAACAAGTAAAAAGGACTTGTTGGTCGAGCTTTACGATATCCCGCCGCAAAATATCCTTAACAGTCGGGATCTCTCCTTCGCCGACGGAATTAAGCGCCTCACTAATGGTATAGGTGTCGATGTGGTCCTCAACTCTCTAGCTGGCGACGCTCTGATCGCTTCGTGGGAGTGCGTTGCCGCACACGGCCGATTCATCGAGATCGGGAAATGGGACATATTTTCGCACAACAAGTTACCCATGTTCCAATTCGCGAATAATGTGTCGTTCAGCGCCGTAGATGTTGGTACGCTAGGCCAGCAGAAACCCGAGCTAATCGAGCGGACGATGAACGCCATCGTAGACCTTGTTAGAGAGAAGGCAATTCATCTACCCTTCCCGCTAAAAACATTCCGCATCTCCGAGGTCGAATTGGCTTTCAGGTACCTCCAAAGCGGATCGAACGCCGGAAAGGTAGCGATTGAGGTCGACCCAGATGAAATTGTGCCGGTAAGTATACCTAGTAGCGAGCACTCAATCCCCCACTCTCTTCTCAATCATGATCGTTTGGATTATCGCAGTCATACTATCATAATTATCTGACAGATATTAAATAGGCTTTCATTAACCCGCGGCCCGATTGGACTTTCAGTCCAGATGAAACGTTCGTTATTGCTGGTGGCCTCGGAGGTCAGGGCCGAAGCATCGCGAGGTGGATGGCTTCGAAAGGGGCCAAGAACTTAGTTATACTTTCTCGATCCGGAGCGCAGGCCGATACGGCAATATCGTTAGTGGACGATCTGCGAAGCAAGGGCGTAAATGTGTGCTGCTCTCCTTGCAATATCGCCGATGCCTCTTCCCTACGAGCAGTACTAGAGCATTGCAAATCAAATATGCCCCCAATTAAAGGCTGCATCCAAGCTGCGATGGATGTCCAGGTAAGACCCATGCAAGAATTAGAGAAAACAAAGAAGAGGAACTCGTATACTAAGCTGCACTATAGGATTCGTTGTTCGAGAGAATGAGCCATAGTCAATGGCATGCGTCGCTCCAACCTAAAGTGCCAGGGACGTGGAATTTGCACCAGCAATTGCCGAGGAACCTTGACTTCTTCATTATGTTCTCGTCAGTGGCTGGCATCATCGGCGCAACAGGGCAGTCTAATTACGCAGCTGGTAACGTGTTCCAGGATGAACTCGCCAAGTTCCGACTTGCACGGGGCGAGGCAGCGATATCATTGGACCTGAGCACGCTCGTCGATGACGGGTGGGCTTCAGAGAATAAGGAATGGTTAAAGCAGTATGTCAACATCAAGCAATTGATGCTAATGTACCGCCCTGAGGTGTATGCGTTGCTAGACCAGTATTGCAACAGAGACAATGTTATCGTTAATGGGGAGCAGCGCTCGCAAGTGGTCATAGGACTCGAGATTCCTGCCGAGGTGGTTGCCCGTGGTATAGAGTGGGCTGACTGGATGAAGGACCCAATGTTCGCTAATCTTCACCAACTACCAGTATCGGTCAATGCGCAGCAGGGCGACAGTAAGCCGGGCGATGGCGGTCCAGATCTAGTCACGCAGGTCATGCAGGCGACATCCCTAGCCGAAGCGGTTGAGGCGGTGGCTCGGGGATTCATAGCTAAGCTTGGACGGATCCTATCAACCGAGCCGGGCATGTTGGACAAAATGCAGCCTTTACACACATATGGAGTGGATTCCCTCATTGCGGTGGAGCTGCGCAACTGGTTCATGAAAACTGCTAAGGTGGATGTGTCGGTATTTCAGATATTGAGCGGTTCGTCGGCAATGGAGCTCGGGCAATCGGTGGCAGAGAAGATGCGGAGTTGGGAATAATCACATCAGTCGAATAGCAGAAAACGATGAAATGTTGTATTCTAGAAGTGGAATTTGGACCACAAGTCCAATTGAAATATCTCTCACAGTGTGCAACGCACTTACCTCACAAGTAAACCCCAAACGCTTTGGCCAGTACAATAGGTACACATTAGTGGGGAACCCCCTACTTCTAGCGACAATTCAAACGCAATTCCCATCACTAGAAGGTCCAAGTGTCCAAACGGTCTTCTTCATTTAACGAATCCTTATACCTACCTTGACCTAAAGACTATGGTTTGTCAATGGAATCTAGTATTGCAATGCGATCTATATGCTTATCAAGAAAAGTAGGTAGGTACCCAATAGTCCGGTTGCAGATAAAAACCCCAAGGCATTCACGAACAGGCTCGATCGTCTTTCTGAAGTATGCGCGGGCGGCAAGCAAGGGAATCGCCCCGCAGTAGGCTGACACGCAGACACGCCTCTCTCTCAACTATGAGTGTGTAACAAGGCAGAGTGATACTAGTAAAATTTACTGCCGCACGCTGTATCACTCTACTCAATCTCGTATTGAAGAGTTCGAGTTTAAAAAACTTGCTAAGGGATGGAAGGAACAAGCCACAATAGTGAACACGTCAGTTAATACGCAACTAGGCATTTTCAGCGACATTAACACCAACCCAGATGTATCTTATCCCGCATACCGGACTGCATGTGCGATCCACTCCGCCGCCGAAGAGGGAACCCACTACCCGGAACCTAAAGACGACACTCAAGTGACTCCACTTGGCTAGCTTCCGGTTCCAGGTCTTGTATTACATTTCGTAGGAAGGTGCTAGGTACGTCGGATCGCTTTTTAGACTTCTAACGTATTTTCGGAGTATGGTGTCATCAAATAGATAATGCTAATTACAACAATACATCGATAAATTCGAAGAATTCATAATGACTTCAATCTGTGTGATTTACTTTTCTATGGCTTCGCAGTGTAACTTGAGAAAGGACGTACAGATCAGGTACCCAGGTACACAGCTATCAGCATCGGTTGCCTTTCTAACCCTTTACGGAATCGGATTTCGATTCCGATCCTTCCTACGCTTCTAATTTAGAGTCAGGGTGGACAGTCAGCCGCAGAGGCAGAGGCGCTTATCTCTACTAGTTGCCTGCGTCGCGTCGTTGCCGGAGAGCAACGCAATCCAATGCTCCAACTCTATCTATTTCTCACGAAGCCAACATATCGTACCATTATGCCAAATAATACTAAAAATCCGACAAATATCCATCTCAGCTCCGGCACTTCGACTGGATGGCATTTTCGTCATACGAGGATATTCTCAAGGAGTTACACAAGCAGATCTATGCGAAGCTTGAGAGACGCGAAATTACCGAGCTGCGCTTTGCGAAGGTTGGAACCGCCTGCGAAGTACTCCACCCAACCATCTTAAATCACTTGTACCTTAGCGTTGTGCCTCAGCACATATCCACAGAAGAGTACTTCGGCATTGGTATAACTGCAGAGACACTTGTCTCTCGGACTGAAGAACGATGCCTCCATGATTTTCTAGCTACTTTAATTTATGCGCGCTGTAGCATAGAAGCGGCCAGGCATTTTATCACTACTCTTCTTCTTTGCCCCCCTTCCGCTTGGCCAAAGTATTGCGATGGGGGGCGCAGACTCGACGAACTACCAGCAAACCGCTTACAGCTTCAGCAAGTATTCGGTATTGACAGCGATCCTGATACCAACAGTTTCATCGACACCCAACCCTGTTTTTGTCCCATCGTTCTCTTACAAGGTGAGGATGTTCAAGTACCTGAAGGCGGGAGGCAAAGGCTCCCCTACTTATCTAAGGATAAGCTACTTGGAGAAGGGGCTTATGGCCAAGTATACAGCGTTAAAGTCGCTGCGGGACATTTGAGAGATAACCATTCTTCGATGGCAAATACGAAGCCTATCTTGATAGCCCGAAAAGACTTCAAGAAAAGTGATGGGTTTCAGAAAGAGTACGACAATATGAAACGGATCTTATACACGACTCGGAAATGCGACAATATCCTCGAGACATTGGGTAGTCTTCAACGTGGTGGGAACACCTTCAGCTTATTCATGCCTCTGGCAGAGTGCGACCTTGGGAAATGGATGAAGATGAATTTGCCGCCCACCCATGATTTGAAAAAAGCTGAATTTCTCCAATGCGCGTCGGGACTTGCAGATGGTTTAGAGTTCCTTCATTCAGAAATTAAGGATGAAAACCACAACCGGATGATCTGTTACCATATGGATCTAAAGCCGGCGAACATTCTGGTTTTTCGTCACGAGAGGGAGCCTGATAAGCTCATATGGAAGATCAGCGACTTCGGCATGTCGCGCGTTAAGTTTCTGCGTCATAACACCAATGCCGATTACAGGGATATCAGTATCGCCTTTCAGAAGAGGGAAGAAACAATCGTGTCAGGGACGGAGAATCAACGAGCTGAGGGCACCTTCCTTGCGCCAGAGTCGAGTGTTTCATTGCGGAAAATGAATGAGAAAAGCGATGTCTGGTCATTAGGGTGTGTTGTGAGTGTCATACTCACATATCTTGATGAGGGGCAAGGTGGCATTGACAGATACTCGGATGATCGCTGTGATCGCTCCAAGCAGCAAGGAGCGGGAAGTGGTGATTTTTTCTTCATCCATCATAACAATTTCGGGAAAAAAGCCAAAGTTAACCCGGCTGTCAAAGACTGCCATAAGCGCCTTATCAAACAAGCTAAGCTCAGAAGTTCAGCTGAAGGAGACGTGGTGGCGGACTTATTGAAACATATTGAAGAAGACATCTTGCAACTAGACCCGAGTCGAAGGGATTCCGCAAAATCGATCAGCGATAAGCTTCTCAAAGCCTCCGGTGCTTACCTGAAGCCAAAAATGGATGCGGAGAGTGATGAGGAACGTGGAGCTCTATATATGATAAGCAAGTTCATGAAGCCGTTTAAACAAAGACTCTCTCATCGGTGAGCCCAGGATTTCTTTTTGAAAATTTCCTTCATCGCTGACGATTCATCAGGGGGGAATTAGACGGGGCCCAAATTAGAAGTTGGCCACTCGCAGATGCAAGAGCTTTTGTTGGGTGCTCTATCTCACATAGCGGCGTCGTTATAGCCTATTGGTCGAGGGAATGGATCAACCTATATAACGCGCAATCATTCTTGCCCTATAATGGAAAGGAGATTAATAAGGTTGCCGAGCATAAGCTTCGAGATTTTGGTGAATGGAAAAACGTGAGACTCACTGAGAAATACCTTATTGCTTCGACAACGGGGCCTCGACCTCATGTACGTCAGTTTCTACTCTTCTGATACCTACCCTAGAACATAAGTCTAACGAATTGCCAGTTTTACCTATTCAATTTGGACAGATACGATAGGTCGGGGTTGTGGTTCGACAGAGAATACGAAATCGTACTTCCAACATCGAGCGAAAGTGGGGTTTATCATATAGCCATCTCACCAGGCGGCAAAACAATCGCCTGTGTGACTCCTCAGGACGAAAACACGTCTTACGTCTGCTATGCCGACATCGCAAGTCTCCTCCAAAGTGGAAGCCAAGCGTACGAATATCCTCTGTAACTTAATTGATGAGCGAATGGTCGCTTACGTTGATATAGGACAAATTCTGAGACGACATCAACCTCAAGTGATGAACTACAACATAAAGTCGGTCACAAGAACCTTTGGCATCAATTTTCCGTCAACGCTCCAGAAAGAAACGTGACACATTTGCTATTTCCCTCGGATGACTATCTCTGTGTGGTCGCTCAGCCAGAGATAGATAAACAACATAATGTCCGGATTTCATGTTTAACATTATTCTCCGGAGCCGTTGTGACTTTACTACTAGAAAACCCCCTTAACAAAACGCCTGAAGTAAGTTTCTAAGAGGGACCTTGAAACTTCATTGACTAATTCAGCGAAGAATTTCGACAGTGGCAACTCAGGACGCCTATTCACGACGTTGGCAAATTTAGATGACAAGCCGACGTTTATTATTGTTCGCTATGGAAACCAACTACTTATTCGAAGCTTCGAGATTACGAATGATTACAACGTCAATACGAACACGATTCTTCAGAACTATTCCATCGCCGAGCTATTCGTGGATAAACAACGATCAAGACTATTTGCTCTGGGCAGAAAAACGGGAAAACATATGATGCTATTGTTAGAACTGCCCATTTCTCGCTCGGGTCGCATAGAGAAGCCCCGGGAGATCAAAGAACTAACATATCTCCATTATGGCGACAAGTTCTCTGCTAGGCTTCTCAACAGTGAAGACATACCCTCTATCCAAGGGTCAGGGGAGCTTGGGGAAACGAATGAGGGCGGGGCTATTATTATATCATCTTATGCTAAAACTTTTACCACGATATATTGGATCAATCTCCCTAGGTAATTATCGATAGGAAACAGCACTTTTACATAAAAACGAGTCTATCTACCTATCAAGGTACCAGCTGCTTTTTATTTTTTTAAGCCGGAACGCCTTCGGACTTCTCTGTGGATCCCTTCATGGACAAAGTGCGCCGGGCCAGTGTCCCCAAATCTATGACATTGCCTCTAGGTATCTTTGGTGACATTCTCTTAACTATCGGGCCGTCATGGTGTATGACCCAGTAGTAGATCGAAAAGGTAAGTATGGTTAGTAAAACGGAGGAAAGAACATATATCCAAATTGACGGAGTGCCAATAAGTTTTCCTGTTTGATCGTCGTAATTAAAGAAGTTCATACCGAAAAATGTCTGTAAGCTTGTAAGTTGGTAACATTCACGAGATCTGATTGCGGGGGTTATGTTCCATACTCACGGCCACGAACGAAGCAGGTAGATATAGAAGTGTCAATGTTGTTAGGAACACGGCTGATTTGTTGAGTCGTAGCATATTGCCGTTCTGTTGTTTGGCTAGAAGTTGGTCGTGACAAGACAGAGTGTTTGTCAAAAGCTGTGTGGTAGTATGTGCTCGCTTTTGCAAGAGCGTCGAAGTGCGATTATGAGCTACGACTTGACGACGATGATTATCAAGCTCCCCTACCGTCCGAATGTTCTGATTCTCATGGCCTAGTATTGACGAGAGCTCACGCAACACTTCTTCTCCATGGGATAAGAAAGTTGACGCCTGGGCGAACTGGCTATCAAGGCTTGCCAAAGCGCTTAGGTTATCGTATCCTACGCGCAGAGGTTCATCGATGAAGGTAGAAAACGTAGAGCTTGTCTACATCCAGGTATCAGCTTATCTTATATCCCCCAGGCATAACAGCCTTAGAATATGTCAAGGATAAACTCACTATAGGTAACAGTTTCGCTTCTAGAGAAGCGATATATTTTCTGAATGCGGGGAAATACGCCCCGAATAAGATTTCGTGGATATGACATGGATCGAAGTCGGTGCTAAGCAGGTAATCTTCTATCTTCTGATGCGCTGTAGAATTTGGTGTTGGACTAAACAATACGGATACTGTTTGAGAGGTAGTCGCGTCATGTCGATAATAAAGACCACTTTGACGAATAACCCACTGTTCCCCACTAGGTTTCAACTCAGGATAGCGGATCGTATATCCAATCTCTTTAAGTCTAATTAGCGAAGCAATTCTCTTCGAAAAGTTTCAGACCTTGATGCCTACCAGTTAAGGATCCATTCCTAATCACGGTGACAGGGAGGCAATGGTTAATTTCCACCTCCTTGTTCCGATAATAAAAGCATGACGGAAGATCCCAGAACGAGCTATTTATGTTATGCGTAGACACAAACAGGTCGAGCAACTCCTTAGTAGTCTGTAAAGGGCTCCATGACGTCTTTTGACATATGGATCTAATAGAAGTTAGAAAGAACCCCAAGATTACACATAACTAGAAGACTCCTAAGTCACGTACAGGTGACGATGTGAGTAGTGACTTGGCTTGGTAGTGCGTAGATGTGCCTCAATTTCATGTACAGTGTATAATTGGCGCCGAGACTGTACTCCCTTGTTCTGATTCTGCAGCAACACGTCTATGAGCTTAATGGGCCCAGTAGCTTCGTCAACAAAACATCTACTACTGGTAAGTTGTGTCATTCTTTTCGTGTGAAGAACCGATTCGTAGGTCATAGATCAGTCAATAGAACATTAGATGTTTTATATTTAACTACCCAGCTCCTATGTACCTAGGTAGGTCCTAAGTAAGTGTCAATTAGAGATGTGCGGCACTATAAGCCCCCTACGAAACCCCTTTCAGCTCCCCACCTAGTCCGCCACGGCTTATCTACTTCGGAGATACCGCTGCACTGCCTTCGTAATATGCGCCACGGTCGGTCAAAGGTTACAGTGTAGCTTAGGCATTATCTCTGATCGCGCTGGTTTCGTTAGGCATCTTGGTGAAGAATTGTAGCGAATTGGATGTCTTACTCTAGTTCATCCTTTCGAGTCGGTATCAGCCTTAAGGTTATTCCAAAGAAGCGCATTGTCAGCAGAACTCACCTCACTAACTTGGGTAGGAACAGTAAAACACCACTGATCATCTCTCAGCTATAGCAGTTAGTCTGGGTAACTTGACCTCAATGGGCACACTTCTATATTCATTACGTACTCGGATATTAAAATCAGCCTGCCCTGGAAACAGCCTTTGAAGTAGTGCCTGCAAGCTTTTCTCTTTGAGGTACCGGGAATGGATGTTTTGTGTCACCGCCATTGTATCACTGATAAGGATCTAGGTGTAGAGCGACGAGAAGCTATTTCATTATTTAGGTAGGTAGGTAGGGTAAATGATGATGGGTCTTCAGAAACGCGTTCTGCGATTTCAGAGATGAATTGGCAGGAATAAGTATTATTGTCATTTAGTAGGTGGCTAGTTAGGCACCTACAGGAGACAGGTAGGCAACATCTACCTCTAGATTCTGACCGGATGAGGCGGCTGAGACAATGAGACATCTCGAAACTTGTTTCCTCGTGCATACCTACCTAGCAGCCTAGGTAGCACCAAATGAATAGTACCGGTTCACCGAGATAAGTGTTAAATGCTCCAACCATTGGTTATTGTTTATATTATCAGGAGCCCGTGGCGCAGCGGCGATCATTCAGCCCCCAATGATATGATAGCAGACACAAACCCGATATATCTTTTTACCTAGAATCTTCGCATCATTCGTTACTTGACATACCTACCTACCTATCTTCCTTGCATCAGTTTTATCCTAGTTTCATAGGTAACCCAACAACAAAGGTCAAGGTCGTCGATTCGCAACAGCCCCTATTAGGTTTCCGAGAGAATTAATTCCTTCTTACCTACCCACCTGATATCCAAGAATCGATCTAGGCTACCTACCTAGGTACCTAGTACCTATGGATCTGGATTCGCGCTCAGACCCTAGTTTGCTAGGTGCCACCCATCTTCAAGGCGTGGACAATGTTGATAGGAATCACAGACATACCTATCATGAAATATCTGCAGTTCAACCAGAAACAATGAAGAGGAGGATGGCACATAGAAAGTTACGCTCTATTCATATATTCGTCAGTATATCCCTTTGAATATCTGTTACATACCCCAGTAAGTAGAATCTGACGACCGGTAGATGATTACTATCAACGCAACCCTTGGAACTGGGCTTTACTGGCGTGGCGGCCAGGTATTAGAAGTGGGTGGATCATTGGCCGTCATCCTATCATTCTTACTTCTAGGCATACTGGCTTGGGTGGTAATGCAATGTATTGCCGAACTGCTCTGCATTTGGCCGGTTCCCGGGGCTCTGGCCGTCTTCGTCCGTAATTACGTAGATGACGAGCTAGGAATTGTGGTAGGCATAGCATATTGGTCTGTCAAGATGAGCTCAATACAGGGTACTATTACTGATGATATAACATACCTAGGTTCACCTACTCAGTCTCGTATGCATATCTGATATCAGCTACTGCATCTGAGGTGCATTACTGGATGAACCCGGCTAATTCTGAATTCGATGGAACGGTGCTGTACTTGATCATACCATTAATCCTCATCCTGATCAATTCTTTTGGGGTAGAGGTAAAGTCGCTCTTCTTAATAAAATATACATGAGAATATCGCTGACTGGTCCTGAAGCTATACGGATGGTTCGAGGTGGCCACTGGCGTGGTTAAGATAAGTTGCCTTTTTATAATTATCATCTCGATGATAGTGTTTGGTAAGCCTATCTACCCAGATGAATCTCCCCGTGGCTAGTCTCTGAATCCGCCCTGATTATCACGTATAGCCGCTCGAGATACACATGCCCTCGAAAGTAAGTTTTATACCTTTCTTGTGCCTACCTTGTATTGATATGTTTCTTTTCCGATAAGTAAACAAGCAAGTCTATCCTGTAGGATACTGACGCTTTAGATTGGAAAACCCCTACCAGGTTTGACCAATGTGCAGCTAAAAACTGGGTTTCTGCCCTATTGTCAGCGAGCCCTAATCCATTCCTTGCTAGCTGTGGGCTGACGGTTTACACAGCATGTGTTTATCAATCGCAACGTTCTCATATGTTGGTGTTGAGATTCCAGCAGCAATTGCCCTTGAGGCTCGACCTCCGAAGAGGAAATCTACGGCGACCGAGTCATCTGAGCCTCTCGACGATACAGGCAATATAGGGGATACCATCCGTTTTTCAGTGAAGTGGGTCACTTTATTCGCTTGCATTGCGTACACGTTAAGCGGTTTATTACTCTCACTCCATGTGGTCTCCACAAACCCAGATCTACCACGTGTTGGCTGGGTTGATCAAACCTCGACTGTTACTACTTCAGCTTTTGTCATCGCTGCAGAACTTTCCCGTGCCCCAGGGGTAGCCAGTGCATTCAACGGTTTCCTTGTATTCACCGCCTTATCATGCGCCAACACAAACCTTTTCATTGCATCAAGGATGTTATTCGGTTTAATTAACCAGATAGAGGGTGGTCCTGACGAACCTTGGTATCTGAATGTCCTCGCCTGGCTCGGAAGGACCAACAGTTACAGAGTTCCAATCCGAGCAATGGCTGTTTCTGCTCTTTCTTTCATATGGTTACCGTTCCTACAACTTGCCAATGACGCGACAGAATCAAATGGTAATACGAAGCGTGTAGCGACGAAAGATTGCCATAATGGAGGTCCTACTTCTGGAATAAAATCGGTACAGCCATCCTTCCTTAACATCTTATGAGCTTGTACTGAGCGAAATTAGTTTATCGATGTTCTCGCCGATATGGCTAGTGTAGGCGTTTTAGTCGTTTGGGCTTGTGAGTGTTGGGCATTCATTCGATATTATAATTGGTAAGACAATTTTCAAACGCCTACATTAACTACAAGTTACTCATTTTAGATAGTATCAATCGACATAAGGTTGAACTCATGGAGCGGAGAGTGCCGCGAGTTCGTCGGTTTGATGAAGGGGACAACAATGATTATCCTTACATAAGTAATGGGCAACCATTCACAGCCTATTTCGGGCTATTCGCATGCTTGTTCCTTCTACTAGTGGTCAACGGTGCTTCTTTATGGAATGGGTTTTATGTTGAGCCATTCCTATCTTCATATCTTATTGTAGGTACCCTGACATCTCTACCTAAAAAACAAAGTCGCATCCCTGATATCTACCAGGTGCTCCTCTTTATACTACTTTGGATAATACTCAAATTTTTTCGGGGCGCGAGGTGGTCACTTGTCGACCTCTCCAACCCGGACACGGTCGAATCGATTATTCGCGGCTTACATCAGCTCAGTTTCGCTGGATACCCGAACGAGTCCACGTCTAACACCGAAAAGAGCTCATCTATGTGGCCACTCTCCCTTTTAGCTAAATCACCTCGAGAAACGTGACGATTGAATCGCAATGGGGAGTATCCTGGAATTTAGATGTCCTCCTAGTTGAACTGAAGCTCATGAGTGGTTATCAAGCTGTTTTGTATACACTTCGTAGTTGTTCGTATGGAAAAATTAAGAATATATAGACGATAATAGAATTATTACTCCTTTCCTAAAGGGTACATTGAGGAGATAAACATATCCATCACCCCCTATTTCCAAAGCACGAAAGCACGATGAAAAAAAGCACTAACCCAATTATAGCATTAAGATACTACTAGGTAGGTAGATATGATATACCGCAATGTTATTTCTTCAAATAAACCGGGAGTCTATAATTACCTAGGTACCTAGGTGATACCTACTACTCATCTCGGTCTATAGGTAGGGAGGTATGAATTATGATTGTGGGGAGCGGTAGTTTAGCTCCGCACCTGTATTTTACCGACAACTTATGCGACCCGGCTGCATAGGTACCTACTAGGTACATAGGTATGCGCTAAGACCATGGTCAGGTTCTATCCAAGTAGATACACTGAAATATTCCGGCAACCTCGGAACTTACCTACAGAACAAACATGGTATCAATCGCGAATCCGGACCCACCACCTCGTGGATATGTTACGATCAATGGTAGCCATTACAAGCAGCTGGAATCCCGAATATTTCTTGGCCCCTGAATATATGAGACGTTGACACTAAAGAACCCATCGAATTTCTCACTAAGAGAGAACGTGTTAGAAGAAGCCCTAGAAGAGGTATACATAACCAAGGTTGGTGTTTTATACCGTCTACTAAGGTGGATAGATGATGTCAATATAGAGTTGGAGAACATAAACAGATTAGTATGCCGTTAGCCTCAATTCTTAGTAGGGGTGAATACCTAGGTAAGTGGGTAGGTAGTTATGCTATAGCTGCATCAATGGTATTACTATCAGTGCCTTACCCTTATGAGTAGGTCATTGTTGAATGTGGTATCCAATCTAAGACTTTCTCCATTCGGTAAGCATATAGATACCGGTGGAGAAGGGATCAGCATGATACAAATCATAGATGGTAGGCGTAACCATTGATAAAGAGATCGACGAGCGACAGAATCATATTATATATACGAATTGAAGTGGTTGCGGTATTTGGACATGAAAGACAGTAAATCTCGGAATAGTAAGATATCCACGCTCAACTCCGCCGGTATCCAACTCGCTCGTTCTATCGTTTAGCACACACAAAATATCGAAAGCCGGCCATTAAGCATAGTCGAGGCGAGCCATTCTTCCTTTTCCTTCAGCTTCCGCATATCCGAGAATCCGAAAACTCTTTCCCAGTAGTCGTGAAATCGTCTATCGGCATGAACACAAAATAGGGGTCTCTTCCTTCTTGGTGGGACGGCCAGGATGGGGCCAGAATCGGTTCGGAATGCGTCGTGCTCCATACATTATCCTTCATCACAATGCTTTTTCTCCGCTCCTGTGAACGGCCTAGCGGCTTGACGTCGCCCGCTAGACTCCCCATCCAGCCCGCCCCTTGATGAGTCGCCAACCTTCCACTAGACCATAGTTGGTGACGTTCCCTTGACCAAGGTATCCACTTAAGGCCGGTGAAGAGCGATGGGGAAGTCTCGCAGACGGCGCTTGAGAACCTCGTTGGCGATGATGGCGGTGCCGTTAGGAGATCCCGACGCGGTAGGTACAGGAGGAGCAGCGGGGACGGTACCGTTGGGGAATGAGTAAGGGGCAGCAGAGCCGACCTGGAACATGGCGGCGGCGGCCAGGAGAGCAGCGAAGAAACGAGCCATGGCTGAGACTGAGAAAGATTGTGGCGACGATTGGTCGGCGGCGAGTTGGATGCTGCGAAAGACTGTTTGGCGGAAGACGCTGCAAAAGAAAAAACTAAAAGGAATCTCCGGCTCGGGGGGAGAAGACGGACATCCTTATATGGGCGCTCTGAGCTGGCGGCGGCAGCAAGGAAGAGAGGATCGGCATATGAGTTGCGGTGTTCGGTAGGAAGTACGGAAGTTCCTGACTCTCAACATTAACCTACCTAGTACCCAGTAGCAAGCGACGTTCACGTATATTGATTCATTATCGAAGAGACCAACCTAGACAACAGTGCTTCGCTGACCAATCCCACCGGGTCCTGGTTCCTATCTCGACATGGCAACCTGGAAACCAAGTTCAGGGGTGACAGGCACGCCAACGGCGATCCTCGTTGGACGATCGACATCCCGGCGCTACTCGTGCAGCCGCATGCCTAAAGGTTCAGATCATGGCGACAAGGGGTATCGGTGAGTAATAACTACCCACACACATTCATCCTATCAGGCCCATGGGAATTACCCTAATACAGCTATGGACAGGCCCCGAATCATGAGATTGTGACCCAGCGCGGAAGAAGTAGACAGCGTTACACTGCACTACTCTCACTACTCTCTCGGTTACTATTTAAGCGACTGCGGCGACGTGACATTTCGTGGCATGCGGGCCTCTACTCATCTTCCTTGTACACACGCTTCTTTCTTCTTTAGACTTCACTGCTTGAAGATTCTTTGATAGCATGTATAGTTTCTAAGAGGTTAATAATCGGTCGGCATAACAGCGTACGCGTCGCTCTCCTACCCAACGCTTACCTAACTCACTTACATAGACATTAGAGATGATTTAGAGGTAAGTTAGAGATAAGCCCCTATCTTATAAATGTAGAATCTAGAAGTGAAAAGACCGAGATAAAGGAAAGATTCCCCTATACCGTCTCTCAGAGTCGTCACTATTTCGGAGGTGTACGCGGTTGAATTCACATGCTGCAGGTCCTGGCGAGGACACATGGGGGTGAGTTCATTGGCCCGCTATTCATCCTAGTCGCCCGCCCTCCCTTGTCCGGGGTGAGTTGACATGCATACTCTTAGACCAGAACGAAACTGGAAGCCAATATCGAGAGGGTTCGACAGCGAGTGGGGCGTGTAGAGGATGTTACAGCATCAAGTCGATGGCCCTACAGTCTCCATCTATTAAATTGCCGGTTACGGGTTTAAACATGGCATCAGATGCACGGGAAAATTGTAAAAGCTTTCTAAAAGCTTGGCCAACTTGGCTTCTAGCCTAGAACGTAGAGTTTTATGCCTTCGGTCCAGGACGTTCTATAAGGTAACAAGCACTCAGGGGGGAGATAAGAAAAGCCAGCGCTCGTTTTGCTCCTTTCGATGTTTCTAGGCGATGGATAGATGGCAATCAGTGGAATCCGTCCTGTCCGCGTCTTTTCGTAGTGCAGAATTGCCGACCAATTAGAAATCCGTTACTTAAAATGGCAGTTCAAAATTCGAATTGTCATCGGCGCACCTTTCACCCACTACAGGGAACTATGCAAGAAATAAGAAATACCATCGCTGCGGCGGCCATCAATTCGCGACCCCCATTCTATACTAAACAAAACATGTGAATCGAGTTTCCGGATTCCGTAAGGCGGGCAAGGCGGGCTAGTTTCAGAGGAGGGCCATGAGCTGCAAACAAGGGGAAACCAAGTGCCGATCAGATCACGCTTTTAGTCGTGATTCGGCCCTGAGTAAATATAGGGATGGTACGCTAGAGGATGTGAGATTCGCTACCAGCCGTGGATAATCTTCGCCTTTTTCTTGGCTTTGTCCATCTGCCAGGAACGCCTAGGTACCAAGTCTCCTAGTGCCCTTTGCCAGGCCATGCTAGCATGGAAGAACTCAATTGAGGCTGATCTTAGCCTGTAACAGTAGGCGGCGTGCATCCTGCATAAGAGAACTTCCGTTATCTTCCAGGCAAAGATTGGTCTTCTTCTCTATTTCTCCAGAATTTTCTACAAAGCAAAGACTGAGCAAACCAAGAAAAGAACCAAGAAAGAAAAAGAAAAAAATACATAATAATAAATCCACTTATGGGCGGTCCCGGAGTCTTGGACAAGCGAGATTACCCTACAAGGAATCCCGAGCGGCGCTTGAAGATCTGTAATATCGAGCTCCATGAATAAGATCCTTACGTGAGCTCCCCCCATCGCAAAGCCATTTTATCCGACAAATGCTATGACGACAATATCAGCACAGCGCGACGGCGATCCTCGGAGGCTCGGCAAGCCGTCTCTCGAGAGCTTCGAAACTGGAAATCACTGAACGAGAAACAGGACTGCGAAGGCCGAACCTAGAACTGGATGCATCTCGATGCGGCAGCGCAATAATCTCTTATACTAGCTTTCCCAACAAAAATTTCCCTGCCGAGAAGCGAGGAGTTGCATCTGGCGTCGCTTCAGTTCTAGATCTGCAACTTAAGCCTATTTGTCCACACCACCAATCAATCCACCAATCGATACTCGCGCCCATATTATAAGATCATTCTGGTCGCGAGTTTCATAAGCGCTGTCACTATGAGGCAATCTCAGTAAGGAGGCCCATAATGCAAAGTTAGAATAAGTTGGCAGCGAACGAACTTGGCAAAGCATCTTTATATAAATGATGCTGAATTTAGAACTAGTTAATATCGATTATTCGCCGTGTGTATTATCTAGCACGCCATAATTTGTCTCTGTGCTATTCTAGTTATCCCGACCGTAGGAATCTTAGAGATGGTTACCAAGATTCACTTGGTCTTGATACTCCAGGTTTTTTCTTCCCCTTTCTTTCTTTCTTTTTTTTTTTTTTTTTTTTTTTTTTGGAAAAACAAAAACAATCCATCTAAAAAGAGATTTCGCCAAAATAGAGATCTCCGCTAATGTAGCCGGTCCAGTTTCTCTGCTACTCGAAGTTTAGCCGCGCAGAATGCCAGATGGTGAAGGTTCATCGATGCTGGGGTTTGGCGTGGGGAGTGATGTAACGCTATACATCGCCGTCGGGTATACAGCCTCAACGCTGACAAGGTACCTACGCTTCGGGATGTCGGATTATACATGCCCGAATAGTAGACACGATATAAGAGTTTACTAGAAAGAGTGGTTGAAGGCCGTTCATCACTTCCGGCTGATGATAAAACATTCACCGCTCCCAAGCATCGATTAAAAAGGTACTAGGTATGTAGTATGTAAGATATCCAAGTGATGCCTGAAGATATTTCGACATCTCCGCTCAACCGAATGGTGAGGTCTATCGCGGTGCTCGTATACCGCTTTAGACACGCATTCTAGATCCCCGTATGTGCATGTCTCTGGCAAGATCTCACGCACCTACTTCACGTACTTCAACGATATCTTGAAGTCGCCGGGTAAAGAATGAAGGTGATATTTCATGCCAAGTAGAACGATACATACTATACCTATGTAGGTAGTGTGTATTTGAGACGACTCCGGTCCTAATACATGGGATAATCAAAGTGAGAGTTCGTATCATGTAGATGCTCGGAATTATCCGTTATGCTGATGGAGGCCGGAGTTTTCATGAACTCACCCTCCAAAGTCCTTTTGGTCCTAAGATGAGCCATGAAGATCTTGATGAATATTATCAGGGTTTCACACTCGGAATCTCACCGTTCTGTTCCTCTTTTACTCTTTTTCGTATGATGCCTACCTAGGTACCTAGGTGAACCTGGAGTCTTGATGATCTTACCATTGCTATCAACGCAAGCCACGCTCCGAGGGCCTATGTTTGAATCATGAGATTCTCGGAGGAGCTCGTAGGGAACCTTTCCAATATCAAGCGTCGAATAGTTTTGGCTGATTAATTTCTCTAGCCACCATATGATGCCCAAGTAAATATGTACATTCGTCTCGATGATCTTCAATCATTTGAAGATCCAGCAGCAACTTGTAACCTCGCATGCCGATCGAAGGTAACATGAGTCTTCGTTTTATGTCGTAGTAGTTGTCGAATACATGGCACTGGCTAAACAAACCTACCCAGCATTTGGGGGATAAAAGACACATGATAAGAAAAAGATGCGAACGACCTTTCACCGCCGATGCCGAGGAAATAATATGAGTTGCCATGAGAGCGCGGGTGATGCAATGAGAGATTGGTAAAATAATAGTGAGTTTCGGAACGAAATATGGGTGGTTGGATGAGATGTGTTGCAGCTATTCCTAATCAACCTTATGAAGTATACAAAGGCTTTAAACTGTATCGTATTTCTACTCGTATTAGCAAGAATGCATTATCATAACCTCGTGTATTATTTCTCATTTCCTTCAGGGTTGGGGAGTTTATCTGCATAGGCCTGGAGTTTCTCTACGTCGCCCTCTTTCATCCCTGTCTCGTCTCGCAAGGCACTACTACCCTCTCTCTTCATATCATATTCTGAAGCTCCAACATCGTCTTCAATCCCCTTTCCCTTAGCTTTAGACTCGTCGATAGTTTCCTCCTTGATACTGCTAGCCTGACTGACGTCTGTGCTGTCGGGGCTTCTCACGCGCAATCCTAAGTGTTTCTGGTTGTCCGGATCTTCATCATTCTCTCCTTTCCAATCAGCAGCCGGCATCTGCGGTACGGGCGAATCAATGCTAGGCATGGTCGACTCTTTTGCGCCGCCATCTGGCGCGGTAGATTTCCACACAACCGCAATTTTGTCAGCAGCTCGTGTGCCCTTCTGGCTTGAGCCTTTTATCCCATCCATCTTATCCCATTCTATCTGGAAGACCCCATTCATGTCGGGGCTACCGTCCTTTTCAGGTCCGTTACCTTCGAAGAAGGTATTAAACCAGACATGTGCCACAGCAGTGACCATAGTGAATCCCATAGAAGTAGGCGCGCGATTGCGGCGCTCAATACATATATTTACATCGCTGTTAGGTAGAATAATCGGGCTCTGAGGTTTGAAAATGACAGCCATACCTCCAGGTTCAGAGTCATCGTCATCTTTAAGGGGTGATGACGAACTTGAGGTGTTGTTAGACTTTTGTTTACTACCGTTCTCGGAGGTCTTAAGAGTAGAATTAGTAGGTTCGGTCGGTTCGGTGGATGAGTGTTGTGGGATTTTGGTAATGAGCTTTGGACTCGGTTTCCCCTTCAACTTGGCTGGCGATAGAACAGGCTCTTTAGGAGATATTGTTGTAGACTCTGCATTTTGCACCTGACCGGTTTGTTTCGCTTCATCGAGTACTTCTTGCCCCTGCGCAGAATTAGTTCCATAGCCAGCCATATCGTAGAACATATCCATCACTCCGCTATCGCCCGGCGCGTTGCCTTCTACTATGAGCCGCTCCCTTTTCGTGAATGTGTGGACGACCTTGATCTTCCTGCCCCCATCTACGAACCCCTCAACCGAGAGCTTGACGCCGGACCGCAGTCCCCAAACGTGGATCTCGACTATCTCCAACTCCCGATCGACGTATTTCCTCCCACCTTTAGCCCAGCGGTCGACGTATCCGATCCACCGGAGCTGGCTTGGGATAGTGACGCCAGCGCCGAATTTCGGCCGCATCCTCCTCTCGGTGAATCTCGCAAGGGCTTCCTCCGGCGTCCAGCCGCATTCAGCGATCAGATAGCTACAAGCCATGGTTCCGCTGCGGCCTTTGCCAGCCTTGCAATGCACCACTACTACCCGGCCGCCATTTTTCTCATCTTTCCACGTGTCCAGGACTTTCCCAACGATGTTCTTCTTCCCATCAGACACATCGGCGTCAGCCTCGAGGTCGTTACCATTTAACCAGTTCCGCATACTTGCAACTATCATGGGAACAAGCCTGAACGGAGGGGGATGGTGATCCGGCCATGGGTAATGTCTAATTCGGTTATAGACGAGCTCGTCGGGGTAACCGGTGCCTTCGCCACGAAACTCCCATATAGCCCAGTTCTTGCCATGTTTCGAATCGAGGAAATCGACGAGACGATCGAGAGGATTGCGATAGGCGCGTTGGGGATAAGTTTGAGAGGGGCCGGACCTGTCAACGCGATCACATCAATGTTAACATAGGCACCAGGCGTATAATGGTAAGATGGAGGTCATGCGGACTATACGCACGTCGCAATAATGTTGTCGGTGACATAGCAAAGGTCCAGCCCCGCCTCAGGATGCCTCGCGCGAGGCCCTGCAACGATTTGACGTAGCAAAGAAGCCATTCTTCGAGATTGCGAGGTTACGAGATTGGGTATCAGGTGAACTTCAATTGGGGAATTGACATTGTGGGCTATAACGCTATTACTTTTGATTCTATCGCTAGTGGGAAATGGTATGAAAAAGGTGAAAGGGTGAAAGGATGAAAGGATTCTAGGTGGTTGTTGAAAGAAATAAAGTCTTAATACAGAGTACATACAAACCTACCTAGTAAGTAGGTAGGTACCTAGGTACCTATGTGCATTAACGTACGTCATTGACAACCTTACCTTGTATGGGAGTGGAGACGTCAGATCTGGAGGTTAACCTTCCAGGTTATGGATCCTTTCAGGGGTTAGGGGTTCGGTCTCGGAGTTATCGGGGATTATCTACTACAGGGTATATAGGGTAGGTAGTATATATTGGAATCCCTTTTCCATTACAGCTAAATACGTACATAATTCTATATAAATGTTAGTTTAACCTATCCTGCTATCTTACAGTTATTTTCATATGCTCCCGTCGACATCTACGGGTACGGAGCTAGTTCGTCGTAGTGATTCCCGTGTGTTCCAGCGTGGCCTCTCTCCATAAACGGGTCTGCCCAATCGACTATATCCTTATCGGGATACGTGAACCATGATCCTCTGGTATTGATGTCGTAAACCCTGTTAAAAGGGTGCGCGTAGAATTTGCGCGTCTCCTCTGGCACATCGAGTATCTGCAGCAATCGCCAGAGCAGGGTCTCGTTCTCAATCTCATCGAGGATTCTAGTAGTCAACTCTTGAAATTCCACAGCGGGAACGTTGCGCACATAATGCATGATGCGCCTTAAGACTGCGATCCAATGGTTTACGCTATTACATGTCAAGTTAACCGATATCCTATCCGAAAATGGAAAGGAGAATGAAACCTACTGGTTGCCGTCAAGTGTCCCATGCATCGTTCTAATCTCTATAGTCTGAGGGAGAGAGTAATCCGCGCTGTAGCTCGTCTTCTGGCCAGACAGCCGCATCCGCGCCGCTGTAATGCATTCTACTCCCGGTGCACTGCGACCCCATAGTGCCCCATTTAATTCCGATATTGTTGTATATGTCCAAACTTTTTCAAGGAATTCTCTTTGCTTTGCGCTAAGGTTAATCGGTACCACATGCGATCTCATGACCCCCAAGTCTATTTCTTTTTTTGTCGGCGTTGTTCGCGGTTCACATTCGTTGTCTTGTCGGGTGAGTTGGTCAATATGGAAAAGGTATGCTGCCAGTCTAGTGCCCTCGCCCATCGAAGCGCACCACATAAACATTTTAGGGCCGTCCCTATCCTTTCGATGGCAATGTATAAGGGCCCGTTCGCACAGATACCATAACGTTACGAATCTCTTGACTTGTAACAAGTTCCAGCCATGCTTATGGCCAAGATGGACGTGGAGTCCCGTGGAAACCTCCATAGGTTTGTGAATACGGAAATAATTCCGAAGGGTTGCGCAAACCCGTCGTATCTTGTCGGGCGTTTCTGGTGCATTCTGCGGCAGAACAGGGCTGACAACTTCTGCCCCAAACCACTATAACGGTAGGAGTTAGACTCTAAGATTCAAGATTCAAGATTTGCCTCGGGAAAAGGGGTAAGAAATGCATACCCGGTATACCTCCATTGGGATTTCACCTCTTCGGAGCTCCGATATCTGATAACGCCAAGGACCCATCCCATGTCCATTTACCGAGACATCTTGTACGACAGTCCACTTCGACAGTAAGAGTTAGCATTCTTTTTTTTTTTTTTTTTTTTTTTCAAATATAGGTAGATAAGGGGAGGAAGGGGGGTTAATATCACATACCGCCCGGTATCTATCCTGTAAACCAGCCGCGGGGACAAAGTCGGGGTCTACTCCATTCTCTAGGTCATTCCAGTGGCTCGCCTTCAGGCTAGTTTTCTCCTCGCGCACTCTCTGTGTGAACTTATCGCAGACCATGCCAATGTTTACTTCGTCATTCCAAAGGTTAGGCGGGTCTCTAAGAACGCTGGCTACTCTTAGCCATAGGTTATCCAAATATTCCTCGGTCAACCCTTTCATGTTCGCACGGGCATTTATGCACTTCCCATTCCAGTCATGGAACAATTGGTCTGCGTATGCCTGGTAGGCGCCGGCGACATCCATATTAGCTTCGGGTGGTACATTAAAATCATATTCACTTATGAAACCCGGCCAATTTGCTTTCTCCTCCTCGAATTCAGACTCTGAAACGTCAAATTTCATATCGTGTAAAGTATCAGGTTCGGCCGCAGGCAAGCCCGCGCGTCGCAATACCCTATTACAAGAAAAATCAATCGTCAGATGTAGTAAAAAAAAACGAGGATTTGTGGTTACAGACCTTAGTATTTTGACGATGGAATAAGACTTCAACAAGTCCCAGGTACCATGTTCATCGGGGTACTTGCCGCCGTACACAAAGTTCGAGAATTTCTCTGATAGATACCGGGTTTCGCGTGGGTGTGGATCATTTGCAGGATCTGTTGAGGCCATCGCGAGAAGAAACTCGAGTTCTAAGAGTCATTAGCAGATATTCTTCAAACATACCTATTCATGAATGTCCCATGTTGGATGGGCTACAGTTGCGATGATGCGAAGGGATATCGGTACATACTGCCGCGATGTTAGCAATGGAGTTATAATGAGTCTCCCCTGTTATCTCATATACGTACCCTATACCTATGGAGGGTACGTCCTCATCTGAGCCCGGTGCACATACGAAAGCATCGTCTGCGGCGCCGTCCGGGTCGACAACATCGTCTAGCAAGCGCCCAACATTCTTACCCCAGTCATCATCAGGCTCCTCACCATCAGGCAGGCTAAGTACCTCGTCACTCCCAATAGTAGAGCCAACACGACTACTAACGCTCTCGGGGCTGTCAGGGCTCTCGGGGTCCTCAGGGCTATCAGGGCTGTCAGGGCTGTCGGAGCTATCATCATCACCAGCACCACCAGCACCACCAGCACCTCCGCCTCTACCGCCTCTACCGCCTCTACCGCCTCTACCACCCCTGCCGCCTCCGCCACCTCTACCGCCTCTAGCTCCCCTACCGCCTCTGGCACCCCTAGTGCTTTTGCTAACCTTACCACCTCTGGCACCCCTAGTGCTTTTGCTAACCTTACCACCTCTACTGCCCCTACCACCTCGGCTGCCCCTGCCACCTTTACCCTTACCGCCTCTATTATCATTTCCGTCGGTAGCAACTTGATTGCCTCCGGGATCTTTTGAGCCGCTGGGACCTGGGTCATCTGAACTTGAACTTGTTTCCCCAAAACCCCAAGGGTCAGAAAGATTCCCAAAACGGACTGATTCTTTCTTCGGGAGTTTACGTCGCGGTTGGAACTGCGGGTCCCATACCGTTCCTCTAGGGTTCGGCCTACCCCTCAGTTCCGGAGCCTCTTCCTCCTCTTGCTCTACTTGCATCATCTCGTCTCCGTGCCCTTGCCCCCATTCCCCTCCGTTCCCGGTCATGGGATCATCATCGATGTCGTGATCTTCCATCGGAATCTTTCCTTCATAGATGGCTCGATTGGAAATACCCTCCTGAGCAAAATCATCGTCGCCGGCACCTTCCATCTCTATATCTCCACCTCCCATCTCTACATCTTCACCACCCATCTGTATATCTCCTTCATTATCGACCAAGGGGACCCCTCCCATCACTATGTCCCCGTTCAACCTCGCGGCCTCGGCCGCGGTGACAGGGTTCGCCGGGGTCGGCGGCGCATTCCTGCGCGACCCATTGGAGGAGCTGCGTGAGCTAGATGATATCTTCCTTATCCTCTCCTCCACCCGGTCCGTGAATCTCTGGAAAGACGTAACTCTCCTGTCGAACCAACGCGGCGGCATGGTGATCCGATTGCTGTTTTACTACTTACGCACGCTAGGCTCGTCTAATTTGCTATGTTTTCTACTTGGGCAATGTTTCTTTCGGTATAGCTGATTTTGGAGGGACAGCTGGTTTAGATTAGTACCCTATTATCCATATACAGGTATCCGGGCTGTCTTTTTGCGACGGGAGCCATGATCGGGAAGCCGGACAAAGGCGATAGACGTTTCCGGTTTTTCTCTTGTGCGCGTATCCGTTGGTTTATTGTGTAGCGAATACATTTGCGTCTGTATTATTCGCTTTCGTATTGTTTAGCGTTTACACAAAGAACGGGGCCTTTAAAGCCCACGATGTCGACCGAATGACCCCCTATAACAAGGACTGAGAACAAGGTAACCGACAACCCCTTTGCCGCCAAAGAATGACCTTGATCATGATATTGCTAAATCGTATACATTGAAACCCAGGTAAGTACCTAGTATCATGTAAGCCTGATGACATCCATCCAATTTCGCAGTTAGGATATAACCAATAAACTCACCTCGTTCTTAACAAATAATAGATTGAAAGGAATTATGTGTTTGTTCCTAGTTTACTAAACCAAGTCGTATTCTTTGCTCGTGAATATCTGTAGATAGGTGTTTTTATACTATCCCTTTTCGACGTTGTCAGCGTGGAGAAGGCACCAGGTTAGCATAAGTACCTATGTAGCGTAATAAGAGTAACATCATCACAAGGGTCCACGATATGTAGGTAGATGTCAAAACGGCAATATGGGGAACCGGGAATGAAGGAAATTCAATCAGTTTAATATACCTATGAAGCTCTCGAATCGCAGAAGGAACGCACCTGAGCAACTTTATAATCTTGACAAATGTAAGATGAAGGATTTCTTTCTGGCTAAAACTGGGATGCGAAACAAGTATAACAGAATGCCCATTACCCTGCCTGATGTAATACAATTCACCTATTCTCGGCCTAGCTACCGTGTACCAAATCAGGAAGTAGGAAAGCCATATCATTCATTGGGCGGAGCTCTTTCTACCTCTCATTCTGAACTCCATCGATCTTTGCTAACGGCGTTATCATACCCCTGTCATTCATTGCGACCATCCGTCTCTCTTGATCGCGTTGTGTAGTGGAAATGTAATGTCCTAATATCAACCAACCCTTCCATAGCCTGGCACGTGCGCGTTTTTACACCATATCACCGTAGGCGTCCAACTATGACCGACCTTATTCAGGGTAGGCGTGCAGATGTAGACTTTAGGAAGTCTTCTTAGGCACTGCGGATCCATTCGTGTATTTGCCGATGTCAGTAGCATCGTGGAACTGACGCGTAGCAGTCTTGACGCCTTCCCAAAGAGATCGTGCGGCCGGGGGCGTGCTTTGGGCACCCACCAACGAATCCAGGCGCAACTCGAGCGCTCTAAATGAGTCCTGCACATGGGAGCTCTGGGCGAATCGAGTACGAAGGAAAATGGTGTAGATGGCGATGAGAATCCAAGAGCGTCGCTGGAAGAAAATGGCGGAGAGGAATAGTCGGAACCAGATGAGGATTTCAAGGCTGGACACAATGGACATAGATGCGTCGTAGTATTGCTTGACAAAGTTTCCGATAGCTTCAGCGAGAGGGTTGGCAGACTGCGATTTAGTGCCAGGAGAGGCACCGGCGGGGGCCTTGTTAGGCTGAACCGTAGGAATCACGTTGTTGCGAGTGTAGGTCGCTACGTGGAATACGGAATAGATTCCATACGGAAGCATGGCGAGAGAGTACTGGGGAGATATGAGCCAGACTGAGGCCAGGACTTGAAAGAGAGAAACGTTAGCATCGCTGTCGGTGGACATAGGGGTTGGTGAGACGTACGGAGGTACTGGACGTTCTCATCAGAGAGAAGACCAACGAGTCCTATGTTCTTGGCGCCAACCTTCTGTCGGGCTCGCCATGTCTTGTAGACGACAATTCCATACGTCAGAGCGGCGGAGACAAAGGCCGTGCGGTAAGTGAATCGGGCAGAGCCAGTGTTGTAGCTGAAGGCGATAAGGGAGAAGGAGTATCGGAAGATGCATAGGAGGAGTACAAGGTGTCTGTAAATGTAAGTATAGAGGTTAGCTGTCGAGTTCTTCTTCACAATGACAAACTCGAATCGGGGGAGTGAATGATTTAGCCGAAACGAGTCCCCGGCGGTGTCTAGCAATGTAGATTATTTATAGTCGAAGGAAGATAACGTACCCGCTGAACCAAGCGACTACGAGGATTCAAAAGTTAGTATAAATAAAGAGGAAGAGTACCTGGGGATGACATACATTGTAATGTCTGGGCCAAAGCCAGAAGCCTCTCGCCGAGAGGCAAGTTCGCGGAAGGCGGAGGCGCCATGTTCTCGATAGTAATAGTAGCAGCAGGATTTACTACTCCTTAAAGAGAAAAAAAAAACCAAACAAAGGTGTCGCAAAAATACCGAAAAGAACTTCTGAGGCAGAAAAGCGCAAAATCGTAGAGGCGAGATCGCGTGCTACTCGGAAGGTGAAATAGGTGATGTGGAATGCCTCGGAGGTTGATGATGTCGTATTGGTGAAAAAGAGCTTGGAAGCTGGTGAGGTGGCTGGATTTCTATGGAAAGTGGGAAAAAATGACGATGAGGGCCAATGAGGGCCACTAGGCAAATGCTTATCCTAGCACTTGTATGACCAGTGACCTTGAATTTAGCTGCTCGGTTTGTGGTCGGTGCGTCACCCGATGCTACTAGGTACAGATTTATGGGTCTTAACATAAATACAGAATTGTGTACGTATATGTACCTGAAGACGCTCGTAGATGCGTGTGCATTCGATGTTACTACTTCGGCAGTCCGATGGTTTTGCACGATATCACAAGATCGTTTCAAGGATTTCGAGATCATTAATATTTATTATTCTACAACTTGATCAGTTTTTTTCAATAAGTACCTACCCAGTGATTATGACTCTGAATCATGATGTCTCACATTAATCAGATGTATCTATACGCAAGTACCTACATATATGTATGCATGCAGATATTTTAGGGCGGTTGCTTATAATTGTACAGAATACTTCGAGATTGGCAGCTGCGTTCAGGATGAGCTGAACACCTGGGCAGTTACTAGAACTGTGCTAGCTAGTAGATACCCACTTGCCTTTCGTCATATGTCCAAAAACCTAGTAAATAAGTGCACAGGGCAAAAGATAAAACCCCACATAGAGAGAGACAGCTGTAAAGCTCATCTCATCTTCAACAATATTCAACGTGGCCGCGTGGCATTCAAACTTGCGACGAAGTACAGTTACTTCGATTACAAATATTTATAAGGAGAGCCGGTACTAGATATCAGAAACCCTTCACTTGATTTTGCTCACTATTAGATAACCGCCAGCCGCGAGACGTTATCAAGAACACAGATAATAAGAAAATGTCAGCAGTTTGTTAAAATAAACGCAGAATATTCCTCTGTTCAACTTTTCACTTGCAAGATGGAAACATAACTTTTCTCTTGTTCTTGGTAGAAACATCGATTAGGTTATATGAGAACAACACAACTATTACAGGTGGATTGCCTCAAGGATAATACAACGCCACGATATCACCCACGATGCATAGCATCTAATAGCGCCAATCAAGATAAGGCTTCGGAAAGAAAATGTTGGTTCAGCTCGACAGTGAATGTTGTTATGTACCTAGAGGTACCTTGAGCGTCTGCTGTGTTACTAGAACAATATTTCTTCAGGACCCTGACCCTGAAATTCCGAATGCAAACGGGCGAATCCTTTACACGAGGCTTTCTCGAGATATGAGCTACAATCGTTGCCATGGACCGAATTTAGTTGCAAGCCCCTGCAAACTCTCACATCGAGAAACTTAGTAAGCTTAAAGATAGGTTATGTACGACTCAACTTTGGAAGATTTCCATTTTAGCATATAGATATATCACGAAAGTCATCGTAGTATTGAGAAGATGATGGGTTTGTTATCAACTGAAGATTGATCTTGGCATGAGAAGGGTCAATCCATTAAAACTCCCCAATCTGATTGGACGAAAAACAGTACCCACTTCCCCACCATTGACCGGTCCTACTAGGTATCTTTTTTTCGTCTGTAGTTGTCGACTATATGAAGTCGAAATCAACAAGACCTTCACAACTTCCATCGACAACCATGGAAAATCAGCTAAAAACTGATCATGATCTCCCCGTCACTATAGGAATTCACGTCCGGCCCACATCAACCGCCGACGAAGAGAAAGGATGCGATGGCAACGATCGGCCGAAGAGCCCAGATGCATCGCCGAAGCAGTCGGCGTTCAAGTCGCTCGGCTGGCTAGACCGATTCCTTGCCGTCTGGATCCTGCTTGCGATGGCCATCGGGATCATTCTAGGCAACTTCGTGCCGGAAACAGCTGATGCCCTGCAGAAAGGCCAATTCGTTGGCGTCTCGGTGCCGATAGGCAAGTGATCTTCCCCCACGCACGACAGGGTTTCGTCGTAGATGGCTTGTTTTGTGTTAACTCGTGCCGCCCACAGCTGTTGGGTTACTCGTCATGATGTACCCTATCTTATGCAAGGTCCGGTACGAGACCCTGCATGAGATATTCTCTCACCGGGGTATCTGGAAGCAGATCGCGTTCAGTGTCTTTATGAACTGGATCGTAGCTCCGTTCCTTATGGTTCGTAACTTACATAAAATGACCTGGAGTTCGTTCTTCTCCCACAGTTTTGGCTTACCTATTCCTCTCTATAGCTAGCACTTGCATGGGCGTGCTTACCAGATAAGCCCGAGCTTCGTACAGGTTTAATCCTTGTCGGCTTGGGCAGATGCATCGCAATGGTACGAACACCCGAAGAGTTATAAAGATGAAATCAGAGCACTCACCCCATTAAAGGTACTTATATGGACAGGCCTAGCTGGTGGTGACAGCGAGTACTGCGCCATCCTCGTAGCCGTTAACTCTATCCTCCAGATGGTTTTATTCGCCCCCTTAGCAGTCTTCTTCATCCGAGTGATCAGCCACGAATCTGGACCGCTTAATGTTTCATACGAGGTCGTCGCAACTAGTGTAGGGACCTTTCTCGGCATTCCATTAGGCGCAGCTATGCTCTCACGCTTTGGTTTGCGTGCCTTAGCTGGCCCGCAATGGTACGAGAAGGTCTTTCTAAGATTCGTCGCTCCATGGTCTCTCATCGGCCTTCTATACACGATCCTAGTCCTGTTCGCCTACCAAGGCCAACAGGTCGTTCATCAGATCGTGTCCGTTCTACGAGTATCTGTCCCACTTATAGTATACTTCATCGTTATCTTCTTCTTGACTCTATGGGCTACACATCGGTGTGGATTTGGTTATGCTCTTGGTACCACCCAAAGCTTTACTGCTGCTAGCAATAATTTCGAACTCGCCATTGCTGTAGCTATCGCGACATATGGGCCCAACAGCGATCAGGCTCTAGCATCTACGGTCGGCCCTCTCATCGAAGTGCCAGTTCTCCTAGGCTTAGTCTATGTCGTTAAGCTTATCGGACATAGATGGGCTTGGAAGGATTAACGCAATTTCGAGATCAACGTAATATAATTTACACATCATCCAGTTAAACCTAGTGTTCGATGTGAAATGTGCACACGAGATTACCTATTCTAAAGGAAAGTGCATTTCGAATATGCTAGAGCCATAATGGACCATGACTCAATACCGTCTAATGCGCCCATCCTAAGCCCCCTTGTTTAAGCCCGATAGACCGTCACTAGAACGTTAGAGTAAACCCATGTTTTTTTATCGCCGATTCTTGATATTGAATCTTCACCCCTGAATGGTCTCTAGTAGGTACACTAAGCCTTACGGACCCGGGGCAATGGAAAGCTAGCATAAATACGGCATAGCGAGGACCTCATCTTATGCTGGATGGTCTCTACGAATCTAATTGGCTCGTATAGCCTTAATTAGTATATATTACGGGTCTCGTATTCAGGGGCAAGACCGCAAGGAACGAACGTGAATCTGTACTTCGGGACAACCGTCAAATACGCAACATTACAGTGTTGAAGCCAATCCTTCCAGACTTCCAGGCGGGCATCTCTTATATTGAGCTCGTCCGCGACTTCGCCGTATTCCTCGATTTTATTACGTCCAGTTTCCATGTCGGCCGGTTCGTCAACAGCGTTTTGGCCAAGTGGTATGGGCACAAGGAGAGCGCTGCTGGTCGAAAGAACTAAGACGGCCACGAGGATTTAGGTATGACTGAGTGATGAATTTCATGAACGGATGCAGATGCCTTTCGCTAGTTAGGTTACCTACCTAGGCAGATAGGTAGTATATATATTGACGGTTCCACGGCGCGTACGATCGCTCAGCTCGTTCAAGACAGTTACTTCATGACGTTAAATACATGGCCAATTAGGTAGGTAAAGAGATATTCGGTAGGTAGATAGAGAAAGCTCAAGGAATATTACAACTACCTAATCCCTATGACTCCTGTAAAGCTATCACATCCTCAATTTCTCGCAGCGCGCTCTCAGTGTTATTCTGGAAGCTCATCGCCAAACTTGCGCCATATATTTTGATATCATTTTCAGCATGTCGTCTTATCAGATCAGCAACAGCAAAGTGATTATCCTTTTCCGCAATTTTAATTGCTCCGTCGTATCCAGTTCTCCCCGGGTCAGAACTCATGGCCCCGACAATCAACAGCAACTGGACCATATCAATCCCGCCTCTGCGTGCCGCATGATCTAATATACTTTCGTTTCCTATGCCAGAAAATGGGTTCAAGTCGGCTTTGTAATGAATTAATAAAAGTGCAGTCTCCAAATCACCGCTTTCAGCAGCCATGTACAAAGCCGTTCTTCCTGGATAGCCAGGTTCCCCAGGTGCGTTAACATCAGCCCCATTCTCGATCAAGAGTTGAATTAAGCTTAATTTGTCCTTTTTTCGTTGTGGCAATGTTGGATGCCATGCACACGCAGCCTGTAAAGCCGTTAATCCTCGAATTCCTAGTGCAGGCTGATTGATATCGGATCCCTTGCGTATCAGTTGATCAACCAACAATCGATTGCCTATAGAGGCAGCCGCTTGAATCGGAGAAAATGAGCGTGTATGGCTTTTCCAAGCGCATATGTAGAAATGAAAATATGCGTTGATATCTACGCCCGCATTCAGGGTCTCCTGGATTAACTCATGCCGGGCTTCATACAATATTAGAGCTGCTAATACATGGCTATCTCTGACTGGGACACCGTGCCTAAGAAGTAGTTCATAACTTGCTAATTTATTCTCCACCGGAACATCGTACAAGCCACGTTGTTCTTGATCCGCAAGGTCGGGGTCTTGACGAAGACATGGTTCCAATAGGCATACACCAGGTTTCGATAGGTCATGCTGGTTCACAATCGTGTTTAACAGGAGCCTTAGTGTGTCAGGGAATAGATTAATTGAAGAGTGAGAGAGGATGCGGTGTAGAAAGTCGAACGCGTTCAGATCATCTGGATGGATTTTCAACATTGCACCATGATCAATCAAGTATTTAAGCATTTCGTAGCTTGCGGTGTCGCGCGCACGTTTAGTATCAGGGAATAGTTCGCAAGTAGCTATAGTCGCCAAAGCAATGATACTCCAGGGTTCAGAGTTGATTTCGACCACTGCATTGATGTCCACGCCAGCCTCAAGCAACCACGAAACAGCTTCATAATTGTCGAAACGAGCTGCTTTCAATAATGCTTTTGCACCACTCTTGCTGATATCTGTATGACGGGAAAGAATTAGTAAAATGTCAATTCCGTTTTCCTCGACTCCGGCTTCTAAGACTTCCGGATCTATGCCTATCCCTGACTGCAGAAGGAGGTTTAAAATATCGTGAAGCCCCTCATAGAAGCCAGATCTTCGAGCCTTCTCCATTAAGAGGTAGAAAAGATGGCTGGCAGGCAACGACAGTGAGGGAAGTTTTAGATCGACTCCGAATTTAATAAGTGCTCGAACGACATCGATATCAGCACCTGAATTTTGCATCGTGAATTGTTCAACAAGGGCCAATTCTAGAAATTTGATGCGGTCGAATTGGGCATCCGTTGGTTTTGATGTCAAGTATTCGAGTAATGCATCCGTGCCTCGTTTCGCCGAAAGGCAGACACCTGGTCGAGTAATATGGTTGGTTGCTTGGGAGCTGTACGGGAGTAATCTTTTGAAAATATTCAAATCGAGATAATAAGTTCCTTCCAAGATTGTCGGGCGCCATTCAACCGGAATTGGATAATCTTCGTAAATGCCATTCACTACATCCTCCACAACGCCCCAAGTCAAGTCGACGTTAGCTCCACTGTTCAGAAATATGTCCAGGGTTTGGCTCCATTGCTCGTTATCCAAGTCAAGATCGATCAAAAGTAACCCCGATTTCGTTTGAGAAAAAGAATTATGTAGATATGCGTGGTCTCGTCTTAGCTCTGCAACAATTCGCCTGCTGAATAAAGCGCCTAGGAATGATTGAAAGATAGACGGTTTAACGATGCAATCGCGATTCATTCTAGGAGGTCCTGTTGTTTGGTGTATGTTGGTGTATATGCAGTGGTTAACATCGCACACCCCTAGCAATAACTTTACACACTCCATATTCCCAGTAGCAGCTGCCTCGATGATTGGCATTACCCTTATTGAATAAGGTGTCTTAAAGTAGAAATCAAGACTAACTCCAGTTTTAAGTAGATCCTGAATAACGTTGAGTGCATCCATTGAAGCAGCAGCGGCAAGATGGTAATAGCCATTGGAAAGGACCCATCCAGAATGCCGAAGTCCAATTTCTATCAAAAGAATGAAAACATCCTTATAACCATGTAATCCAGCATGGTATACCAATACTTCCCAAACAGCCCTTATAGTAGGAAGGTTGCACTGGAACAAACCAAGTAGGACTATTTTGGGTGTTCGCAGAAGTAGAAGTTGGATAATGTCAGGGCAAATTGGGGGGCCTCTATGGAAGCTTTCGCAGCGAGTATCTAGTAGATTGTTAGATATCAGATAGATTGCTTCTGCTAGAAGGTAATGGGCATTCGTATTCCACGTGGATACCGAAGTTGTAGGTGCTGGGTCCAGTGCTTTCAAAAAGCAGAACATAGGCGATGTTGGCGTAAATCCTAAAAGCCCAGATGAATCAATGTTACTGAGTAGGCCGCCTACGAAGTCGCTTGTAGGGTCAAATTCAAGCCCATGGGTAATCGCTAGAATCCATTCATTAGTCCAGGCTAACAGATACGTACGTGATAAGACTATAAGACATTGTACAGATAGGTACTTACAAAGTAGCTCATTCTTGAACAAGACCCATGGAATATTTTGGAGAGCAACAACATTTTCTTCTAAGGCAAGCTGAAAAGAGCTGGACGTCCTAGATTCCCAGTTCGAGTCATGTATCGAGACGCATAGATTCTGATGACCCTGGAGTAATCGTATTATATCTTGTGGCTCGGAAACATGAGTCCTAGAGGATTGAGGAGTAAATGGATCCGTAGATAGAGAGACCAAAACTATCGGAGATTGCGCTGGAGATTCCTCTCGATATTCCGGTGAAGGTCGAAGCACGAGGGGTTCCGTAACAGGAGATGGTGTCCTCACCACGATGCCGGTCGGGAGTCTAGCATGTTGGCCTAGACGATATCAACCCCGTTAGAATTTGACGAACACTAGAGATACGACATTCATGCAGGATACAACTAGAATGCCTATGTTCAGATGAAATCACGCACATTTGTTTGCTGATCGGGCCCCCGATCTTCTTATCTCCTTCCACGCCTTTTTCCAGGGAATGCGTGTTCCGTTAAGATAGATTCCGGTGTCTTTGCCATCTCTGGATAAATAATGATGATGCACTGCGACCCAGTCTGCTTTCTTGAGTTTTTTACGTAGACCTAACCTATCCCGCAGCTTTGTTTCGTAAGTCGATAGACTGTTGGCTTCGTTAGCAACCCTGTGGAAGCACATCACAACTGAGGTCTGCCTAGTACGTACGGGGTGATAGGGAATCCGTGTTCACTCTCCATGACCTGTTTCACTTCCTTGAGTGTTTTCCTCTCAGTCTCGTAGAGTTGCCGGATGATGGATTCATTTTGCTCCCATATTTCTCCTGAGGAATCTGTGAAGGGCGGGTGTGTAGAAGCCATAACCACGGAGGTGTAGAATTGACGTTTAGTAGAGTTGAAAAAATCAATGAAGAGGGGTAAGGGGCTATAAAAGTTCAAGGCTTCAGGCTCATCTGTCTAGAGCGGTAGGCTCTAGGTAGGTAGTGTTACACCGCGTGAAGGTGGCGGCCTTATCATCTCCTATTCTTCATCAATTACGTAGGCTAAGGCTACCTCTAACGGAGTGTATAATACTGTCCGGTCTATGGTGGCTTTATACATGTGACACTATTTAGAATATGCTGTCCAATTTCTGGTGGTAAATCCGGTGTATTTTTATTGGGGCGGTGAAATGAAAAACGTACGGACAATCAGCCCTCAAGCGGGTTGTGCCATCTTCCTTTGAACGGCGACATATAACTGGTTTGGAGGCAGAGGCAGTGAAATGTGTATATGCACGCCACAAGAGCATGGATCAATCCGCTGTGCTGTCCAGAATCTTGTCCAAAATCTTGTCCAAAATCTATGGCGCTAGAGTGTACTTAGTAAGTACCTAGTAGGTACCTACATGTAGGTGTCTGTCTACCTTAGGAAGCTATCATAGCCTCGAACTCTAGGTACCATTTCTTACGCCCTGACTTCTTTAGGTACCTGACTCTCTTTGCATGTCTCGAGAGAAGCTTTAGTCAATACCTACATACCGGTTACGACAGCGGCATGAATATATAAACCTACCTTGTCGTCCCTAGGTAGGTTGAAGCATCACCGTAATACCCGCTGACCCATAAAGCCAATAAACACAAAACATCCCTTTTCTTTCATTCACTCACGACCGGGCATCCAAGGATTCTCAATGTAGATGATGTTAACGAATGAGACCATCGTTGGCATAGTCACCCTTCTTACAATGTGTCTTCTCCCAGGTCTTGGTTTCCTTATACGACTAATCCGCCGACGTAAGAAACAGCCACCGGATTCAAGCTTAACTATCCCACTGGAGCCAATTACGAGGCTTGATGACTTGGATTCACTCGAAAGCGGATTCTTATATACCACAGTTCGTACCTACGCGCCTGCTGCGTGAAAGGAGCTTCCGATGGCTAATATAGATGACATATAGAGGAACATAAGGATCGAAACATTCATGGTTCGGTCATCTTCCATGCCTAATGTTAACTTTACAACCCGCCATCGTGAATCTCAACTTGATACTGTACATGCGTGAGCCCTTAACAGCGGGTTCTATTACGGCCTAGGATTATCTATCGCGATAGATATCGTGTATACCGTTGAAAACCGAAACGGCACTATCCAATAGATCGGATCCGTATCGCCTACTCCAAAAGGGATATTTTAGCATTTCAGGTAGATCGGGAGGATGATGGGAACGAGGATCGATAGAGATACGCTGTATATATATGAAGAGTGTCGGTCAGGGGCGCTCGTCTGGGATCTGAACCGTCTGGTCATGTAGATAACCCACCCTTCCCCAATTGAACCTAGATACAATCAATGATACTTAAGCAAAGAGATTCGCCTGAAGAGAAAAGTAAATTGTGGGGAAAGAAAGGGGCTTAATCGTACCTAAGGATTAAACATTAGGACTAACATACCTAACACTCCCCAGATAGAGCTAAACAAAAATTCAAACCACTTGAAACTTCGTAGCTACAGATAGGGGAAACGACAGCGTAATATTAGCTACGTGCATATGTGAAGCTATATCGCGAGAATTGCGACCTGAAGAAGCTAGTCTAGCAAACCTATGCCATACACATGACAACCACCCCCCATGAAATTCGCAGGACTAACGCGCCCGCCAATACTTTTCCGCCACGAGAATTCCAGAAGAGGGTATCAATCCGTACTCCGTCAAATGCAAACATAAACCAAGTCAAACCACCGAATCAAATACATGAATTTTTCCACGTCCCAGAGGAAGGGAGACTTAGTTTCACCGTCGCGTATATTCCTATCGCGGGGACAAGACTATTAATAGAAACCGCCGCCGCGACGACGACGGTCATGACGGTTACGTGGCGTCCAGCCGGGATCAAATCCACCTCGGCCGTGACCTCGTCCATGACCACGAGGTCCTCTGGGACCGCGAGGCTCATGACGACGGTCGTCGCGAGGATCCGGAATCGGCTCTTCGAACTCTTCTTCCCACTCTTCAAACTCGTCCATGTTATACTCGTTGTATGTCCTCTTCTCTTGGACGGCCTCGTCTGCATCGAAAATGAATCGCGTTGTACCTCCATCAGCAACCTTAAGCCCGCGCTTAATAGTGCTGGTGCCTGACGCGGAAGGTGTGTTCAATGACATAGGTGAGTCTGATGACGGAGTGGGAGGCGGAATAGTCGATTGACATTCCTTGCATTGATTCACATAGCGCGAAAGGCCCGCCCGTTCAGAATACTGGTTTACCCTGATCTGGACATCGATGAAAACTTGTAAATCAAACTCGGGGCCAACCTTGGTAGCCTTGCCATGCTGCGTGTAGAGATCGAGAAGATCGAGCATGACTTCAGCTACACAGTTATCGTCGGTGTGCCAATCAAGTGGATTCATACTTCCAAATTCATCATGGAATTGGTTAGTGATTAAGGCTGTCAGCTGAACAATTACAAGAGCACAGGTGTATGAGCTATGCTTAAGCGGCGCATAGGTCATATATAGGTCAATAGACATCTTCAATGCTGTTGGGATGAAGTCCGAGATATCAGCCGGGGGGGCAAGAACTTTCTTAACGATCTTAGCAATAATCTTCTGAGGGTACCGGACACGGAAGTCAAAATTGATCGCTTCGACCATGAATCGCTCAATCCCGATGAGTACTTTGGACGACTGATCAAAAATCTACGTTTTAAGTTAGTTCATATCGATTGTGTAGAAAGAGATGTGAAAAAATCGACTAACCTTGTCGTCCTGAGTAGTCGGATGATCCGGGTTCTTGAGGTTGTGGTGAGCGCATAGAACCTCGCGCGACTTCTTCAACGTATCCTCGATCTTACATGCCACAAAAAGAGAGGCCAGAGCAGCATCGGTATAATTGTAATCGGGGGTAGGATGATCTAGGCGGAAGCGATGGTACAGAGTACACGCGGTATTGTAAGTCTTGACTGGTCTAGGAGTAATTATTAATTATTAGTCCGGATATATGAGACATGACGGGGTGTGACTCACAGCAAGAGAGCCTCTCTAGTAGACTGGATAACTTGGATACCTTGGAGACGGTAATTAGCCTCTCTGGCAGGATCCAGCCGTCTCTCAGAAAACATGCGACCAATATGACATTCGCAGATGTACTGATGGCCAACTTTGATGGTTCCTAAGTCGGGGCCGGCAGTGAGTCCTCGAGATTCCATCGCGCCATTATTAAACCCGTGACTCGGCGCCATGTTTCCGGAGGTATTCGGTGCCAATTTCAACGTCAACTTAGACAGCTTGTCACACGTGCCTTCAACACCAGCGGCATAAAATTGAACGGTAATGGTAGCGTCGAGGTCGTCCGAACCGTCATCAACAGGAGGATTTTTGGACGAAGTAATGGGTTCACCACGTTCGTAACGCCTATAAGAGTCCTCCGGTTCTCCCTCCTCGACCTCTTCGAAATTCCGTGCTTTTAGAATAGTGGCATCAGGGGCGTAACCAGAAGGGCCAAATGGAGGATAGCTAGAAAGCTTAGGTGGGACAATTTTATGACCTTGGGGAATCGAATTGAGATGATTGCTGAAGTTAGAAAAGTCCCATGGGTTATTTGAAACAATAGCTGCCGTAGTCTGGTAGCTATAGGCGGGATTTTGTCGAAGAGGTTGCCCTGAAGGTTGTGGTGGTATCGGTGGTGGTAAATTCGGTGATAATGGATTCGGTCGCAGCGTTGGAGGCGGATAGTAGAATCTAGGCATATCTAGCGGAGGAACATAGTTTGGCCGTCCCTAAAGTCCAGGAGCTTGCTGGGGTCCAGCCCCTCCTGCCCTTCTATCCCATCCCGCATTGGCAGTCGACCCGGTCCGTGTGGGTTCTAAACTCTGAAGACCCACAATATCAATCGCCGCAGGGGTTCGATAGCGATGTTTCTCCAAATCCATCTTCATAATATTTATCACCTTCAGCCAATCGAAAGAAACCAACAGTAACAAAATATACTCAAATAAGGCTGGTGCTAATTAATAAGGACACCACTTCCAAATGAACATGGGTGCATATTTACTAAACGTGATGGATAAGGGAGTTTGCAGAATGAATGTTGGAGAATTACTGGATGGGTGTGCATTTGTGATGTGTGATGCATCTGCATGAGGAAGAAGAGAGAAGAAAACGGGAAGAAGAAAGAAATATCCATGCTTGAGGAAGAATATATTGACATGACTACCTAATATTTACAAAAACTGACCGGAATCTATTGTAGATGGTTACCAAACCCCGATCCGAGACCATCATCAATCGTGAGATATCGCACCGATACCAAATAATAAGAATAGTGGTGTTCTGTTTTCGGCAGCTTGGCCGCGTGGCGGCTTAGGAAGCTTCAGCCAATAAAACAAGCTTTCACAGCCTCGAAGTTTAACATTGCAGCAACCTTACCCATTGCACGCAACCCTTGGAAGGTCCCGAGGCCAGCCAGGGCTCCTGATCGCAAATACGATACACAGCCACCTCAACTCTCCTTTCGTCTCTACCTTCCAAAGTTTCATCTTCGTTCCTTCATCCAAATCCCATCAAATCTAAATATCCCACAGCTCATAATATGTCATTTTAGCATTTTCTGGCCATCATCACGAGTTTTGCGCTTCCGTCGACAAGATGGCTATTTTACGAAAATTACCTGTGTTTCTATCTCTCGCATCCGCCCTCCACGTCCTAGCAAACCCCACGCCCTTCAAGTCTACCGCGGACGATGAAAACGACACGCCTTTACCTGTCGTAATCTGGCATGGCCTCGGCGATACCTTTTCTGCAGAAGGCCTGCAGTCCGTCGGCGCGTTAGTCGAGAAGGTGAATCCAGGCACGCTAGTCTACTACGTGCGCCTAGACGAGAGCCCCTCCAACGACCGAACCGCGACCTTCTACGGCAACGTAACGGATCAGATCGCCAAGGTATGCGACGACTTAGCCTCGCATCCCATCCTATCGACAGCGCCAGCCATCGATGCCGTAGGCTTCAGCCAGGGTGGACAGTTTCTGCGGGGTTACGTCGAGAGATGCAACTTTCCGCCTGTGCGAACACTCGTAACGTTCGGGAGCCAGCATAACGGCATCATCGACTACAAGGCCTGCTCAGCGGCCGACTGGCTATGCAAGGGTGCCATGGCCCTTCTCCACGGTAATACCTGGAGCTCGTGGCTGCAGAGCCGGCTCGTGCCCGCGCAATACTTCCGCGACCCCGCCGACCTCGACAGCTACCTCGAGAACTCCAACTTCCTCGCCGACATCAACAACGAGCGTACGGTCAAGAACGAGACTTACGCGAAGAACATAGCGAGTCTGGAGAACCTGGTCATGTACCTCTTCGACGACGACACAACCGTCATTCCGAAGGAAACCGGTTGGTTCGACGAGGTTAACGGCACAGAGGTCACGCCACTAAGGGCGCGTCCGATATACACCGAAGACTGGATTGGTCTAAAGGCCCTTGACAGAAAGGGTGGACTGAAGTTCAAGACTACTCCTGGAAACCACATGCAATTAACGGACGAAGTACTGGAGGAGGCATTTAGTGAATTCTTCGGCCCCTTCAAGAAGACCTCTTCGAAGGACGACGAGGAAATAGGCGAGCTATAAACGCTCAGCAAATTCAGCAATGTATGTCTTTAGTAATTCCTGGGTACCTACGGAGGTCTGGATAGGGATCACGATTATGCAGCAGCAGCAGCAGCGACGTGGGGTTGATGGATTAATGTAACGTATAACCATGGAATAAATCTCTTGATTAAGAAACTTTTATACCTGTTCCCGCCGTACGCCGTTGATTTGTTCTTCAAAGCCTATGCTAGTAGACCCCAAACTCCCGTTGTCACATCTATGCACATACGATGGATGACCTAACAAGAATCCCTAAACCTCCAGAGCCTTCTTCGCCGCCTTCTTCTGCTTCTTCAGCGCCGCTTTCCTGTCCGCAATCTCCTTATCCAGCTTCGTGTCGTCGCTCTCGGGCAACTTATCCTTATCAACCTTAGCAGCCTTCGTCTTCTTAGCCTTCTTCGCAACAGGCTCAGCTTCCTCGGGCTGTCCCTCCAGCGACTTTCGTTTCTTCCCAATATTCGCCTTCTCGCCCGCAATAATGGCCTTAGCCTCGTCCGAGCCGTCGGCAACGACGTCCTTCTGCTCCAGCCACAGCTCGTCCGTCAGCCAGATCGGCAGGGCCGCCGTCTCGGGGCCCTTGACGTAGATGCTCTTCACGTTCTTCCACTTGCCCGGCACGAACTTCTCCACGAGCGTCTTCGCCACGACGTCGACGTTCTCCGCGATCTGCTCGGCGGTCCAGCCGGCGTGTCCGACGCGGACGGCCGTGTTGACCGTTGGCGACAGGTTGATGAGGGCGGCGCCCACGGCGCGCTCGATCTCGCCCGCTAGTTGCGCCGATGTGCACGCGTTCGGCGTGTTGGCGTCCTTCGTGCGCTTGACCCTCTTCCCGTCCGTCTTTGGCACGCGTGCCTGTATCTCCACCGGGATCGGCCGCTTCGCCGTCGTCTTGTAGAACGTCTTTCCGAGGACGCCCGGCAGCCGGTTGATTATTCTCGTGTCGCCTAGGAACACGTCGTGCTCGGCGAAGAGCTTGCGCTGGGCCTCGAACGTCTTGAACTTGGCTTTCAGCTTTCCGACGTCGATCACGCGCGTGACTCGCTTGCGCAGGTCGGCTGGGAAGTCGTCGGACGCGACTAGGTTCTTGTAGTGGCGCTGGGGTTCGGCGGTGATCAGACATATGCCTATTTCGGGGTCGGTATTCAGAGAGTGAGGAAGGACGATCTTGCCAGGCTTGAGGCTTCGGGAGTCGGAGATGTGGCGCTTCGTGGTGAGGGTAAGCCAGATAGGTGTTTCCTTGGAGCCTTCTTCATCTTCGGGATCTGCTAGGAGGTCTTTCTTCTCTGCATTGGCGGCCTTCTCCTTCGAAGCTTTTTTCATATGCGCCAACAGCGCCTTGGAAGCTTTCAGACTCTATGGAAAAATTAGGACAAGACGATATTACAAAAGTGAAGATTGGAAAGTATACGAACCTGATCTGGGTCTACTAGTGAGACCGCAGTCTCACTACGCAGAGTGACTGATTTAGAAGGAGCCATTGCGATGACGATGAACTTTGTTGATTGAAGCTGTTCCGTCTTCACTCGTTAATCGCAAATTGATAATTTTTTTGGCTTTCAGCAATCTTGTTATCTAACTTATCTTAGCGTGGGGCAGAATTTTCGGAACTGGTCCAAGCGTTTTCACTAGACTCGAATTAGATCCAGTATCCCTGCCACTCAGCATATTTGATAGAATGACCAATCATGTTTGAGCATTCATCAAATTAATCCCCTTTTAGGTCATTGCTATTAATGCATTCACTCGCTCTAAGAGCTTTTACAGTCGAAGAAGTCTCTTCCAGGTGAATAATGTATAATTAAATACCTATATTTTGAAGTATTACTTCAAGAATAAGACTCGAAATATGATAAATAATTTAAACTTTGAAAGATACGAACAGTACGCTGCATCTGCGATTAGTAATTCTCAATTACTTAAATTCGATATTATGCCTATGGTTGGCTCTGTAGTTCTCGCTTCGCTTCAAGTCACTTAACTACCATCACCGCTAGGGAAAAGATGCCCGCTGGGTTGCCGTCTTTTCTCTTGCCTCGCAGATGATAAAACCGTACATTGGCTGTCGGTGCCGAGGTGTAAAGGTGGTGTCATTATTAAGAAGTTCAGGTGAACTGCCGACATTCGTACTTTGGATAGGGGGTTGACACCTTGGACGGGCTGGGCGGGGTGTGAATACGAATCTTTCCTTGACGGTTGTTTCACAGTTCTTCGGTGAGAAATCGCTCAGTCCTGGCAGCTAAGGTAGAGAGGTACATGATGCCGCGAAGCTGGCTTAATTAGGTATTAACAGTAAAATCTGCAGCCACATAACCGGAGAAGAGCTTTGTATCAATTTCTCACCGAAATTGAACCCGGAAGTGGCTGATATCGGCTGCAGTATAATATTGCTCAGACCTTTCTTGTCGTCATGTTCCAGACGATCCTAAATGATGAAACATGTTGGAGGGTCTGGGGTAAACACAACTGGGGTGACTGAATTTGAACTCTTCGGCACATTTAAACAAGTAGCCAGCATGGCCTACCTAAGCTGCGAAGTAATCAATCATGTGAACTTGTAGGTAGGTAGGCAAAATATATTGAAATACCTAGTAGGCAATCTCCATAAAGGAGAAAGAAGGCATAAACTTCGAAAGTTAAAAAGTTATGGATTCGATGTACTTTTACGGAATTCCGGCTCAAAATTAACGATACAACATCTAGAACAAGGCAGCAAGGGTAACGAAAAGTACTCGGTAGAATCTACGATTAGTTACACTAATGTAAGTAAACGGATCATCCCATCGATTGCGTACATGCGCATTAAAGCCGCACAACATATGTGTGATGATGATGTTGGAAAAGAGTTCAGTGATCAAGACGATCCGAGCGTATTGTTGAAACGTTGGTGTGGTGGCAGACCCAGAGCTCGGCGAGTTTCGTCGATCTGCGATGCTCATGTTGATCAGCGTTCACCATCCAATAAGAAGCCGAGACGATGCGATGGCTTCCCAATCTTCGCACATCGAGCTAATTGCCGTGACAATCCATCGGTCACATCGACAGGTTGTCACGTTGGGATGACAGGTCATAGAAACAATTATCGAAACGAGTTGAACTTTTGAAAGAAAGCTAGGTAACTTCCAGGTATACAAATTCCTTACGTCGCAGAACAAGTATATCCTCGTACGGAATCATATTTTTAAAGAAAAAAAAGGACAAACGACCCGTCTAGGTATGCAATAGTAAGACATCGAAGAAAACCAATGCTACGTGTAAGATGCTATTACCTACTAAAAACCCACCAACGATCAGAGCCATCAGCTGCAGTTGGGAGGTAGCGCTTCCTATGAATTACCTCCCATATAAATAGTGTGATGCGAGCTTTGTGGGCTGCCGTAAGGGGCAAGGCAAGCGACAGGAACAGACAATTAACCAGGAAAAAAATCGCCGTACGAGCCTCGCGCCGCAACACTGCCACTGCACGAAGGCGATCTTGTTACAGGAAGCTGACTACAGAGTTTTTGAAGGATCTTTGACGATAGATGCAGTGCAATGTCAAAGAGGTGTACATACATACTACCTAATGTAGTATGTATGGGGTATGTGGCCGGGATGGGAGAAGAGATACCGAACCCGAGTTAAAGGAAGCTTTATTTAGGTAATTACTTACATATTTAGATGAGAGCGCTGCAATGAAGATTCGGCGCCCTTGCTTTCGAGTGGGTTTTTGTGACCTGCAAATAGTAAAGTGCTTACGGTTATCTAATAATGTTCCGAGATCCTGTCAAAAACATTGAGGAACTTTGGGTTGGTGATATTAGATTTGGACTAGAAAGCTGGTATGTTGGTTCGAATCCTTCTGAGTCTTTCCTAATCCTGCAGTCCTGTCAGCAAACATGATCATCATCGACTCTTAGCTGTCAGTTTCAGCTATTGCCTTTTTTCTCTGCCGAGGAAACTTCGGAATCAAAAACCTGAATGGCAAGGGTATAGAGTGCTTGGCTATCAAGTACCGTATCCCGCCAGCCCGCATAGCACTTAAAGGCACTAACAAACACCTAAGCAATCTCTCTTCAGTATCAGACCACTGCCCACATCTTGAAGAGGCTACGGTAACTCGGCTAGTAGAGAAGTTTGAACTAATGAGGACCCTGCGATAATAAGCGTCAGATCCGTCTTGTGATTATGAACCAATAAGTACCGCAATCCCTATAATAGTATGGACTAGAAAAATCTAGTGCCTAAAACACCCTTTTGAAGAAATCGTCCGATTGGAGCTGGGCGAGGCTTGTGACGTTTACGTTTGTCGATCCCGCCCAAATTCTGAGATAGATGAATTAGTTTATTCAAACGATGTGAACGCCGGCCATGAAGCTATTCGTTTTCCTAGCTGTAGAAAACATAGTGGATGTCCCTAAAACCATCCACGCAATCTGTGGTCGCTGAGATGTGCTTATCCTCTACAAGGACTAGGCACCTCGATCGAGCTTTAACAAACCAGTTGGCAACCTGGAAATAGGTTGCAGATGTCGGCTGCAGTGCGACCCTAAGCTTAATAGTCTGGTGGATCTCGGCGGTCGACTTCATTGGTTGCTACCCACTGGAAGTCGGAAGTAAAAAGAGCTTGAACAAGCTTCAAGCTCGTTAAGAGATGGGTCTGTGCCTCTTCCGCCTTTTCCTACGATCATGTACCTAGTACTAAATCTGCACGTGTGAGCGGGGAAGTTGGCCGCGCAACAAGGGCACGTTACAAGAAGGGAGATTGGCAATACGGGGGTGTCCATGCTAGTTTCGGAAACGAATTCATATGGGATGTGAAAGAGTTGATAAAGCAAAAAAATAAGAAAAAAAATCGAACATCCAAAGCATACACGTGTGTAGTAATTCCATACAAGTAGAGAAGAGAGTTCCAGCTGGCATCGTCAGATGATCGACCCCATCTTCTATATCTTGTGAGGGGGAGATGTACAAGTTGGAGATTCCTTGCCAACTTCTAAATTCGATCTCGTTATATGTACTCGACCGCAACCCACCTCGGAACCCCCGTCTGTAATCTTAAAGCTCATCCGTAAAGTAGGTGAGCACCCCTGGTCGGCTTAGGTGTGCCTAGTTGTGTCGGTGACGACAGGCTCCCGCATTATCATAGGTTTTTATCCGCTTGTGGACACCAAACACCAGACTCCGGCGAAGAGTGTGTGAGAAAAAAAGCCATCCTTCACCCCCCACCCTACCTTGGTACAGCTATTACCGACTCCCACCTCTTTATCGCGAGTAATATATGTGGTCGATGCCTTGCGCTTTTGGACGTTAGAAACTTGGAATAGTGGGTGACCGCAGGTCAACACCACCATGGATTCTCAGTGGGTGTTCTCTCATCAAAATTCCCCAGAACGTCCTTTTCGAGCTTCCGAAACACTGACTTGGATGATCCAAAGGTCTATCACAACAGACTGTATTACTCTTGGCAATATAATTGTTAAGGCTGATAGTGCTCTTAATGGCTTCGTCCGCGAGGTTCGGGAAGCCAGGTCTGACGTAGATAACGTATCTCGCGAGTTGCACTCGCTGCAAAGTGTCCTAGATCTCTTGAAGGAAGATGCTGGTCTATTCCCTCCGGAGCTGGCAGAACGCATTCCCGCTGTTGTCGAGCATTGTTCTATTGTGGTAAACGACTTGCATTCAACAGTATCTGCGTTTAGCGACAACGAACTACCGAAGCAGGATAAGAGATCGCAATGGCTGGATACGGGGAGGAAAGAAATCGCCACATTCAGAACCTCCCTAGAGGCGCATAAGGCTGTTTTAGGTCTTGCGATAGATCTTGTCGGAGCGTACGTATGATGTAGCCCGCCAGCCAATTAGCAGCTAACAAATGTGAACAGGACCACGATCCGAGATGCGACCTCAGACATAGAACCTAATAAACGAAATACGATACAAAGACACCAGAATGGCGCCGAAGTCTTGGAAGACGTTTCCCGAATTCTAGTTGAGATGAGTCAGCTGCGGATGCGGTTGCCGAGCGAGTTCGAGAAGAAACAGGGCGAATTCAGCCTATACGATTATATGACGTGTTTGATGTCATTTACTGAGAGAATCGTCAGCTATAAGGAGGACGAGCATGAGGCTGAACAGAGTGTCAAAAGCATCGACCGAAGCATGAACCGAAGCGTAGGCCAAGGCGCATACGTAGGAGAGAGCGAACTGTTCGGAGCTTATGTGGGGGACCAACCCGACAGTGCGATTGAAATAACTATCGAGCCTGCGTTTAGGGCGCTTCACGAAGTGCTAGACAACCCCGAAGACGAGAAAATCCCGACTATCGAAGAATTGATGGCTAGTTTCGTAGGTGTTCCCAGCCGTGCGCCGACTCCGCCGCCAAAAGATATCAAGAGACTTGAGCTTGCCAGAAAACATGCGGTATCCCCGTTCGAGGCCATGCCAGACTCCCCGACAAATCCGTACGGCGTCGTTACCGAAATAAGTTCCGAGGGACGACCATCGGAATCGGAGCCTTCCGTGACGACGAAGAGTAGTAGGGGATTCGGAAAGATATTCGCACCCTTTAAACATGCGATTTCGGAAGGTAGACCTCACACACGATCAACGAGTTCGAGTACCACATCCGATATGCAACCCCCAATTATTCAAGCTAGCCTTGTCAGAAGGGGTAGCCATAGGTTATCGGTATCTTTCAAGAAACTACCGATGTGGAATACGGAGTTGATGATGGATGAACCAGAAGGCCCGAGTGCCAATGCGGTCTTTGGTGTACCACTTCAAAAGAGTATGCAAACTGCCAAGGGGACTTCTAAAACACACCACTCGGGCAACGGAGGTTCATCACGAAGGGACTTCCCCTTATGTATGCAGAAGTGTTGCTTCTTCTTGAAGCATGAAGGGGTTGAGGCACCAGATATCTTCGCCGAGCCGGGTGATAGTTATCGGGTACAAAAGCTAAAGGAGATCTTCAGCAGCGGTCCAACATACGGCGAAGATGTCAACTGGAACAACTTTGGCGTATACGATGCTGCGGACCTCATCCTACTCTTCCTCTCGCAACTCCCTAAGCCGCTAATCCCAGAAACCGCTGCAAAGCGATGGATTGCCTTCTCAAGACAGGCTACACTCTCGGGCTCCCATGCAACACGACTCGATCAGTGTATTGACTTCTGGGAAGAAGCTCTTGGCTGTCTCCGAGGACCTAGTCGCACTCTGTTCAAGCTGCTCCTCAATCTGTGGGCCGATGTCGCACAGGCTGAAGAAAAGAACGATATGACAGCTGAGCGGCTAGCTGGTGTTCTTATAAAGCCTCTCATGCACATCTCATCCGGGAAATACGAGACAGATTACATGCTATCGCTCGCTTTTCTCATCCGGAAGAGAGCAGAATACACGGATATGCTAAAACAAGACCAAGTCGGAGTTCGGCGGATTAGCAGAGCAGCGTGGTGAAGCAGTGACTTCATCTTTCGCCGTATCCCCATACCCAACTCATTATACTTCTTCAAGGACTTGCATTCTCGACATTGAATATTTCGCATACATATACGAAGATACCCGGCGCATTTTCTCATAACAAGTCGCCTCATACGTTTTTCTTTTCTTTTCTTCTGCCGAAGTTGAAGCAGGGCCTTCGTGGGGTCGGTCAAATTACATAATTCCATGCATGCAATGAAGAGGTTGAGGAGATATTTACCGCGGTTGTGGATGAACTAGGTGGTGGAGACATGCATTGGCTTGAAGCCAAAGAGGTTGGGATGATGCACGACGGGACGTATGGACGTATGATATTGTCCGCTATTGATGTCAGCAAGCAGAACAAATTTTTCGCTTTGCATGTCGGCAAGGCGCTTTCAAGGTTCTCATAATGTGTAACAATGTATTGTGGGTTTGTTGGATTTTGAATGTTTGTCGACGATACCATATTACGAACCCAGTCATACTGTACAGAATATATCGATTAGTGTCTCAACGCCGTGTCTTTTGTAAAATGAGACTAACCAGAAAATATACCTCTAGGATAAATGAATTGTTCATAAATGCAAGAGACGATTGAGTCAACACAATGCTTATTTGTGAGTAGATGTTATGAGGTAATGAACATATTGGATCACCTAAAGAAAGTTGTTGAAGTTGGAAAGCAAATCATGACATTCAAATTATCATTGGAAGTTGGTATACGTAGTAGATGCCATACAGTCATATATATAATATGTTTTGATACATATCTTCACTGTGCTAAGTGTAATTTTGAGTATATCCGTAACACTTTGTAGTATCTTAGGCAGGTAGGCAGGAAGAGTAGGAATGGCAGGAACATAGGTCTACAATCCTTAAGTGGTGGGTCGTTAAAAAAATTTTGTGTCCAAACCCACTGCAGTAAAGAGACCTTAAAGAGGCAGTAATTACGGAGGTTGGCTAGTTCAGTAAGGCCGATTTGACGGTTAAAAACGCGCCGCAGCAAGTGCAATTCACTGGATGAAGCAACCGCGACTGGTGGTTTAGGTAATATGTAATATGGGATGAGGAGAAACCGCGTCGGCTGCTCATGCCCAGACAATCAAAGTGAGAAAAGTGGATCTGCATGTCGAAATTCTTAAGGAACAATTGAGAAACGCTAGGACCTATGCCGCGAACTCTCCTCACTCTCTTTTCTATTAGGTCTTCTTTTACCAGACCCAAACCCGACCGTTTTCTGGACCTCAAACTCAAAAAAAAGATATGAGAGACACAATCATTATTCTTCCGTTTTATTTACTTTCTATAAAAATTAATCTCTCCGCCCAATTTGCAGACGCCGAAAAGGGAGACTTACCAGCCTGCATAGATACATATGGTTCGGACACGGAGCTCAATTGTATAAGTGGAGAGGAGGGAAAATCCAGCTAAAAAAAGAGCGTGTACTGAACGCGCAGCGCGAATCCAAGTCTCGACTAAGACGCGCAGAGAACCCACACCCTTTTTGACAGGGCGGATTGTGATACAACCAATCTTCTCAATTCTCTCAACCTTTTCTCCTCAATCCCTCTTTTAAACCTTTTAACCATCACGTCACTTTCTCCATCACGTTTATGTTACTGTGTATTTATCTTTTTCTTTGATATGCCTCTTATCCATTCATGAAATCCTCACCCATCAAGAAGATGGACAGGGCTAACGCAGAGGAGCCTACGTTGCCCCCTGCATCTGCCTCTTCCATCTCTAACACAGCTGGCAAGAAGCGACCTGCACCATCTTTACTTCCACCATTTGAACCACTTTCATCATCGCCTGGTTTCCCACGTCCATTGAAGAGACAAGCTCGAGATGGGTCCATCGCTTCATGTGCCTTCCTCAAGTATCCTACCCCTATCCCAACCTCGAGTACCGGTATCTTGTCGTCGTCTCCTCCACGCGTTCAGTCATCCAGACCTGTACTTCAACGTCCTCAATCATCTGTCTCGGAACGAGCACCCTTATCTGCGGTACCTTCCGTCGAGCTCAACGGGAATGGCGAGATGCTACTAATGGGTCGGTCGAGCAGCTCATCTCACCATGTTCTCTCTACCAACCACCTCATCTCTCGAGTTCATGTTAAGGCACGATATATTCCAGCCTCGGACCCCTTCGAACCGAATAAGGTAGAGATTATCTGCAATGGCTGGAATGGGATAAAATTGCATTGTCAGGGACGAACGTGGGAGTTGTCGAAGGGAGATACATTCACATCCGAAACCGAGACCGAGATCATGGTGGATGTGCAGGATGCAAGAGTAATGGTTCGTTGGCCTAAGAGGGAACGCCATGACTCCGTTGCAAACTTGTCGGACTCATCGTGGGATGAATCGCCACGCTCTAGACACCGTCGTAACGGCTCTGTGTCGGACTTTCTGCAGTCGAGTCCCCTCCGACGAGAAGCTCGTATTCGGTCACCTGAGTCACCAACTCCAGCAGTACGCAATTCGTCGAACGTCAACTTACTTCCGGATGATGACCCTAGCGAGCCCGTCCAAATCTACGAGGACGCGAGTGGAGATGAGCAGGAGCTTCCTGTACCTGCTGCCAATGTAGACGTATCATTTGCCCAGACCGAGATCACGAATAGCTTTTCCAGTGATCTGAGTGATCCCGAGGATGACGACCTTGATGAGGAGAACGATCCCATCGTACATTCTTTCGGCCCCTTCGGAGCCAACCTTTCCAACCGCCTAGCAGCCTTTACGGCGGAATCTCCTAAGCAGTCTCCCAAGCAATCCCGTAGCGGATCATCGGGCGACACAACAGCCAAACCATCGGCAGAGCCTGAGGAGATCATTAACAGCAACGTCGACGTAGCTGCTGTCCGAAACCATGTCGTCAACCAACTAGCATTTTCTAGACTGTCGTCGAACCCTCTATCCGCCATCATGAACAACCTGCCCGCCGAAGAGAAGAAGGACTTAACCAAGCCTGCTTTGAGTAAGATCATCGCAGAAACCTCTTGTATCGGTGTCATCACCCGCCAGGGGAAAGATGCGGCTGGTAAGCCACTGGAGAGCGAGTACTACTACATTCCCGAGCATGACGATGATGAGTCACGCCGGGTCGCGGTGACGGATGGCTTGCGAAAGCCCAGTTTGAGAGCTTGCAGAAAACAACACAAGGTAATGATTTTCCCGACTACTCCGACGTATTTGAGATATTAACTCGCGGTTAGCAATATTTCTGGAAGCGACCTAAGACTCCTTAGATCCCGGAGCAGCCGGCTGCCCATGATTCCCACCCGATCTTACGAACGCATCCCTTCTCAAGATTTAATCTGACAAAGTGGTCCTTCGTAGACGATGCTATCTTTTTCATTTTTCGTTGCTCGTGGCATTGGTGGTGGTGTTACTATCATCACCAATCCTTGCATAGCCGGAGGCGTTGGTCGGTTCTTTCCCATTATGATATTTTTCGGTCGGAGTTGAGGATGATCCGATGATATCCTGTTGCATCGTCTCGAGGTGGTGTGGTAAAGAAAATCAAGGAGAGACAAGGCGGTGGATGAATGGATAATACCCTTCAGAACGCCGATTGCTGGATGGCAAGAGATTCGGGGAGGGAGAATGTTGGGGAAGACCGAGATTGTACAAGTCACAGTTGCTACATAAAGACTAATGGAAAAGTTCACGCCTCATTCATATTTGATGGGCTGGTCGGCCAAAGCTATTCTTAGTCCGAGTGATGGCAGTGTCATATGGTGTATGGTGTATGGCGTATGAAAGCACGTAGTTGAAGATGTGAGTAGGTATGTACTGATGTTGGTGATGTGAACGATGACTAAGTTTGATGGGACGTTGAGGTGCCGATAAGCCTTTATCGGCTGGAGCTACCCCGCATTTCCACTTAAGCTTGCCCAGATGTCAGGGTATCTCCAATATAGTTCCACTTTTATCAAGGATCCGTCTGCCCGTCACCTATGGTACCTAGTAGCATAGCGTCGATGCGTCGCAGCTTCATCGAGGCGAAAACTGGTGATCGCCGCTCGCATGTCGTATGCTTCATCGCGATCTAGACTGCTCATCACTTAGAGCGAACATTCCAGGTTAATCGTAGTACCTATAAAGACCCTGATGTTTCATTAGTTTTTTTGTTTTCACGTTTTACTCGACTTATTAAGTTTAAAACAATTACATCCATCTATTGTTACATACCCAAATACTACTTTACTTCTCACGATGTCGCCACAAATTGACATCCCCAATCTGACATCAATGGCTCCGACGGGACCCACAAGCCCTCAGCACGATAAAGATGCAGCGAGAGCCATGAGCCGGACCAATAGCTGGACACCATCTCTTGGTCGTAGACAAAGTGTAAATGTCCTTTTCTATATTTCGAAATTCGCGAATTACTAACTTCAGATGCCGTAACTAGTATCACCAAGAAGACCAGAAACACGCGCTGCAGATGAGCGGGGTGCAGGATATCCAGGAGTGTCCCGGGTTCACCGAGCGCAAGTAAATTGTCTGCCGAACTTCCACAACCCACTACTTCATCACAAAGCCCTAGCTTAGGGGTTTTAACTCGGATTACACACTTGCCAGTGGTTGAATATTAATGAAATTGGCACATGGGATTATTTCAACAGGCAACGGGGTGGATTTCAATGTCTTAGGGACGGCAGGATTGTATGAATACACACACATGCATGCATGCATAAATAGTCTGGAAGAGAAAAAAGCATGATGTTTGGGTTGGTGGCGTTCTGGGAGTTTCGGTCAAGAAAAGGAGGGCAAATTGAATCTTGTGGTCAGCTGAACGAGCTAGCAAACGAAGCGGGCTCTCAGACTACCTACGTATATGCATACCCCCAGGGCTTGGTACGGAGAACTCGGAAAGGAATGGCGGGATAAGGGAACAAACAGGAAAACACACCAACCTACGTCCTTGGACGATTGTATGATAATAGCAAGACACTAATAACCTTGGAATATACGATTATACGATCCGCAGAAGCCGTTTGGTCGATATATCATATGGGTAGGTAAGTATATTGTATATCTTCACCAGTCAAATTGAAGATACCTTGTATGTAATAGAAATATAAATCAATTTACCTAGGTCGTCCCATTATCTTTCAATAGCCGGGCGTTTTCTCTTGGGACATACATGCTATTACGCGATCGAGCAAACTAATTCTATCATCAAGCCAAATATCCATCACTCTTATTGCTAAACTCTTAGGCCGAGGCATAACTAATGTGGACTTGCCGGACAGAAACGTCCGTCTCCCAAGAACATAACCCAGTCTAAACCCTCACATGCACAAGCGAACCAGCAACACACAATTGACAGAGAAGGGGTAGTTTGGTTAATAATACGCTTATCATCTAAACATACAATACAACATAGCAGAGTAGCAATGATTGTAATATCGACGTCCCCCAAAAAGAGGTGTCTCTAGAGTCCCAAACCTGGTTACCTACAGTGCCAGAGGAAAGAGAAGCATAAGCAAGAGCAAAGTATCGTGACAATGCCATACTAACACCCAATACTCCGAAAACCCACGTTGTCCATCCAATAACTCTCTCGCCCCTAACGCGGGGAGCCCGCCCACCCTGTCCACCTATCCACCAGAATGAATATTGTCATCAAAATCGACCCGGGCCCTTCCCGTCCATCCCTCCAGTCTTGAAATACTCACTCACAACGCCGAGCCCATACGAGATACCCGCGGCCCACGCGCCACCGAGCAATACACGTTTGCCGAGGCCTCTCTTCTTCTTCTTCCCTTTCTCCTTCTCGGCCTCTTCCTTCGTCACTTTCGGGCCGCTGAATACGGGCTCCTCCCTCCTGACGTCTATTCCCGATCGGAAGGGTGTAGTCTGGGGCTCCTCTTCCACGTTGGGGACGTCGTAATTCACGAATCCGGTAGGTGATACAAACGCTGCCGCATTTGGCAGCGCCGTTGACTTGCCCATTAAATCGATCGGGTTAACGGGTGCTCCGGTCTCGCTGTCTGCCGTCTTGCTGTGTCGGACCTGGCGGAATACTAGGACATTTCCTTCACCGGAGACGATCTCGAAGCCCTCGGCTTCAAGGGGCGCGAAGTGCGGGAAGAATTTTGTAGGGTTTGATAGGCGAAGCAGTACCTCCGCTGGCGTCAGCGGGACAGCTTGGTCGGGCACAATCGAAGTAGTTTCAGCGATGTTGATTTTCTGCGTGCTTGGGTCGTAGGCCAGGATCTTGTAAATTGTCGGCTCCGTAGTTCGGCTTGGTTCCAACTTGAATTCGGGTGCTAACGATGAAACTGGCGATCGCCCGTCTAGCTCCGGATCCCTGTAATATGATGAATGGAGGTGAAAAACGCCTGGCTTAGTATCCTCTTTCACTGGAGTAGGCTCTGGCTCGCCACCGTACATCTTAAATGTTGGCGAATCATCTTCACCGTCGCATTCCTTGGTATATGATGTTTCCAGGCCTTGGGGTTCTTTGGAATATGGGTCAGCTTCGGCCTGTGTTATGGACTGATGGTCAAATTTATTTTCTGCAGTCCCTGTCCCTTGCCGATCCAAAGCTGGCTCCAGCTTTGATTTCGTCTGTTGCCCATCCAAACTGGGTTCCAATCTCTCAAAGTTCACCGGATTAGAAAGCTGGTCCGCGTATTGCTTCTCGGCTGCTTGGATATGTGCTGCCTTTTCATTGGAGATGCTTGACTCAGATCCTGCCCCAGGCTCTGAGCTCCAATGCGAAGCTCGAGCACCCCACGACCCTGAGAAGTCTTCTGGAAAATCCCGAACGTAGTTTCCAGTCAAGGTGGATTGGTTGACATTATTATCCCTATCCCGTGATTTCGCACGTGATTCCCTGACATTGGAACTGGCCTCTCGATCTGCTGCATCGGATGCTTGATTGTGGTTGGCCATGGACCGCTCCAGAGTTTCCCAGTTTTCTGCTTTGGTAGGCAAGTGTCGGGAAGATTGGTGGAAAGACGAGGAGAATAGTGCTGAAGAAGAACTCTTCGAAGACGGCGTCTCGTTAAGATCTAGCTTCTTAAGCCTGTCTGCGACGCTGGATTTTGGCGTGTCACCCGAGTTCGACTCTTGCTCCTTTGCGTCAAATTCCATGAGGCTCTCAGCAACAATGTCTCGTTCAAGTGTATTCTTGTCCTCAAGTTCCTGGTATTTGAAAGCTTTATATTTTTCAAGGTCCCCATATTCCTGGAAAGGTCGTTCCTCCGCCAAAGAATCCTGTAAGTTAGCTGTTTTGTACTTGTTTAGGTCTTCGTACTTGGGTGCAACATCGTCTGTAGGCTGTTTAACCTCATCGCTGTAGTGCTGGTAGTTGTCAAGATCATCATATTTCGGGGAAGTATCTTCATCCCTCTTTACGTCCTCTTCATGCTTGTATGGGCCGTATTTATCCAGGTCATCGTAAGGCGCCTTTTTGGGTTCATTTTTCGTACTTTCGTTGTGCAAATATGGCTTGTACTCGCGTAATTCATCAGGATTCCGAGGTACTTCCGTCTCGAGATTTTCTGCTTCCCTTGATCCGTATGTTTGATACTTGTCAAGATCTTCGTATTTCTTGGTTGGCTCCGGCTCAGCCGATTCCTCGGCTGGAAGATGGTTGAGAGCGTATTCCTCGCTCTCTATATACGGTCGAGAAGTCCCTGGGTAGTCACCCAATGCCGATATTTCGTGCCCATAGTTACCAACGCCATGAAGTGGTACCTGATCAATTTTAATATGTCCATATTCCTTTAGCTCTTTCGGCGGAGGAGGACCAAGGGAATGAACAGGCCCCAGGTTTACTGCATCTTCAGGGGGGCCAAATGCGGTAAATTGGGCTCGGTATGTTTTGAAAGAACCGCTTGTGGTGAAATTTGTATCCTCCATTGGGCCTGCACCTCCCTTTGGGACTTTACGGTTTGTGATAGGATCAATGACATAATCCTCTGTGGGTGTAGTATCCGTGTATGGCCGTTTCCGATCATATTCGGCTTCTGCCCTTGTTGGCTTCGTCGGTGATGGATAGAAACCTTCCCGAGGCCTTCCATCTTTCGGAGTGTGCTGTTGATCCGTGGTTTGGTCCATCCGTGAGTTGAATGCATTATATGCATCTCGAGCATGTTGCTGTCGGCTATTTATCTCGTCATGGTTGACAAACCGTGAACCGCATCTCACCTGGTTCGGTTCCCAATATCTGCGGAGCATATGCTTCAAAAGGGCTTTTGGGTGTCCATCGATGGTACGCTGGTCCCACGATAACCTCCTATTAATCGATTCAATATACTTGTGCTTGGTCGCACGATGACGATGCCGCATTTCTTTCTGAAATTCTGGATCGAGATAGGATGTCCACATGCCAAAGCGAAAGCTACGGGTTTGTTGTTGATGACCAGCTTTTAACAAAGAGATGTTGGTGGGTCGCAAAGCGTTACGGGTCATGGCGATGGTCTGGAGAGACCTCGCTCGAGGCGTGGGTTGGCAGACGGCACGGGTCAACATGTCGGTCGAATCGTATGGAACGAGGACATCCTATACTATCTAATACTGAGATGAGATTGTTAGCAGCGACCGTGAGTATTTTTAGGATATCTTCGATGGTAGATATGATAGTAAAAGCGTGAGGAATGTCGCCACCATTTGTGGGGTTGATGTAATAAGAAGAAGGTCATCGTGGACGGGTGACACTTACACAAAGCCGATAGTTCGACCATGAAGATGACTGAGAAGTCATCTGCTGAAAAATGAAAAAGATAACGATGATGGAGAAAGTGAAATTTAATATTTAGGTATCTAAGTTGGAACACTCCCGAGTCCTAAGAAGATATGAGGAGTTATTATGTAGTAGACTAGGTAGTAGTATGCCGTTAGATCTCAAAGCGGGGAGCTTCGGAAGTGATTGGGACGCATGAGTGCGCTGTTCGGGTTGGGTTTACCTTTCAAGGTTGGGATTTTGCACAGTGTGATTCTCATCTACAAGCCTAACAACACGTGAATAGGTGCCTGAGGAGGTACTATCTAGGTATTACGTATGCGATTAGCTACCTACCTGGTAGGGGTAAATCGATGGTGATGAGGAGAATGACAGGGAAGTTCCGGAGGGAGGTGCGGAGAAAGCGCTAAAGGGAAGCTTCTTTAGCGGAAACATGTACGTCTAACGGACTCTAGGGCTGTGTTTTTTATACTGTACAACACTTAGCACCACTGAAGTTAAGAAGGTGGAGACATCGCGGGGTATGGATGCCATATCTCATTGGTCCTGCTACTCAGATACGGTTACCCGAAGAGACATATTATATCCCATGTACCGAATGCCTCTCGTGCATCGCGATGTTACTACCCGACATCCTACGTGGTCATTTCTATGCAACTACCTTGATGTAGATCTGTTTAGTTATATATTCCCAAGTCAAATGATGAGTTTCGAGAATTTACAACAACTTCGTTTGTTATTGGTAGGTAGAGTTCGGAAGACGAAGAGATGTATAAGGTACCTATGTACCTTATATGAAAGATTGGTAATAAGTGGGGAACTCGGCTTAATCCGGATCGAGGAGCGCATGGGTTATGTACCTAGGTATTCATGACTCAGTTCGGCGAGGTTCTTAAAGAATTGAGGCTTACGACTCGGAGATAGGCTGATCTGATAGGGTACGACGTCACATAAACCGAACCCCACGGTGGGGTAAAAATATTCCACCTAGAAATTGCATTTAGCTATCGCAACTAAGCTATTAATTACGGCGCATTCCTTCTATCAACTTCTATTTTCTATCCAGGGACAAAGAATTTATATCCCCTTATAATCCTGAGATACCTCGACACGCTTTGTCTGTGAGTTGGTGAAGGCGACCAGAGGTCGCGAACGAGCGAGCGAGAGGTCAACCAGTCCCTATTAAAGACTTTAGGACTAAAACAACTCACGTTGACCATGAGTCGCAAGCCAATAAAGTCGCGTGCAAGCGGCAACAAGTCATTCGCAAGCTCTGGCTCTAATTCTTTCGGCGCCTTTTCAACTTCCTCTAGAGGTACCGATCTTTCCTACCTGGCCGAGCCGCCCGACCTCTCCTCCATCTCTGATGCCAATGTTATCGTTTCACTCAAGAATCTACAAAAGAAGGATGCCACTACTAAGGCGAAGGCTTTGGAGGAATTGGTAGTTTATGTTCAAGCCCATCCGTACGAACAAGATGGGGGGACAGAAGAGCCTATACTTGAAGCATGGGTGGGTGTAAATCAGTGGATTAGTATGATATCGTCGTGCCTAGTTAGTAATCTTTACATAGGTTCAACTTTATCCTCGAATCTCGATAGACAATTCCCGCCGTGTCCGCGAACTTTCTCACATCTTGCAATTCGAGCTGATGAAATCCGCCCGCAAGCGTACGGAGAAACACGTACCTAAAATCGTCGGCTCCTGGCTTGCTGGTACATTCGACAAGGACAAGACTGTATCCCGTGCGGCTACTGAAGGTCTTTCTTCCTTCCTGTCGACTCCGGAGAAGGTGGTTCAATTCTGGAGACGATGCCAGGCTCAGATTATAGAATATGCATCTGATGCGATCAAAGAGACTGCGGAGACACTAAGCGACGAACGCTCTACTAATGCGGACGATGCCGAAGCCAAGTATTACCGAGTCTTAGGGAGCAGCATTGCTCTCGTCCTCAATCTCTTACAAAAACTCGACCCTAAAGACCTCGAGAAATTCCAGGACAATTATGATCAATTCTTCGAACAAGATAAGATATGGTCTAGCGTAACTGTTAATGATGCCGTTGTTAGGCGACTGTCTTGTCAACTCTTGTCTGCATGTTTAGAGAAACGCTCGGGTAGAATCGAAGCAGACCTTGCACGACTTAGCAAGACTTTTGTCGCTGAGGGTTTGAAATCCGCCCAGACTGGTTCTGCGACAGATTACTTAGACTCATTGACTGAGTTGACTACAAGTCACCCAACAATCTGGACATCCGAGTACCGTGGGAAAAGATCACTAACATCGAGACTGAAAAGCTTCTTAGAGAAAGGTTCCCAGACTAGTTCTTCAAGGTTCTGGAGTTTACTCAATCAATTACTGAGTGTCATACCCACAGACATACTTCCTAAGGATCTCAATGGTGCCTTGGAATTTCTAGGGTGCATGAGGACAGGTCTTACTCGGAGGGACGAGCCTCGTGGAAATACAGTCGATGGTTGGTCAACGTACCTCAATACTGCCAGGAATTTCGTTGGGATAATGAATTCTAGCGATGATCGAATCAAGGTTGTGCAGGAAAACATATTCCCCATCACAGCACATTATCTCTTTCCTACACCTGAAACATCCGCGTGGGCCTCTGGGAGCCAACCGCAAGTCCTAATAAAAGCATATACATCGACAGCGATCTCGCCATTTCAAGATGTTGTGGACACCACGAGATCAGAATGGAGTCAATGGAAAGAGAATTTCAGAACTCGACTTCTCAATTCATTACCAGAGGCATCAAAGGAACATGCGAAATCTCAGAAGTTAGTGGCCGAGGAAGGGTTGAGATGGTTCACTTTGTCAGGTTTGATTTCGGATGCTCACGAGAGGACTCTCGGAACAGATCGCCCCATCCCGAATATCCCAGCCGAATACTCTGTGGAACTTCTTCGGGATGTGTTGAAATTGCTTGAAACAAGAAATTGGAAGCCATTTGGAGCAGCGGCAACATTAGAATCCGCTTTCAAACAGGCCCCCCAACTTTTCAAACAATCTTCAGGTGGTGTAGGGGAAATACTTGACTATATGACGACTCTAATCTCAACGAATGGAGTCGAACTACTTCAATCACCTTCGGCTGCTCACGTGTTTTCCAGTGTTAATCTTCTCAGTCAGATCCCCGAGCAGAAGCAGAAGTATGAAGAAATCTGGAATATGAACATCCCAGCTCTTCTAGAGCACACCGAGAGTCCTGGAGCATTGTCGGCTCTCACCACTCTCATTTCCACCCAACCCGCTGCTGTTCTTGCTCAACAGGTTCCAGCTCTACAGGCTGAATTGATAAAGCGATGCCTCATGTGTTCTGTTGGCATGGCAGAAACAGGATGGGACCTTTTCGAAGCTGTTTTCACATTCAATACACTTACAAATTCTGCTGTACGACGGCTTGTGAAAGAACTGGCAAGTCGGATTACTAATACATCAGGTCAACCCGATCTAGGTGTGATCAAGGGTCTACGTCTCATAGCAGATAAAACGCCAGATCTTTTACTGCAGGACGAAGAGGTTCATATGAGTTTGATGGCTAGTTTGTTGAGCATTTCTGAACGATTTGATGTTACTTCCGACGTGGTGGTGCTGAGGGGATTGATGGATAATCCTTCAACAAGCAGTTCTCGATTGGTTGAGTTAGTTCAGCGAAGCATTTCTTCTGCTGACTCAGACTCTCTCTCGTAAGTCGTATATCTTCATTATTTTATGATATTACTAATTGTTCTTTCAGTGTCAGTACCCTCGTCCAGCAGGTTCTACAGTCCTCTACTGCTGGGCTAGATTGTGATGCCCAACTTGACCGTTTGGTACCAGATACCACTGTATGGAGAAACGGACTCTCTCTTTTCCTACAGGAAGCACCAAATCAATCCCTTTCTCTCACAAGCGCACTTGGTGGCGCTTATCTTCTCCCCTCGCAGCCTTCAACTACACCAGATACGTCTATCCAAAGAGATAGAGATGGTTGCTCAGTGTCCGGGCGCATGGCAATGTATACGGCTAAGCTGCTCCGCGGAGGATTTCAGCTAGATTCTCTGCAGCTCACAAAAAAGGCCGAGATCATAATATGCTTGAGTTTGACTGCAGAACTAGCAGTAGACCAATTAACAGTCATGAGCGAAAATAATATATGGAAATCGCTTTCTTCCGAAACCTCTCTGTTGGACGCCGAAGATTTAATCTCGTCTGCGCGAGGACTCATTATTGACATGACTCAGGATGCTGATGGTTGGAGAGATGGCACTGGCACGGACTCGTCAATTCTGATACACGAAATTGTTCAAAGATTGCTTGATGAGGCAAAGTCTTTGACTACTCTTGGTCTTTATTCTGCGCGAGTTTTGAGCGAACTTCTTCAGGCATTGACGGAGAACCACGGTTTTCCATCTAGCGGGGAGCAATGGCTAGCGAACCTGGATATACTGAAAAGTACTCCCTCGACTGTATTCCCCGCTGTGGCGGTTCTTAGCGGCCTCGGCGAAACAATATCCGCGTCAAGGACTATCAGTAACTTTTGCAACCGTCTCGTTAGTGATGTTGCGGGAGCAAGCATCGGCCAGGAGAAAAGTCTCATCACTCTCACACTTCTCAACTCTTGTATGCAAATATATGATTCTGGGGAGCTGCCAGTTGCGAATAACAGACTAGTTTTTGCGGTTAGGCAAATCACGTCGTGGTTTGATACCCCTGAAAAACTTGATTATCGCTTCGCAGCACAGGCCTGTCATTGCCTCCAAGGTCTTCTCCCATGTATCAAGGACGTTTATGGACCACATTGGGAGAAGACTCTAGATTTCTGCACTTACCTTTGGACGAAATCGACAACGGACTCTCTTGATTGTCTCATACCTGGGATCAATGCTTCCCTCCGTCTGTTCACCATGCTAAAAAACTTAGAACAAGAAGAGCCTAACGACGATCTCATTGATGCCTTACAGTCTTCTACGGAAAAGAGGTCAATCGCACTAATTGAACTGCTCAAGCTTCCTAGGGGGAAGGACACACAACCTGTAGAGATTGTAGACTCTATTCTCTGTCGATTGGTAGAAAATATTCCTCTACATCATATCAATGATCTTTCAGAGCTATATGGATTAGTAGCAAGTGATTCAAGAGGCGTTCAAACAGCAGCATTTACCCTTCTTCACAAAGCACTCCCCGCCGCCCAGGAGGAACTCTCACTCGATGTCCTACTAGAAAAGAAGGATGCGCGACTACCGGATGAACTCCTTTCACTCCTTCTTGATGCGCCGACACTCGAACTTTATTCTGAGGATATTCTTACGCGTTTCCCAACGCCAATTAGATCATATCTCCTCTCTTGGCTCTTGGTTTTCGACTCATTCAAAGCCGCATCCTTTAAAGTACGCAGCGACTACGCGGACAATCTAAAAGCAGCTAACTACGTCGGCCCTCTGATGGAATTCACTTTCGACGTTCTGGGTCATTCGCTAGCACGCCCCCTAAATTTAGACAAGGCCAATTTTACGACGGAGCAGATTAAGGAGTACGATTTAAAACTCGCAGACGCCGAGATTGAGGAGAGGAATATGCAGTGGCTTCTAATCCATCTCTACTATCTCGTGCTGAAGTATGTACCCGGTCTCTTCAAGGCGTGGTATCTCGAGTGTCGTTCCAAGCAGACGAAGATTGCTGTGGCTGGTTGGATGACCAAGTATTTCTCCCCGATAATCATAAAAGAAGCCCTAGCCGATGTGCAAGAGTGGGGTAGAACCCAGGAAGAACCTGCGGAGGACGAGAAGGAGCTGAAGATTAAGGTCAGCACCCCCGCGCGGGAGATCACAGCTGGCTACGAGATAGACGAGCTGCAAGCTTCCATCTCGATACGAGTTCCCCAGGAATATCCGCTCGAGGGTGTCACAGTATTAGGGATCAACCGGGTTGCAGTCAACGAGAAGAAGTGGCAAAGTTGGATCATCACGACGCAGGGCATAATTACTTTCTCGGTACGTTTTTTATCACACTGCTAAATTACTATTAGATTCTGATTCTAACTTGGCGTTTTAGGGCGGGAGCATCATTGATGGTCTTTCGGCCTTTCGCCGAAATATTGTGGGGGCGATGAAGGGACAGACAGAGTGCGCCATCTGTTATAGCATCATCAGCACCGACAAGAAAACGCCGGATAAGCGCTGTCAGACGTGCAAGAATCTCTTCCATCGGACTTGCCTGTACAAGTGGTTCCAGAGCAGTAACCAGAATACTTGCCCTTTATGTCGTAATCCAATTGACTATCTTGGTTCGGATAGGAGAACGCCTAGAGGTGCTTGAGGATGACGAGATGCGCGCGGGGTCGGGAGCGTAGGGAATGTTGGTGGCTTTAGCTGGTAGACAGGCTATTTAATTCATAGCTCTCTCTAATAAAATGAGGGTTCAGAGACCACATTCTCGCGATGGGAACACACTCTTTGAAGGTTAGAGTTGAAGAAACTACAGTTACCTCTGTGATGCTGGCCGAACCCCCCTCCACTAGCCGTAGGTGGGATGGCCAGCATATTGTTTCAATATGAAAGTGTTACTTACATCAGGGTCAAGCCCGTAGTCAAGTCTCCGGGCTCTATTTAATTCTACCAAAAATAATCGAGCAGATGGTATAATGGATACTAACGCACCTGTAGTCATAAGGGGCTTAGGGGGTGTTAAACACTAAATTTGTAATAATTCACCAAACTTACGGGGGTTTTAACGCACCGTTATATTGCATGATTTTTAGCCACTTATCTATAGGTATCTAGGTACTTCCATTTACTGAAATTTTCCAAAACGTTTTCAAATAATATAATTTATGATTTATGATAGTAGGTACTAGGAGTTAGTTATTAATATTGAAGCATACCAGGTATCTACTAGTCATGTAATTAAATAGAATCTAAGTGCCCAGGCACTTAAACCACAGGTAAAATGATTAGTAGTACCTCCTAGTATTAGCTAAAAATTCATCACAGCTCTGAAGCCCAAGTTAAATGATTAGTGAATACACTAAAGCCCCTAAGAATTAGCGCTTTATACCCCTAACCACCCTGTGTTTTACGGGAGTTTAGTGGATAAAATAATTTCCTGGAAGGTTAGCGAGATTTATTTGACCAGGGTACCGCGAATACAGCACTGGAGGTTATGGGCCATACCTACTACCTACCACACCAAGGCTAACTAACCTACCCCTATCTACGATCAACAGCCCTAGAATTACCGTTGTGTCTCGCAGGTCTTGAAGCCGATTCACGAGCCATATATTCCATGTAAGTTCTTTCGGCACTCAACAATTCACGAAGAGCTGCATTGTATAACAAGGCTTCAATAGGAATCTCGGGATTATCAGAAGATTCCACGGTGGTTGTGGAAGTGCTAGACAGGATGGTGGGTGGAGGACCTACAATAGTAACAGTCTCATCCGTCTCTGAGGTTGTAGAATCTAGGAGGGTGGATGATTCCTCGGAATCCACAAGAGTGGTGGGATCTGTGTAGTCGGTAAGATAGGTGGAACTGCTGGAATCCATAGCGAAGCCTTGTTCTTGGGGAAACGGGTCTTGGACATTATTGATATATGTCAGACAATCGGCATATTTCGTTACCTTGTTGGGTTGGATTGTATGTTCTGATTGCTGCTGAACAAGTTGAGATTGATGCCAATGTTTCGCGCGTTCCGTCGCTCGCTGTATAGCTAGATTTCGCTTTGTTAGCGGAGCTATGTATGTTGTTGGTTCTGCTGATGAGCTACTGGTTACGTCTGTATGTTCAGTAGTCGTAGGACCATCTGTCCAATCTTGGTCGTATTCCATGTTACCTGTTTCCATAATAGTTGGAAGGGAATTGAAGCTATTGAAAAATTCTCGGTAGGCCATTTTGACTAGATATCTTTTGATTACCTAGGTACTAATGGATTGGATCTTTCGTGGACCCTGAGGCGGAAACTGCCCATTATATACCTACAAAACCAGATACGATCTGCCATCATACTACAAGTCAAGGTGATCGCCTACCTACGAGGCGGATAAATGTAAACAAAAACTATAGTAGGGTCGAGTGCAATTGTGCATTAAGGTAAACAACGTCCTTGTTCTGTAACAATGTTTCTAAGATGATAGAGGAGTTGATAAAGAAGCCGTGCTTTTCACCTATTGTCACAATAGGCTAGAAGAACAAAGATTCATGTCATCAAGTTCGATTCGGCATGTCGATTCTTAATTACCTACGTAGATTTTATACTTGGCCATTGGCTAAGAGGGCTTTAGTAAGTACCTAGGTATGTGGTAGAGCTTGTAATTAGCCATTTTTAGCCATGCCATAGGTAGGGGCAGGTATATTATAGGATCCAAATTAGCGCCTAAGGCAAACCTGCATGCCTCTAATTAATACCTAGGCTACCTGGCTGCCTGGTTCTCATCATCCTTAACCGCACCAACCTACAGAGACACTCGGCCAAATCGAAGGGATCTCGATACTTCGGCATACAACAGCTCTCTAGAAATTTGTTTCTTCACTTCCCCAAAAATGTCTACCGAATCCGGCGACACCATTGCCAACCGCGGTCTCTGCCAGCAATGCAAGGTTCTTTTCTCTAGAGAAGGCTTCGAACAACTTCTCTCCACGAATAGATTCAAGCATTCAAGACTAGGTACATTTCCCAGCAGGGCCGAGTGTCGATTCTGTAGCTATCTGTGGAATGAAGATTTTATTGGAGATTCAAGCCAAGTATATGCCGTACATTGTCTGCGCGACCTAGTTCACCCAGTAAAGGGTAGGGTAAAGCTTGGGAAACGGGATGAGCTTTTGCTATCTTGGGTGATTATAAGCCGTCCTCAACGAGATCGGTATATTATTGGGATGAACGGATCGGTTTCCAATCTCGAATCTCTTACCATAGATCATGACTCTATTCAAGCTAAGGGCGTAGATAGATTGTTTATAACTGTTGAATCGGATAGTGGGCGTCCCATGTGGCAAGCTTGGCGGGCATTGAGACTACTTGTTCCAAAAGGTGATATCTCAGCCTCTATCGGAATTTGGTGCGAGTCTACCTCTTTTGCCGATTAGCTGACATAAGATCGTTAGATAATCCCGTCGCCGCATTTACTAATTTTCGCCCCGTGGAGTGGAATGGGTTAACGGAGGAATGGGCAAGTGATATAAAAGCCCTGCTCGAATGCTGCCGTGTGTCACATCCCCAATGTCAACCATGTGGTCCAACACGTCTTCCATCACGAGTCTTGCATATTACTGAGAATGGAGAACCATTCCCACAAGTTCAGCTTCTCGTCACTATCGAAAGACAGACGGGATATTATACAGCCTTGAGCTATTGCTGGGGAGGGCCACAACCATTCCAATTGACGAAAAGCAATCTCCGCGCTCTTCAAGGGACAACTATAGAAAGCAATTTACTCCCACAAACGCTGAAGGATGCAGTCCGCGTGACGCATCTCTTAGGGTTGAGATACTTGTGGATAGACGCATTATGCATCGTGCAAGACGACCCCGAGGATAAGAAGCGCGAAATAAGCAAGATGTGTGCCATTTACCAAAACGCCTTCGTCACTATCGCCGCAGCCACATCTAATTCCGTGTCCGAAAGCTTCCTTGATAATGCATCTGCGTTCAGTAAAAAACACGCCACCTGTACCGTTAATGTCTCTCTCGGCTCCGAGGACCGTCGTGACCCTACCAATCTTAACGAGGTCACCGTCGCCCCGGTGCATATACACAAAACCGATGCGTTTCCTCTCAATAAGAGAGGCTGGACATTTCAGGAGGCCCTACTCCCGACGCGACTGCTCGTATTTGGAGACCTCGAGCCGTTTGTCCGATGCCGAACTAGAAACATAATGAAGAAATCCTGGAGTATGATTGATTACTCAATTGTGCAACCACAGCGGCTCATTGATAGTGTAGCGAGTAAAAACGCTACTGAGAGTGGCTTGTTCGTTGATGCAGGGGGCGATCTCGATAGTATTTGGCGAGTGATCGTAGAGCAGTACACGCTCCGCGATCTCAGTTTCGCCGAAGACAGGCCTCTTGCCATTGGCGGGGTGGTTGATTTTCTCTCCGAGAAGTTCGGAGATGAGTGTTACTTTGGCGTCTGGAAATCATCCCCAGTGATGTGGCTGATGTGGAAGTCCGTAGCCCCGGAGGAGCGAAAGACTATTCCTGGACTGCCAACCTGGTCGTGGATGTCCATCACCGGCCCTATCGATCTAGACAGTGTCGTTTATTTCAAGAGTTCAGAAGGGGTGGTTGAATGGGACTCAGATCCTTCACACGCTAGGCTATTGGTTTCTTGTTGTATTCTGACGGGAGAAGAAGTGTATAACGCAGCAGAGGAGATTGGCTCTAAGGTACTGATAGATACTTGGTCTGACTTTGCTGAAGATACGACGGAATATATTTATATGGGGTCGGAGGAGACCTACTTTCTCGTTCTAGGCTCCGAGACAAATGGCCATTTCCTGGGTATTGTGGCTGCACGTTATGAGGGTAATGTCTATCACCGGTGTGGGCTTGCCGAACTGAATGTTCCAGAAAACTGGCGCTCCAGGCCACGAGAGCAGATTATACTTACATAGCGCTGGATTAATAATTATATATAAACAAGCGAAGGATAAGTAGTGTTTTTCTTATATCATAATAAAAAATAGAAGGTTAAGAATATGGTGACCTCCTAACCCCTATTTATGTAGGAGGTACCTAGTAGGCAATTATTTACCCGAGCGCCCGGATCAGATCTGACCAAATCTCAGGACTAGTCAATTTGTACGTCATACCAAGGGCGCCGCGCAGCCAGCGATGCACGTCTCCACCTTTCTGACGTCAATGAACTCTGATGATAAGATATGCGACAATTGACTTCTGCTATGATTTGGTGTTTGTTGCAAGGTAAGGGAAAGCAAGGTGAACCGATTCGTCTCGTTTAATTCTTTAAAATGGGAGTTGGTCTTTTCTATAATACTTCCATTAACGACTAAGCCACCGGGATTGTCGGTGCGGTCTTAAACATGACGGAATACCTACATCAGAGGCTGAAGGGCTGCAGCTTCAAGTTGCCTGTGTATTCAGCCACGGATAGAAAAGTCGCGTGGCTTTCTTACTTGAAATCTAGTACGGCGTGAGCATAGAATTGGGATACACAGACTCATTAATGATAGTAGAGAAAAGCAGTCCAAAATGTCTCTCTGCCCGAGATTGGCGCGGACAGCCTTCCGCCGTAACTGTCCAAGCATATTACAAACATCACGCCCCCGTACACATCAGCCTCTACGGCCAGCTACGTCCATCAACCCTACACTTACATATCACAGGTCATTACACGACTCACCTGTCTCCTCTACAAAACCTACCAATCCAGACCCTCGGGAGAACCCAGCACATGCCCTTGCGCCTAACGCCGACGTGAACGTTGGTCAGAGACGGCTCGCCGATTTCGACTTAAAGGGCCGTGTCTTCGTTGTAACCGGTGCGGCAAGAGGTCTCGGCCTTGCCCTTGCCGAAAGTCTCGTCGAGGCCGGAGGAAAAGGTGAATTCTGCCCTTCTGCCGGATAAATTAGACAAACAATTTCATAGACATCTTACTAATACATAATCCAGTCTATTGTCTAGATCGCGAGGATAAACCTGATGAGCATTGGGCGGAGGCCAGAAAAAGAGTGATCCCCGAATGGGGAGGATCTCTGCATTACTGCCAGCAAGACGTCCTGGACACCTGCGACCTGGACAGGGTGATAACGGAAATCGCGGACGACAACCGGCGCCTCGATGGCGTAATCGCCGCGGCGGGAGTTCAACAAGTGACACCGGCCGTGGACTACGAACCGGCTGACGCTGCTAGGATGCTAGCCATAAATTTCACAGGCGTACTTATGACCGCGACGTCTGCTGCTCGCCAGATGATCAAGTATAAGTGCCATGGCAGCATATGTTTGATCGCTTCGATGAGCGGCACCGTGGCGAACAAGGGCCTCTTGTCGTCGGTCTACAACTCGTCTAAGGCCGCGCTGATCCAGCTGGCGCGTAACTTGGCCATGGAGTGGAGCCCGATTAAGCCAGACGGGACAGGCGGCATTCGCGTCAATTGTATTAGTCCCGGACACATCCTTACACCCATGGTCGCTCAGAACTTCGAGGAGGTACCGGGTCTGAAGGAGAAGTGGGAGAGCGAGAACATGATGGGTAGGTTGGCGCAGACGACTGAGTTCAAAGGCGCAGCGTTGTTTCTCTTGAGTAATGCGAGCAGCTTCATGACTGGATCCAATCTGGTGATAGATGGGGGGCACTCTTCGTGGTAGGTCGGTGTTTCGAAAGATGTGTGTTATATTTCGCATGAGGCAAGGGAAGCGATGGTCGTTCGGGACGTGTTATTATCGGCTGTAAAATGTAGAAGATGTCGTTATGTACCTAATATACAGGTATTTCGATTATCCTGTTGTGTTTTACCGGCTGAGTGGCTTAGGACAGTTTTCTTCCCTGTCGAGTTATCGGAGCTTCTTGGCAACTTCCATCCACGGGTACCATAAACTAAAGCCCTGTATACCTGATATTGGGTTTGCTAAGCCTTGGGGCAAGGGATGAGAGTTGAATCCGGGGAACTATGTTAGAGGTATTATCCTTTAGCAGGAACACTCCACATGGTAAACACCGGCACGGGCCGCAAGCCTGCAACGCTAACGGGTACCGAACCTAGTCTCGTCGACAGTCTGAATCGTGATAGGTAATATCCGGCTATTTATACCTAACGTTCTTAGAGAATGCTTAGGGAAGTATAAGCGTGTGATCCTGGGTATTTTGTACGTGATCCAACATATCCAATGTGGTATCACTACAATATCTTCTCGAATCGCTCGACAGATATCGTTATTTCCCTAATTGCCGTCGTATAAGATGGGATTTCGTCGGTGGTAGTACTGTATGTATTAGGGATGGTATGATCGCTCGCCTTGCGTCGGTAGATGTGATGATATAGCAAGAATTCGACCGACAATGTAGAAGGAAATTAACATGTGAGTGTTTCGCGTACCCGTTAGAAACCGGAGTCCGCGCGCCCGAGTAGCGGTTAGTCGGCGGCTGAGCGGCTATCGGGCGGCTTGCGGGCCTCGACCAAAAAACTTCCGGCCTCTAGATGTCTTTCATGCTGGCACTCCCATTTCAAATCGTTTGCTAAGCTCGCATCGACGTCGATTAGTATCCACACAACACTAGAATATGATTCGAAGCTCAAGTACGGAGTACAGTAACATTCCGTCCAACTGCCATTCACCATCCTAGACTGGCTAGTCTCGATCCTCACCTTCGAACACAACAGTGGAGAGCTCGATCATTCCATTAGCCTTTCGAACCTTGGATTCCCCAAACTAGCAGCTCTTTCCCTCGTCAATCATCTTCCTATATCGGAACTTCACGAGCCTGGGCGTGATGAGTAGCAAAGTTGCATATAATAGCGACGATATAGTGCAGACAGATCTGCCACCTATGCCCCTGAGAGGAAGCTACACCAATCAAGCGTCGATCTTCGACTCGTAAGGTATCATTTCCACCTCAAGAATCCTTGAAATTTCCAGGGCCAAGACTCGCGGGTTCGCGCTTGAAAACTATCCGACGATAGTGAGCCCACGTTACCAATTGTTACTACCATAGCGAGCCCCTGTCTCCCTAGCCAACACTAGATTGCGCTGATTATCGACGAGTCGACGTGCAGGATGTTAAGAGTCAGCACCCTTGAGGGACTAGGACGGCGTGGCATCGTGGTCCAGACTTAGTCAGAACTCGGACTTCGGTGATGATTCGACTACGAGTAATCCCGTGGCATCCACTTCAGCCAGCAGTTCTCATGAAATTACTTCGAAGATGTAAATTGATTACAGTGGGCCGAGAACCGGCTAGCCGTCGAGGACGGGGGCAGAGGCTCCTTATATAGCCAGTCGTGAGCCCCCAGCCCTTATCAAGCACGCGATAGCACGCCATCTCAGGAACCTATCTTCGTGAGAGACGATCCTTCAGTTATGTCTCGCCAGATCGACAGGGTCCCAACGCCGGCTCACGTGAAGCCTAAGAAGCTGATAGTGCTTAGTGCACCTAGGTGAGTAGATCTGGATAAGACCATCCAAAGTCTATATGAAGGTTTCTTACCAAATATAGAACCGGCACTCATGGCCTCTATAAAGCTATGAAAGTGCTAGGTTTTACGCCTTACCATATGGCTGAGGTCCTCAAGATCGGAACACCAGCAGTCAATATCATGAATGACGGACTTAGTGCCGAAATGCTCCATAATGGCAAGCCATGTAAGTGCTTCTGAGATGTCACTCAAGCTAGTTGAAGCTTTTCCAACTGGTTTGTCGTACGTTGGTGGTAGATGTGAAGGACTAATAAGAGTTCATAGATACCCGTGCCGAGTTCGATAAATGGTTCGCCGACTATGATGTGGGTAGTTCCTTTTGTGGCCTACACGCCTATTCTAAGCTCACAATATTTTCGACAAAATAGGTTATAATTGAGATGCCATTCTTCATGCTTCACTCGATAATAAAAGCATACCCAGATGCTAAATTCCTCCTGACCGAGCGAAATCCCGAAAAGTGGGTTAAGTCTTTTGTTAATACCATCGGGAAGTTGTCAGTAGAATTGGGGTCCTTCCCGATGTCCTTATTCAGGTTGTTCGACGGTTTCATCGACGGTATGGGTTATATGGGGAGTAATATGTTGAATTACTACTCCAATGGTTACGGCTTGACCCCGACAGGACAGAAGTATCTTGCTGAGAACTATATGAACTAGTATGTTGGTCTGAAAGCCTCTTTTCTATAAGAATTGTTGCTAATATTTTAGAAACAGCATTGCCGAAGTGAAGCGAATTGTTCCACCAGAGCAGCTATTGGTATGCAAGCTCGAGGATGGGTTCGGGTGGGACGAAATATGCCCATACCTGGGGGTACCGATCCCCGATACTGAATGGCCGTCGCTCAATAAACCAGAGGAATTCCACGAAATCGCGGGCCCTAAGGTGCAGCGCGCATTCATGAAGGGTTTGGTTGGCATGACGTCCATAGTAGTCCCCGTTGCTGCTGTAGGTTTATGGTACCTGAGAAAGGGAAGATTGGCCGTCTGAAGTCACAGTACAGACATTAAGCAAGTATACATACTTGCATACACCTTCAATCCATCTCATATGATAGATATTAGGACCAGAAAGAGATCTGCGTTGCTAAGGCGGAACAGGTATGTATTGGGGCAGTGATTTGAGCTGAAGAGGGCATCGGCACCCCGGTCCGAGCGTGGCGGAAGAATGAGATTCGCGAATTGGATTCATCCAAAGAATCTGGAGTCCAGATGTTTCTGCGTCTCGTCCTTCATGATGCGAGATGTAGATAGCCAAACGTTGCTATCATAAGGCAGAACGTCTGGAGATCATGATTTGAGCCAAACTATAAATTCAACTTCGCATACATTCAAACTGCAGTGCCTACGGGATGTTAGTACCTGCTAAGAAATCAACCTCAAGGTAAAAACCTACTTGGGAAGCGGTAGCTCTACTAGTAGTGTTATAAACCACCAGAGCAGCAATGAGCTTACGAAAGTCTTCGTTCACATCTGGTAAGATATCATCCCATGTTCGGCCTTCGAATACCTGATACATATCGAATGGGGGTGTCTTAAAGTTAGTTGCTTCCGGCCACGACTCTCGTGTAGGGCTTCCGATAGTCTTAAAAATGCTAAGTATCAAGCCAAGTTGGTTGCCGTCCTCATGAGCAGCTCGAGATTCGAAAAGTGGTCTAGGGGAATCTCGACAGCATTCGGCGAGCATAGTCCCAACGCCCCACATATCTACCGAAATGCCATATGCCTTATCACCGAATAAGGCCTCGGGTGCGCGATATGGTCCCGTACCGATATCTAGAATTTTGCTGTGGGGAGGTTCCGTGGATACTGAGAACTCCGGATGCCAAGCTGTTCCAAAGTCGGAAAGATAAGCAGGGCCATCGGCCGATTCGAGCAATACTGCAGAAGGCTTGACGTCTCTATGTATCATACCCTGTTGGTGGATGTAGTCCAGAGCTTTAAAGAGATCTGTGAAATGTTTCTGTATTCGACCTCTGGATAAAAGCCCCTGCTGGATAAGGCTCTCGAGGCTCATTGGCATAAATGGGAAGACTAGAGTAAATCGCTGCTCCTGATCTCTGAAAGTTTCGAGAAGAGGGATACATGGCTTACTACCTTCTAGCAGCTTTAAAATTTTGGCTTCCCTAAAAGGATTATGTGGCTCTATGTTGCGGGTCTCAACTATCACCTTCAAAGCCACTGTCTCAGATCGATATACCTCAGCAGTAACCCCGCTAGAAACATAATGACAATTAGAATAGGATCCTATAGTGATACCGGGTGATTCCGGAACATCTTGTCCTATAGTAATTGGCGGTGTCTGGCTTGATGACGATGCTTCTTGGACATATGTATTTCGACAAATTTCATCATACTCGATCTACTCTAGACTTTAGCATTTTGTATAGATCCATAGATGCGAATAATAAAACATAGAGACAGAAATACTGGTTAGAGTTTATAGGCGATTCAGATGATTAGGTAGATACGGAGGTTGAGGTTGCAGAGAACTGTAACATTGAAGTGCTTACACGCGATGTGGAATTCTTATAAGCTTCGTTTTCAATTGCAAAAGCACCCGACTGTGATAAAGAGGTCGAATTGTCTGTTTTGTCAAGGGCGGCTTTTCTATATCATGCCATAGGAATAATTAGCGTGGTTACTCGGGGGTAAGTAACAATGGAACAATAATAAGATGATTGAGCTTAGAGATATTTACATGACTTGGATATTGTCGTAACGATCAGAGGAGGTGAGTGAGGATCTCCAATCGTCGAGGTTAGATGCCATTTTATCAAGCTACCAAAGAGAGTCTTGTAAGAATAGCTCTCACTCTACTGATTATAACATAAGGTAAGTAGGAGTAGAAAGGAATTGGATTCTAATGAAGACAATATTATAAATAAAGTTAATTTAGGTATCCACCCAGGCAGTTAACTCAGAACCTATCCCGTCTATCCTCCTGTCGTGTTTAACTTGAAGCATTCATTAAGGTTCACAAAGTTAGGCTAACTTAACGACTTAACGAGACTTTTATCCCTTTATGGCCGTTTATGGCCGAAATGTTTCGGTATCTGCAATATTTGTGGAACAATTAATCTATTTAGGTAGTACTTGCCTACATAGGCCTAGAGTGGTAGCGCTTCCCCCGGAGAAAAGAGGCTGGAGAAAAAAAAAGAACAGGGAGCTCTGACAGCATATGATCCATGTCTTGTACAATTTCCATGGAAACCTACAACAGCTACCTCTTTTTACGGCTCTCAGCTTTCAATCTCCAACATTGAACTCTCAAGCTACCCACCTTACCTAACCGACTATCTTAATTCTATTTTAATACCAAATACAATTTTGTATCATCACCAACACCATCATCGTCGCCTTCATCGTCAATTGCATTTTCTTTAGCAATTATTCTCCCAATGTCCTCTTAATTCCCTTTCCTTTCGCTCCTCTCTTTCATCCCGTATTCTCCGTATTTATATGTCTCCCTATCGCCCCTCTTCCGTATTTTCTCATCGTCGCCTGTATGATCGCGCCCGTCCTTAATCGCAATGGAAGATCTCCAAAGAGCTGAATACCCGGCTATGCTGGTAAGCTTACCTCTTTTACCATACTAAATCATCAATTCCGCCTCCCTTGATATTATATGCGCGCTCGTAGACACGACTAACGATATCGATCTTAACAGGCAAACCTTCATCCTAACCAAGCCGTACACTCTCTAAACGACCGAGTCAAGCGCATATCTAAGGTCAATACCGAGATCGCCGATTGGTTGCAGGTAATATATGCAATCCCGCCACAACCCCTCGACAGGTAGCTAAACTACGATACAGGAGCGTCGAAAAGTAGAGGAACAGTATGTCCTAGCATTAAAGAGGTTGACCCAATTCCGGGTTCCTAATGCGCAGTCCGAACTCGGGTATGTCACTCAATCCCCCTATATATTTGTTGTGACTTCTTTTTGCTGCTCCCGGTATTAATATTAAACCTGCAAAGAACTTTCCAGTCACAATGGGACAAGATCCTTCAGTCCGCCGATGCCGTTGCCATGTCGCATCACATTTTCGCCACTAAGATCGAAAAAGATGTAGAAGCGCCCTTACGAACATTCGGCCAAAAGAAAGAAATGCTCAACATCCAGACCATCCAAAGCAACCTCCAAAATATGGCTAGGGAACTAGAGGATGCCCAAGAACGGTCTGAGAAATTGAGTAAGAAGGGCGGCAAAGCTAGCGCTCAGAAGGTAGACCTAGCAGCTGGGAAGCTAGACTCGGCGACTCAGCAATGGGAATCACAAGCGCCATTTATTTTCGAATCTCTACAAGCCGTCGACGAAAGCCGAATGAACCAGCTACGTGACTGTCTTACCCAGTACGGAACCTACGAAGGGGAACTGGCGCAAAGTCACCAAGCTGAAGCCGAGACTGTGTTGAACAGTTTGCTAGACTACAACACCGCCAACGAGATCCAACACTTCGTTACGAAGACCACTGCCGGCCGACCAAAGATAGAGAAGCGAGCGACTTCGTCGCGACAAAACTCTGGTTTTACTGGCCCGACTTCATCACTAGCACCTCCTAGTATCCATCCATCTGCAGATGATCGTAGTGACCATTCTGTCTCTAAGGAAGGACCATCAGAAAATAAGCTACGTAGTCGAATTGGTACTATGCTTGGCCGAAGACGACAGAGCATACATGGCGGTTTTGGACCGCTCTCACCTGCAAAGGGTCCCTTTGGAAGAAACATAAAGAGCGCGCATGGTATATCGCCAAGAGCTTCTTCGAGCAATCTTGGCGACTCAACGAACCGGTTAGGATCGCTGGTGGAAGACCCGGATACGATTGACACGCCCTCGAGGGCCTCGCGAGCGTCCGAAGCAAGGGAGAAGTCTATCAATGACGGTACGAACGGTATGGGCCGCGATGGCCCTACGGATGTAGTACCACCAGGAACGGCAACATCGACTACGTCTCACGTGAATGGTACATCACTTGCTGATATTGCCGACGTCCCTCCTCCTCCGGGACCTCCGCCATCCCAGAAGGAACCGGAGAAAGACTCTGAGGGTTTTAGCGTGCCAGCCCCCGCGAACGATCCGATCTCTCAGGCCCAGAGAGAAGCAGCTGCGCAAGAAGCCGAACAACTATTCAGACTCAACATTCAAAAAGAACCCGTGGCTGAAGAGGACCCGGAGGAAAAGAAGGCCGCGCTTTCCAACGTTGCGAATAGTCTCTCGGCTATGGGAGCACCGGCTCGTAGAATGGGCACGGTCAGAGGTCGAAGAGACGTGCGAAACACTATCTATGTTCCTGCCCCAGTCTCTGAGGGCTCTATGGCCGAAACTCCAATTCCTTTTGCTCCTACGCTACAGACCATATCATCCAAGCCCGCTGGGGTCGCTACTCTTGCTTCTGAAGCTAGCATTGCAGGCACTTCGGACACGCAGTCAATCCGATCTGGTAATTCGCTAAGCAGCATTGTTCACGTTAAGCATCCTGACATGCACGAACCTGGCCTTAACTCTTCTATCATGGAGACGGTTTCAGCAAATTTTGAAAACGGTCAAGTTCAGGCCGTCAAGGTCAATGGCGAGATCGCCTTTTCATATAATGCTTCAGATTCTTCTAACTTGACATGTAAGTTTACCCATCGCACCGAAAAGATGCTATCACGATTACTTACTATTAACAGCTCATATACCCATTCGTATCAACAACTTCCCTGCCCTTGAGGTTATCGGCCCCAACCGCATTTTTGTTACAAACGATACCCCTGATCACTCGGAACAATTTAATTTGGACCTTTCACATATTCATAAGACATCAATCGGCTTCTCGTACAGACTTCACGTAGAACAGGAGACTGCCGCCGCAGAGCACGTGCCAGTGTTACTCAACCCTGTATGGAAGCCACAGGGGGATAAATTGGGGTTGCTACTTCAATACAAGCTCAATCCAACTTTCAAACTCGCCAGCGGAGGCTCAAGCGTGCTAGTACATAACCTAGTACTCTTCGCCTCCTACGAGGGCAAGGCATCAGGCGCCCAGACGAAGCCATCTGGGACACACCTAAAAGACAAGCACCTCGTATACTGGCGCCTCGGCGACGTCACCCTATCTCCGGATTCCGACTGGCAAAAGATCGTGTGCCGAATAGTAGGCGACCAGGGCGTCGAGCCCAAACCGGGTACCGTTGAGGCACGCTGGGAAGTCACACCGCCATCAGACGCTGCCGAGAGTGCAAACGTAATCTCAGTGTCTCGCTTTGAGGAGGGCAAAGGCAAGGAGGCCGAGCTTAACGAAGACGACCCGTTCGCCGACGAATCTACCACCAACACCGAGGAAGGAAAATGGGTTGACGTGCCCGCCGTCAGGAAACTCGTCAGCGGGAAGTACGAGGCAAGGTAGCTTCGTTTTAGCTCAGTTCCAACGCCGTATCATTAATCCCATCTATATATAAAAAGGAGAGGAGCTTGACGAGGGAGAGATGAGACGAGAGCGGGGGAAAGGATAGTTGGCTTTTCGACGGTGGAACAATAGGGAGAAATTTTCTTGTCTGTCTTGTCTGAACGACGATGAAATGCTCTTTTGTAAATCAGATTAGCGGGTTGCCGAAAATTGAAGGTCCCATTTGTGCATAAGTGTAGAGATTCATTCAGCTGTGGTGGTGTCGAGCTGTTCTTTCATACAGTAACTACTTGATTTTTTTGGTTTTTTTTTCTTGGAATTGATCGATTGTTCATTTGTCATCGGATAGTTTCACATACACGTTGGATTACGAAGTCCTTCTGCTATGTCACTTTCATACATACCACCTATATACCTAGTAAGTAGGTAGGTAGTAGCAGGTACTGTTTGCCCCTGCAAACAATCGTACAGTGCTTGCGGTATACATTTCTACGATTGTGAGATTTCATAGGTAAATGTGTCAACGTTTGTATTATGTCATTCGTATGTGCTCCCGGAGAAGCAAGCAAATAATAGTCAGTTAATTCGACCGAGTAAAATTCGATTTTTGGATATAGACAGTTATCCCGAACGCCGGCGTGCGCTCCAGCTAATAGCTAGGGATCATCACATGCTTTCTCATGCCATGTCATGTCGCATAAACAGAAAGTCCTTCTTCAATCATCGACGTAGTGTGATTTCCACGTTCTTCAACCCGCAATTCGCCACACCTAACCTAGGCAATCGCCTCATCGACCAACGGCCCTAGTATGCTCCTCATAGAACTCCAGTGTAAGCGCGGCTAGGAACCCGGGTATGCAACCCTTGTCACGAACCCAGAATTGTATCTGATCTTGTATGCGTCTAGCAAACTGACTCTGCGGGCCTCCAGCCACCTTCATCGTGCCGCGCTCGCCGTCAAACACGATGCTGTTCTCCTGCTCATCGGAGTTGCTGGGGCAAAACAAACTCTCGACACGCATCTTACCATTGGGGATGAATGTTACAGTCCATCCCAGGGTACTAAATATGGCTTCCTTGAACTCTTGAGATTTAGCTGCCCAGACCTCCTTCAGACGTCTCGTTGTCTTTTGGGCGGACGCTGTTTCCCGCTGCGCTTCTTCGATCTCGCGGCGCGCGGCTGCTAACTGCGACGCTGGTATCAAGGCGATATTCGGGTTGGGGTTACGTCGGGCTTCTTTTTGGAGTTGTGCTAGCAACTCCTTGTTTTCTTGTTTAAGGGCTTGAAGTGTGGACACCTTAATCGCTTCGAAATCAGAGGTAGGGTTCGACCGCAGTGATAGTATACGCGTCTTATTCGCAGATTCGGCAGCGGTGAGGCGGGATTGAAGAACTTCATGTTCCTTCTGTAGAACTTGATAGTGGGTCTGTACTTTCGAGAGCTCATCGGCTAGCATACGACGTTTTCGATTTAATTCGCCGAGTTGCTCGCTTTCTGATTCATCAGATCGGCCTCGCTTAGAGCCAAGAGCAGGTAGTCCAGCACCAGTGGAAGATTCCGCAGTGGATAGTTCCTTATGTAGAGACTGAACCTCCTCCTTATATTTGTCGACGAGTTGTTCAAGCTCGGCAACCCGGTCAACTTTGCTCTGATCGAAATTCTCAGAGTTGAAAGTTTCATCTTCTGCGTCGAAGGCTTTAAGCTGGGCACGCAGATATTCAACTTCCTTGATAGCAAGAGCTCGCTGACGCTCTATTCGAGCTTGTGCCTTGGTTGCTGATACAGGGGCACCAGCAGTCTTCAACTTTTCGATTTGAGCAGTCCAAGTCTTTTTCTCGCCTTCGAGAGCTTTAATAATTTCGTCACGCTCCGCGATCTGGGGTTGCATCTCGCCAAGTCTTTCAACAAGAGAAGCCGAGTTATATCTTTCCTCCACTAGTGCACGCGCAACCTCTTGAGGAGAATCAAATTCCATAGCCCCACTGTCTACGCTAGCATTCTGAAGATATGCGGTCCAAGCCAATCGTTCGTCTTCTAGCCGTTGTCTCTGAAGCCGTGCTTCATTGAGTTCGGGTTCCAGAGCTTCGGCGGTCTCAAGCCTTCGTTGAAGCGATCGCTTCTCCTCTTCCACAACCTCCACAGCCTTATGTATCTGGCGCAGATGTGTCAATTCAGCGTGTTGCTTCGCGTTCTTCGACTCGAGTGATCTAATATGTTGAACTTGTTCAGTAAGTTCACGACGAATAATGGCAATGGTCTCGGCATCGCCCGTTTGCGCTTTAAGTCGTAAAACATCAGCCTCCAGACCGCCAATAAGCTTATCTTTATCCGCAAGCTGTTGCTGAATAGTATGCATCGAAGTTTCGCGAGTCTGATTGTCTTGCTCTAGTGATTGGATAGTCGCTCGAAGATTTTTTAGTTGTGTCTCCATGTCGTTAACTCGCTTTTGGGTCATCCTCTCTCCCTCTTCTTTCGCGGCTGACAGATCTTCCAATTGCTCTCTCAATAGGCGCACCTCATCCTCAGCATCGCGGACTTTCTTCTCTACTTCGAGCTTTTCGCCTGCAGAACTCTCTTTCAGCTCCTGTAGCTCTGTCTGTGCGCTTTCGTAGAGTCGTTGTGCCTTATTCTTATCCCCTTCGGCGGCCTGTCTTTGCTTGAAGTCGTCCTCGGCTTTCCGACGCACATCCCGCAGCTCATTATCATGTTGCAGCGCAATCATCTCCTTCTCTTGTTCGTAATTCTCAACCTTAAAGCGCATTGCGGCGAGATCGGCCTTGAGCTCCTCTATTTTTCTTCGTTGGGTCTCGTACTCCTCGGCATCGGGTGGCGCAAGATTCTCCTTAGAGCTCTCATGCGACGACGCGCGTAGAGACTCGGCGCCCGCATGGCTCTGTCGCGAAGTAGGCCTAGCATGATTAGACGTTGTTCGTGCTTCTTCGGGACCGCCGAAGATATTATAGGATGGTTGGTTCGCTTTCTGTAGCGAGGCGCGAAATGAAGTCACCTATTTGTTGAATTTAGAACTTGCACGATCAATTGAATCTCTCACCGAAACATTTATTTATTTACTTACTCTTGACCTCGATGGGATTGAAGCGCCTCCAGCGCTTTGTCTGAATTGGCCCGACATCGAGCTATATCAATTCCTGAAAACCACTATATTCGGATATTGTTTGTTTTAAAAAGTACTATGTAGAAGATGAAAGTGCTCGATTTCCCAAAACTTAGAAAGTCGTGATCTTAACAAAGCCGATAAATTGTTTTTGTTGTTTGCAGCTACCCTGGCAATGCTACAAAACGCGCGCTAATCACTTATCTGATCAACTAGCGTAAACTATCACGTGGAGATAGAGTATACGTACCTGGGTACACAATCTTACGTAACCCGATACCGTGAACCTGCGGGGCTTTCTGTATTGAGCTGAAGGCAACTTCATGTTAGACAAAGATACAAGCTTCCTCAGCATACAATTCCATAGATAAACGTTGGATATATTTGGGATTTAGAAATGACGCTTGCGGCCTTGAATAGGTACCTAGTACCTAATATTTCGGCAGGTACGCTAATTTTTGAGTATGCTGGTAGCTATGCGAAGTAAAGGCCGAACTACCGAGCCGTACCTTCTATAACCTATCCCTGTCTCTATAGTGGAGAATTTCACGTCAGTTCCTGGCTTGGCTGACAGCCCTTATGCATTTTCCCGGGGCAATCTCGTGGATATCGGTCCATTACCGAAATCTTAAAGCTCCGGCGTAACGTTGGTGGGCTTATTAACCTTGGAACATACATAATCTACGTATATCTTGCTTCACTTCATAGCAAAACATCAGAACAACTTCAAGCTTCTTTCTTAAGCCATTCCTTACGTAACACCTCAACTCACGAGGCTTCTATACACATGGATCTCTCTTCTCGGTAATATCATTGCGGCTTTGGCTGCTCCTGCTTCCTTCTGCAACTAGCAATTCGCGCGATTTCTAATCTACCTAACAACTAATCCCACGTAACCGCAACTTCATCTTTCACTCACCTTTACTGTGACTCGACTTGGAGGGCTACGCCATGGTTGCATGTTCAATCCCATCTACTTCTAGGTCGTTGCCGGCTGTTCGGGCACACGTTTCAGCCCTGCGATCTCCAATGCCTCATCCAATACGAACCTCGAGACTCTATTCCACACACGCATCTCGATTACAATATCGACCACGTCCCAGACTCTCCCGAATACCACCCAAATCGAAAATACATATACGTTCGTTCGCATCCGATGGGCCCAAAGCTCCAGTCTCGGAAGGAGCTAAAACTGCACACAAGTTGGAGTCAGAGACCGACTCTGCCGCGAGTGCTGCCAGTTCTCCAGATGAGACTAGTTTCCAAAAACCTCAAGTCACCACCGTCGACTCTACCACATCAACCGACTCAGACTTAGATTGGGAGGATAGACCCAATTTTCAGATCGAGAAATTCACGGATCTTCCATACCAAAATTTCGGTGTGAATCAGCACATGATTATCGATCGAGAGTTCAAGGAGGTCCTGCGACAACTGCTATGGAGGTTCCGAGCACCAATTAGATACGCATTCGCATATGGTTCCGGGGTCTTCCCACAGTCGTCAGCTGATACAGCAACTGATGCCGAGCTCAAGGCAGTTCACTCAAAAGCACCCGTTGCCGTCCAAAAAGCCCAGGATGGCTCGCCGAAGATGATTGACTTTATCTTTGGAGTATCATATACGCAGCACTGGCATTCCCTAAATCTCATGCAACATCGTAATCACTATTCCATGCTTGGGTCGTTGGGATCCGCTGCTGTGTCTCATGTTCAAGATAAATGGGGTGCCGGTGTCTACTTCAACCCTTATGTCACCGTCGATGGGATACTAATCAAGTATGGAGTTGTCAATATCGATACGTTATGTCGAGATTTAAGCGAATGGGATACCTTATATCTTGCCGGCCGCCTACACAAGCCAGTAAAGATCCTGCGAGACGACCCTAAAGTTCGTCTTGCGAATCAGATCAACCTTCTATCTGCGCTTCGTACAGCCCTTCTATTACTTCCCCCGGAATTCACCGAGCAGGAACTGTACGCGACGATCGCCGGCATAAGTTACTTGGGAGACCCGCGAATGGCTTTTCCTACAGAAAACCCAAAGAAGGTTGCAAATATTGTGAACCACAATATGCTAAATTTCCGACGACTTTATGCGCCTCTTGTCGAAGCTCTTCCCAATGTCGACTATAATGATCCGGCCGTTAGCAGTCGAGATTGGATTACAAATACGGACTCTGTACTGAAGATAGAGCAAGATATGGACCCTATTAAGCGAGGTAATATGGTGCGCCGATTGCCGAAAGCTTTCCGCTCAAAGTTGTATTTCGAGTATCAAAAGAAGTTCCAAATCCCGCAGCTTGAGTTTAACAAGATGATTGAAGAGAGCAAGGATGAAGATGCCGGCTCTTTCAAGAGGCAACAGGGTGGTGGTTTTGAACAGCGCGTGGCTCAGGATGAGCCCGAAGCTCTCCGACAGACTATCCGCGGCGTTATCAAGAAGACCATCAGTTGGCCTAGTACCTCGCAAAGTATAAAAGGTGTCATCACGGCTGGGTTTAGCCGAAGTGTTCGCTATTTAGGTGAGAAGATGGCAAAATATCGCGAAGCGAGTAAGCCCAAGGAGGAGGATGAAAAGTCATCATAAACTCACTTTATGATGGCCATTATGTTCCTATGTCACATACGCCTTGAACCGGTCTCATTTCACTTACCTGGACGCGTTTAAGCAACCCAAGCCAAGTTACAACAAACAGCTAGGGGTTTTCTTCTGTTCCGTACCGAAAGCATATTGCATGGATTTGGAGGCGACTTGGGCTTGGAGATATTTCTGGGTTATGTACGTCCAATGCGAATGCGGGTGAGCGATTGCGCCCTTTCTACCGGAAAAATCCTATGAGTTAGAATAGAAAACGAGATGAGCATGGCGGGTTTATTTGATCACTCAGATATGAACTTTTACTATAAAAGACCCGTTCATAACGCTGACTTCACAGTCAAGGCATCTCAGAGACCGATCTCTCTCAATGTACATATGCAGTCAGCAGGAAAAAAATCAAGATACCTATTATCAAAGTATAACATATTTCTAGCATGCTTGTTACTCCGACTAGTTGCATGACCCCATACTAGCTTGCTAATAACTACTAGCTCAATTCCTCGCCGTGTAATTCTACCTACCTGGGTAGGTAGGTGAAAAAATCGAAATGATATCATCATAAGTCTCATAATTCGTTGATACGGCAGCGGAACGAAGCCTTCCTATCGTATAGTCCCATACCCACGCCAAAAAAAACCCTTTCCCCAATCCTAGGTACACGATCGAGCAACAACTTATCCATTAACAATAACACCCCCGTTACAATGGATCGTCTGGCCACTAATCGCCGAGCTATCCGCCGCCGCGAGGAACACCACACACGCAGCGACCTCGCTCGGCTGCGCGGGCCGGCCCATGGGGCTCGTGAACGTCTCCTGCGCCCCGTCGTCCATCGTCGCGGGGATCAGTGGCGTCCACACGGGCCCCGGCGCTACGGCGTTGACTCGGATGCCCTTGCCTACGAATTGGTTGCTTAGCCCCCGTGTGAAGGAGACTACTGCCCCTTTCGTCGAGGTGTAGTCTAGCAGGTCCGGACGCCCGATGTATGCGTTTATGCTGGCGTTGTTGATTATGGTGCTCCCACGGGACATGTGTGGGAGGGCGTACTTCGAGAGGTAGAAGTAGGGGTGGATGTTTGTGTTGAAGGTGTGTAGCCATTGGTCTCTTGGGTTGTGGGTTAATAACAATTGCGTATTTTATACATATGTCGGATGGGATAAGACGCGGAATGGTGAAGTGGGAATCTAGGTACTTACTCGCTTAGCTCGTGGATGTCGCTCTTCACCATTTGATACGCGGCGTTATTGAACAAGATATCAATGCCGCCTAGCTGTTTCAGCGCCTCATCGACGACTTTCTTGCAGTTGTCCCTGCTGGTCAGGTCGGTGGATAGGAGGTGGCATTGCCGCCCGTGCGACTCGACCATGCGCTTCGTCTCCTGCGCGTCCTTCTCCTCGTCTGGTAGGTAGACGATGAATGAGTCTGCGCCTTCCATGGCAAATAGGATTGCGGTTGCCCGGCCGATTCCTGAGTCGCCGCCCGTGATCACGGCTTTCTTGCCTTGGAGCTTGCCGGCGGCTTTGTACTTCTGATACCCGCCTTCGTCGGTGGGTAGGGTGTCGTACTGGGCCTGCAGAGGTAGCTTGTGCTCCTTGCCGGGGAATTCTTGGTGAGTTACGGGGACTTCATGTCCTTCATATGATTGTATGTTAGTCAATTTAATGTAGCTACGTCGTCGGTAAGATACTCACCCTTTTGGAACTGTGAGTCGGTCATATTGAAGGATACCTAAGTGAGTTGGGTAATCTCGCGATATGATCATCTAGTGGTATAAACATAAATCATACCTCGGACAAGTCAAGTGATTAGGTACCCAGTAGATTACAGAGTTGGTTTATATCTAGTATCTTGAAGTAATGGTAGTCGTGACCGAGAAACGGCACGAGTCATGACATCATTCGTGGTCAATTACATCGACATTGTTGCTCAGAACCGCTTTTCTATAACTTTGTTCATAATGACGGCAATAGGACAGACTTTGTGGTACATTTTCATACTTTCGTTATATTCCAGTCTTTTCATGCAAAGTTTAGGTGGAGTCATAGATTGCAATTATTGCGCTAGGGAAATAATTGTTATTATTGGAATCTCTTTGGTGATGCGAATCCATTTGTGGTTGTTTTTCTTACGCAGGTTCTAGCGTTGTTTAGGGGTGAAGTTCCCCTAACGAGATACTAACCGCTATTAAGCACCCCAGGATATTTAGGCTTAACCGCTATAAGACCTGTCAGCACCTTCTATTTGTTCTGTTCCATTATAGCATGGATATCCGAGCACGAACTCTATAAACTGATATCTAGGTAGTACTTACCTGATAAGTAGATTTCAATGGCATTTCTACTACTTTATTCCAGCCAATAATAATCTAATTATATGTGTACGTCTCATGCCATCCATTGACCAAAGGTACCTGTCACTTTAGGTACTAGAGTCTAGGTACCTATGATTTTGCGTTGGCGGGGCATTTCGAAAGTTGATTAACCGCCCGCTGTAACCCAACTCGAGAATGAAATACTTTCGCTAAAGCTCTTATAACAGAAAAGAATCCGTTAAATTCAACACCAACCAACATAATCTTCCTAAAGACATTTCAAATAACACTTTATACTGTCGTCGACTAGTATTCCGTATGTAAGGGAAGGATGACATCATCCGGGACGGGCCGTCACAAAGGTTCTTTAGCGCCCATTCACAGCCCTGAATGTGGGACTGGGTTTACCCCTAACCATAGTACTGGAATATGTCGTTGAAACATTCGAGAATACGAACTAATATAATAAGACTTGCATACTCCGGTTTATTTGGTATGCTATGATAGGCTCTGCTGTAAACGAGAATGGAATCTGGATACTGTGATCAGATACATGCTTGATAGTCATGTAAGGATAAGCATGTAAGTATAAAAAAGGCACGATAAAATCTAAGAAGGTATCTTGTTTCTTTATTATAGATAGAAAGATGTCTATCGACCCACTTCTTCGCAGGATCTTGCCCCATTATCCGCTACGGGTCTCGGATCCATCAAGCCATGTTCGGATCTACCACATTCAGCCTATAAGATAATAGGTCTTTAATATCTAGATCTCTTCAGATATATTGGTGGACGATTCTGGAACCCGGGAAATCTATCTAATCTGACAATTATGCATTGATTTGACGTCGTTTTAGAGTCAGGTCCTTGAGTACGTTACATCGATAGGCGAGCCTCATGTGTCTTAGACGCTTTATAATAGAGGCAGCTTCTAAGTTTCGCAATGTCGCAACGACCACAATGGTCTTATCGAATACATATTCTCCGGACCACTATCAACTGAGTCGTATTTGTAATATAAGTGGTGTGCTGCGAGGGCCAAACATAAGTAACAGGATATACCATGTGTTAAGCGTTCATATCTATAAATTACCTACTCATATATGGCACTTGAGGTAGGGTGATAGATGGGAAGTGCCTTAGTATAAAACGACCACTAGGATGTCTACCGAAAGGCTAGCTCGTATACACTTTGAAGGATGAGTTGGCACGGCATATTTCGAATGTTCGGTTAATGCGCTTAAGGTTGCTTTTGATTCGGCCAATAGTCTGGCTTCACAACTATTGGGTCAAAGTTAGAAATGAGCAATCCCGGTAGAAATGACGAATCCGAGTAACCTTAAGGTCTCAAATGAAAGCCCGTTAACTCTTTGTCATTAACCTATGGCCTGACTAGGCTGTGCCAGTCTATTAGAACGTCTCTCGCTCTATAGTACAATACATGTAACAAAAACTGCAAGACAACGCTTAGCAGATTGACTTTGGTTGGTAATTAAATGTGTCCGTCTCCCAGCACTGGAATAAGCGACGATAGGTCGGCGGGTAAGCACCCAATGCAAGTGAGGTTGAAGCTGTCCGTCCCCAACTCGGCCTCCGCGCTTATTCGTACATGCACAGCCTCACCCCAACGACATCCGGCGGTTGCCACTAGCAAAAATCTGCGGACAATTGTTGTCCTATGTAAAATTCTTCAGCGACCGCAGATACAGCAGTCCAATATCTTCTCTAAACAAACTCGAGGTGAATCATGATCCGTAACGCCCGCGTCTTAATACCGTACAATGCATGGTCCGAGTCGATGTTTATGAAAGCACGATGGCACCCCGTCGGTTCTCGCGCAGGTGTAACAAGCCTTGGAGGCCGCAGAACACCAAAAAGGCCTATACAAGAAATCGTTAGACGCGTGTTCGTTATCTAATATAGGTAGCCCCATCATAAACTTACCGCATATACGACTACGGCAGTGAATACGGTACCGGCAACCGCACTACCGTCAACGGGATCGTCGGTGCCGCCTACGAATTCGTGGTGATTGTTTCGGTAAAGGCCGCCAAGGATAGAGAGAATGATGATCGCAAAGACCGAGATGACTACGCTGTATATTTTAAGATATATAATTAGCAAGTTGAGCCAATTGTATTATATTGGAACCGGAGGAATGCGTACCAAGACCAAGCCTGCATAGCACTAACAACGGGTTTCATGATGGGCGATTGTTTTGTTTGTAAAGGCCTCAGTTGGCTTAGAGAGATAAGCTTAGTAATTGGCGGACAATCTCGGCCTGCAACGTGATAGATGAGAGATCAAATCTATTGTCGTAGATGAGAAACAAGTGGTGAGGGATGATGTCGTCGACGACGTTCAATGCGGAAGCTTGAAGTCGCGAGATTGAATCGGATCACGGATGTCATTGGAGGAAGCTTGGCATACTATTGAGGCTGAGAGGGTGAGGCTGGAGACGAGGCGTCGGAACGGACTATGTATTTAATCCGATGAAATCCCGAGCTGGTGGACAAGCCGTTGAACCTTGAAGTTTAATTTCATCGGCCATGACTAATACAACTAACAACCTCTTGGAACTTCTCCAAGTTCTTGGAACAACATATTTGAACCTATAATATCATAATATCATTTTCGACGCCGTTGGTGACGCGTTTTGAACATCAAATCCCGCAATTTTAAATATATTGCAAAGGACCTTCCTAGTGTTCGGATTGGCGATCCTAAGCTTATAACCATTGGCTCTTAGTGCAACTCTTTGTTAAGTAATGGACACATGTAGGCACGACTTGGGAGTATACGATTATTGATTCGAGATAAATTGTTGCCCAGTGATGGCCAAGCAACTTAAGAGGCTTTGCAACTCCTCTAGCTACTAAGCGCCAAAGATCCTTCACAGCGCCAGCCACGGCTAGTCATTAATATCTGTTAGTGGGATTAACAAGCGTTTAATAGTTTCTCGCCGCCTATAAATCAATTTTCCAGCATCGGGTCCGAAGCTCATATTATGCTGAAGCCGAGACCGGTCGCTATTCGCTTTCGAGCTCTACCGACATTAATGAGGTCATACTTAGTATCAATCTATCTCGGAGATCGGTCAAGGTGACGCGGATCACTTTAACTCCGCAGGAATGATGCATTCAATCTCACATTAGTCAGATTGGGGATAGGAATCCTGTGTGAATTAATAAGTCATCTAAGGACAGCCATCTCCGCACTAGTCAACCGGTCTCCTTTGAGCCACATTAACCGGTAAATTACCACTACAACTGCGCAATCATCGCGGTCACTGTGTAACACCTACCTCGCCAATGGCTCGTCAGTATTGTGTAAGTGGTGTAAGTGAGCCTGCTTCAGGAAACGGAAGCGCGATTTCATCTTGTTCATGATCGAGAATCAGTAACGGCCAACACAATATTATTCTACACTTCATGATGCGCCCGGACTTTGGTTGGAGTACAGAAAATTATCATGAGACAAGTACTATGTCCTACAACTTCGTAATAACTGGTAGGGTACGGTACTATTAGTTGGTAGCTCAGCCGTTGAATGGTGAACGAATTGGTACTACCGCTTACGTACCTGCAGATAGCGGCTCGAAGCCTGCAGCGTTCAGTTACTTCAGCGCCCCCACTGCAACATTAGCGCTGTCGTTGAGGTCGTAGTCTTCGAGCTTCCATTACTTTCACTGGATGGGACGGATCACGCTTTGCCGGGGAAAATCCTGGAGCCGCCAAGAATACATTTTGGTAGCGGTAGACCCAACGAGCCAACCAATCGTAAATCAAATCCTACCGTCGATCTCTCACTAGCCCTAACCAAGAAAGCCTATGTCACAACATCTATGGTACAGGTATGTAATAGTTTTTAGAATATGCTTTGCTCGCAGGGCTGCCAGGTGTGTTCGCGTGGTTTGAGGGTAGTGGTCGCTTCGACAGTGGCGGAGCAGCTCTGCTTTACATACAACACAACTGGAATTCCATATGTGTGTGTATAGGTAGTTATTATTAGAAGAAAAACCTTTGGGGGTAACACATGTCAAAGAAGAGTACCGAAAATGAAGGCTAGGTACGCGTTGTACAATACGCAAGCACAAACGCCATACAGCAGTCAGCCGTACAGAACCAGTAGTATTTCACAAAGACCGAAAGTGCTGACGTGAGAAATGATCGGTGAATAGGGGAACCAGCCTTTTACTTATGTACCGCACCCTTAGGGCAACACCGTTAAACTAAATAGTACGAATACTGTAGACTGTAGTAGTGCGACATTATCCATTCCTTTATCATTATGTATCCTTAAGGGATACGGCAAACTGCCAGGCTGCTAAGTGTACCTGTAAGATAACGCTGTCATGGAGATCGTGGCGATAATCTAAACCAGTAGGTAAGCGAAGGATTGGGCTGCCGCGAATATAGAGATTTGTTTCTCATGTTTCTTGTTTCGTTTGTTCCCGTCCCTCCGGATAATATTGCTTGGCTTTCTTGGCTTCAAGGTGAGCCCTGTAGCTTACAGGGTTGGCTCGGATACTATTATGTGATTCGTTGGTATGTGATCTCTCGTCTGAAAATCCCTGCTAAATCTGTATTGATTTGTTGAGCTACGCTTCCATTTTTGTTTAATTCTAGATGAGGAATGATGCAAGGTCCCATCGGTGGGCGTAGGTTTCCTCAAGTGCCTACGAAAAGCCTCTAGCCGGATCACCGGCTTTCTCTTCTCCGCGCACACAAAGATGGGCGGAATCCTATCCTTATTATGTTAATGATGATGTTATGACAAAGTACTTGTCGCTTGGTTGTATGGCGGAGTGGTGTACAAAGTAACAAAGTGACACCCTCCAATATCATGGGAAGCAGAGTGATAATGAATATAAAGACATACAGCCTCCCGTCTCAGTACTATCCCCCCGGCTCTTTGTTGCTTTTTTCTACTTGACTTTCTCATTGGACTGTAATCTACGAAGGCGCAAAAGCCCTGTACAATAAGCATATGAATAATCTCCACCGACACTTCTAATTCGAGAACCTGAGCTGCACTGCCATCCTTCTCAGGCTGCGATATAATACAAGAGGCTGAACTACATAATAAACCAAATTTCCGCGTCAACTTCATCAACAAAGCCTTTTCTCAACCTGTTTACCACCATATTCCCAGATACCTATTCCCATAATCCGACAATATGCGTGTATTAAACCTCATCACACTTTCTGCCATCGGCACTTCCAGTGTCTTTGCCCAAAGCAACAATGTCACAGGGGTAAGTCTTCAACACCCGGGACTATTATAGTTGATATCAATGTCGCTAACGTAATATATTAGAAACTAGGTGACGCTCCTGCTACCTCCGGCAACCCCGCTGGAAAAATCGCAATCGCCACTCTCCCTGAAGACGCATTCTGGGGTGGAAGCATAAACGGCAACGTCAGAGGCCATGTTGCTGCCACGTCCGGTGTAGACGGTAACGGCATCGACTACGAAGTCTCCTTCTCGAACCTCCCTACCGAAGGCGGTCCTTTCAGTATGTCCCCCTACACCTAACCCTCCCACACGTATAGCCTCAACTAACCACAACCCAGTCTACCACATCCACGTAGCCCCCGTCCCCTCCGACGGCAACTGCACCAGCACCCTCGCCCATCTCGACCAGACGATCCGCGGCGAAGACCCAGCCTGCGACCCCGCGCGCCCCGCGTCCTGTCAACAGGGCGACCTGAGCGGGAAGTACGGCAAGATCAACGGGTCCGCGCCGTTCGCCGCCAAGTTCCACGACCCGTACACCTCGCTCGTCGAAGGCGACGGCGCGTACTTCGGCAACAGGAGCTTGGTCTTCCACTTTAACAATAAGACACGCATCTCTTGCGCTAACTTCTCTGTCCTCTCGTCGAATACTACGTCCCCTTATCCTACCGGCAGCAGCCCGGCTAAGTCGTCCCCGACGGCTTCGACGATCCCGGTTACGGGTGCTGGTGCTGCGTTGGGTGTTGTGAGGAACTTGGCTTTTGCGCCGGTTGTTGTGGCTTTCTTCGCTTTGCTGTAGGGGGCTGGGTTTAGTCTTTCACTTCCTTCCTCCTAGGTACCTACCTAGTAGTTGTCCCTGGCCGTGACATGTCTCCGGTCTGGGCAAAAGTTGAAAAAGTTCATTGGCTTGGTTCGTTCTTTTGGTCGGCGTTTCGGATGGGGTGATGATGTCCGCTGCTGCCCCTGGAGATTGACGCCTTGATGATATGGATACCTGTATGTACAGGATGGGGATGAGGCTACGGTTGATACTCGCAAAGAGATAGATCTCATGTGGACTTAGGTTGTTTAAGTTTTCATGTATATATTAATTATTAATACTGTGGTATTTATATCATCCCCTCATGACATCGCCAACTATTTGTTTAAGTTCCCACATGGTGTTAGTAAATCTTACCTAGGTATGCTATACCATACTATGCTATGCTCGGTACCAAGTAGGCAAACAAGAGACATAGCAGATCTAGAAAACCATCCATGGGCGAGGGTTGAGTTGGCGCTCTAGATCGTTCGTATGCCTCGGCTTCTGGGACTCAAGATTACGTCACGACGGAGTTGATAATCTTGAGAACGTGTGATCAGCCGAGACACGGTAGCAGGCCGGTGAAGATGGAAGTATGAGACATGGGGCGCGTGACGGTGAGGGCGGGGGAACGAGACAACTGATATTTGTCCGAGCGTTGAGATATCATCGATATCCAGGTATGGTTGACATTTCTGTCTTGAAGCCCAAGTGTTCCGTGCGGCATTTCGGGGTCATGTACGACAGCATGTCGATCTACCAACCGTTGAAATTAGAATGTGATATATGTTAGAAACAGTTGGTTCCACCCTTCTATCACATCAGACCACAATATGTCAGGATACTTGTGTGTGTTGTGGGTTGTGGCGTTCGGATGAAGACTATCCTTTAAACCGTTCACTAGTTAGTATTGATATATCATATTTGACCTTATTTTGGTCGATTCTATTAGGTAGTCGATGTGATATCTACCTAGTAGGTATATAGGTATACTTAGGTAGGTACCTGTAGGCATGTCATTACCTGGTCCTCGAGCACAGAGTCATATTTCTCACATGTTGAGAAGATCAGAATATCAAACAAACAAACTTATATCCTCTCCGATGGACCCTGTAGCACTTGTCTTAGTAAATAAGTTGTCAAATTTCATGAAGAACAAAGTGAAACAAGCCTACAAGGACAAGTGAGAGCCCCGTATTAATTACAATCATAGAGAGCGGGAAAATATCAAATTGAAACAGAATCAGGAACCGATAAATGAATTACCCCGGATTCGGTCCGAGGCGGAGGTATGTCTTTACCATATTTTAGATTGTGGTCATGTTAGACATATCATTTGGTGTGGTGAAGAGAAGTTGATTTAGGTAGATCACTTTTCTCCAGATTTTCTCAGGAAGCCTGAGTCTTATTACACAGCATATGCTTAACTAGGAAAGCCGGTACGAACGATGCAAGAACTACATAAACTCCGAAGAGGATCTTATCTGAAAGTTTCCTCCAGTATATCACTCTTTTCTTTTGGAACTGCGGCTCACCAAGTAGTCCGCGCACTTGGAGTATCAATACCGATATGCATGTTTCAGCCCACCCTCCCACGATTAAGGGTCTGGAATACCAAGTCCCTTGACCTGATCTGAAAGTAAGCTAGCTTGCTCTTATATACGTCGTGCACCACACCTGCAGCAATAGTCAAGTCGGCGCATAAAATACCATACATGAGCAACGCCAAGGAGCTGTCCCCCTGGCATAGGTACGTGACATGTTAAGTTCGTGGTGGTTCCTGTCAGATCTAGGTGGGCTATAGAGCCATTTTATTATAGCCTCTAGGTTGTATTATTGTTGTGATATTGCGAAAGATATACCCACTTTCGTCATATGTCTAAAAACCTCTATGATCTTTCCCCTTAGTATTATTGTTTGGTAAAGTGCCTTGCACCATGTTGATCCCAGGAGGTAGGTAAATATGATACGTCAAGTTCAAGAGTGATACGACATAGGGAGAAAAAAAAGGTACGTACATCTCGATTTTCCTTACAATAGAATGCTTGCCATCGGCTGAGAGTCTCGACGCTAGCATTTCAGCTTGAGGCGCATGTGTATGATACACTGCTATAGAGTCGAAAGTGGCTAAGCGTACTTAGGTAGCACTTCAGGGGGCAACACCTGGTAGCTGGCTACCTGCAAGGCTGAACAATATTGCCCTAAAGCACGTGTCTATGTGCGCGATGGATACATAATATTGCCACGAGGCATGAGTAGGGCGGTGCGGGAGAGAGGGCTGTATGGTTACATGCGAGGATGATCGACGTGTAGTCTCGAAAGTCCTGGAGCAGCTTCTCAACTTCCGATAGGCCTCCAAGTACAGCCGCTTATGGACCACCATGTTCCAAAAATGGACATGATTTATCGGAATGGTCTGTGATAGGCATCGTTCGTCCGATAATGGCAGATCCTCACGCTCACACATGACGTTGTGCCCGCCAAGATTACCTGCGCTTCCCAAGGATACAGATCTAGCACGTACCGAAGTATGCAGCCAGCTCTTCGGGGTCTAACCTCACTCCAGCCGTAGGAGATATTGTTCCACGCGTCCCGGCCGTCAAGAATGCAGGAGATCGGACCCTAATGCAATGCGCGGTGAGAACCAGGGTAAAGCGAATAGGAGGGTAGGCTGCATCTGTCAGGGCGCGGGTGAGGTTTCCAATGGGACATTCCATCGACACGTAGATCTTTTAATATAGATCGGATCTATGCTGCGGGTTGCGGTTATTTCGCCGATGAACATTCGTTTCGAGACTCCGACTGTAGACAGGTAGGATACCTAGGTATTCACTGCCTCATATTACATCTTCTGAGCCGCTAACCCCGAACCTCAGGACCTCGGCAAAAGATAATAAAGCAATAAACCCGATACCTATAAACTGATAAGCTACCTACTTAGTACCTAAGTATGGACCTTTCTTAATGGGAGGCCTAGTTGAATGCGGCGCCGGTTTAGCAGCTGAGAAGCGATGTCAGCAGGGGTAACAATAGCTCAACTCGGGTTACAACTTGGATCCACGATTTAAGGTCCGTGATACATGTGGAATCATAGCGACAAGGCGACGAATCCAACCTAACTACCAGGTAGGTACTAGATACGTTACATGCGTACAAATTCAAACTTTTCTCCTTCTCTTTTTTCCTTGTCATCCGCGTTTCCGAAGATAGTTCAACTATGGGATTGGATGATGTTGAACACGAAAGACGAAAGTACTTACCTCTTTCAAAGCTGAATACGGAGTCAAGATAGGCGCGCCGATTGTTGCTAGAAAGCAAATGCGAGATGTGGTCCATGACTAACAGAAGTTTTCGTTTCATTGCAGCTGGCTCGATGCAACACACCCGCAGCGTAAATCGAGGCTAAGCTTCTGAGTAAACCGAACCTAACTCAGCCACAGATAGCTGGATTTGCCCGAAGTGTCCAGGTGTTGAAGACTAGCAAATCGAAATAGGCTAGAGCAAAGCCCGTGGAATCGGGGAGAGGTGCGTGACCCGACGGGTTTTCCAGTTGAGTATGCGAGTGTTCGGGCTATAGAACGGGTATATGTTCAGTCTCATATTGCGATAGGCGCCAATGGTTCTTATGGTCAAAGCTGGTTCAGCGCGGATCCTGTCAGTTACTGTTATTGGTTTAAAGTAAGGTGTGAATCGAGCCTCGTGGGCAAATATTGTCAAGGGCCTCTGTATTATAGCGCTGTCAAATTGGCGATCCCAGGGGTGTTGCATGACCTGGGAACGGGAAAAGGAGCTTACCTAGTAGGTAATTAAGACCTCGTAGGTACTGTACCTACCAGGTAGGAGGAGAGGGAAATGGGTATTAGTAGATAGGTAGGTAAAATTGAAATAAAAATAAAAAATAAAGATAAAAGAAAATATGATAGTTAACCAGGACCAGGTAAACTCCATTGACTTTAGCGACCACTGGACAACTGAGTTACCACACGTTTCCTTGTTCAACTAGCATCTGTGGTACCCTATGGCTCGTATGCTCGTTAGCTGGTTAGCTGGTTAGCTGGTTAGCTGCTGTAAGCAATGATAGGCAGCTAAAGAAGTAGGAAAAGCAATTAATAACATTTATCTCTTAGCTAGATCCATCGCCTTGGCGGGCTTAGCACTAGGTCCGTCCTCAAGCCGCCTCAATTTCCTACTCTGGACCTTCTGGCGGCCACCCCTACGGCCATTATCCGCCGTCTCGATCTTGATCCGTTAGGGCTCACTACCTACTACATACCTACTACATACTACATAATACATACTATCTCTTTCTCCATCTCCACATCTCCCTTACTACCTTACTACTCTCTGCTACTCGAAGATGGGAATGCAGCAATGTAGGAGTGAGATGTCCAGGGATCTTCTAAAGTCTAGACGCAGAGACTTGCAGAAGTTGTGCCCATATGACGCACACCCTCCTGTACTGGAGGTCGGCGACCACTTTCTCGCAAGCAGCAGGGATCGACTCTCTGAGCACAACCAAGCTACGTACCTTGGATACTCCCTCACGGCATACTGGGGTTTGGGTCGACAGAAAGAGAGAGTTGTCGATGACAGCTGCAGCCAACCCGCCGCGAGTACAACTTCTCGCAGCTCTTGGCCGTAACTTTCGCGGCAAGCCATCCCACCCTTTTCATGGTGATTGGGTTCATAGGCCGTTCAGAGACCGAGGCCGTTGCACTCACCACTCTCCCCGCAACGCTTGCCTGAAAGAGGCGCTCGACCTATCCAAGCACGCAGAGGAGAGCAAAACTTTAGAACGAACGCCAAATAGGATGCCTTCCTACCTGAACCCATGTCTTAGATGACCCTTGCAAGTGGTGTAAGTGGTAATAGTGTCTGCATACTTGCATGCCTTTGCCGCGATCGGTTGACATGCTTATTCCGCCAGAGCCTCCTCGGTAAGTCCTGAGGCCATTTTGGACCTCGTCCGAACTGTTGAAGATTTCACATTACCCATTCCAGTCGAACGGCAATTTTATGGCAGCCTTATCAAGTACGCCATGTCTCCACACGCTGCACAGCGAACCGCACAGGTCTAGCTATCCGTTCCAATCATACGAAGTTCGTTAAACCCCCTTGCATCTGACAACTTGCGCCTCTTATTTCGGCCAAAGTATCTAGGGTCCACTAGCGTACGTCAACCGTCTTCTTCCCCAAAGCTCGTGAAGTAGAAGGGGGGCCCTCTCGAACTATAGATTTTCTCCCTCACTTTTTTTTGCTTGTCCTTACCGGGATAATTCTAGATGTACCTGAGCAACCTACGGGACGTGTAGCGAGCTAATTTTGGACAGGCAATCCGGTACGTATCGCCGTCGTCGCTCCTAAAGAGGAAAGGGTCAGGTGTGTCAGACCAGATCGAGGGTCCAATAGTCTCCGCCAGCTTCCCATCATCAGATGTGCGGCAAGTATCCCTGAGGGAACCGTCCCCAGGTACGATGTATCACTAGATCGCAGTCTCTAGCGTGCGATGTGCTGCGCCTACCGCTTCCCTTATCGACTCGCCAAGCTGTTTGTCCGGTCATCCGCTTGTGCCAGGTTCATGAGTTCAACATGGAGAGACAGCCAATGGACGATACAGAATGACTCTCGCACACCGCGCCACCACCTTGATGCTGACCTTTGTCGACTAGATGATGTAGGGCGGATATCACCCCACGCTACTTCCCCATGTCTTCCGCTACGGGTGCCCTTAGTGGCGGGAGAGAACGAGGTTGATGGAGGTGGAGGTGGAGGTGGAGGGGTTGGTCGTGGTCGAGTATAAGATCCCTTCGTCTGGACCTGACTCGGGACGATGACCTTTCAGAAAGAACGATACAAGAGCTAGCATAGACCCTACTCGCTACCTATTAGAGTAGGAAGTCAGATTCGAAGCAAGTCGTCTTATCTTCTAGTACAAGTTTAAGTCAACTCTTTCGAACTTTGAGGAAACTTGGTCCATTACTCGTACCTACCTCTCTACATACCTACCCCTACCCCTACCCCTACCTCCCAACATATATATACCAACAATGCCTCTCCTTACCATGACGAAAGGGTACAACAGTGACGTAGAAGCTCTGCGTCAAAAAGAGTACCCCCATATGAACGATGGTATGTTCTCCGCCCAACTTTTTGAGTGCTGCAGCTAAACCATGATCAGGGGTCTATTTAGACCACAGCGGAGCCACTATATATGCGAAATCTACCGTTGATTCATTTTGCGCCAAGATGGTCACCAACCTGTACGGAAATCCACACTCGGAGAATTTTCCGGCCAAACTTTCCGGGGATGTCGTTGATCAGGTGCGGGAGAAGACGCTCAACTTCTTCGGTGCAGATCCCGAACACTTTGACTTGATTTTCGTAGCAAACGCTACTGCGGCTATCAAACTTGTTGCAGACTCTTTTAGAGACTTGTCTGAGAAAACAAGTGATCGGAGGTTCTGGTACGGCTACCACAAAGATGCGCATACGAGCATTGTGGGAGTTAGGGAGTTGACATATGGGCAATCTTACTGCTTCCGAGGTGATCAGGAAGTAGAAAGATGGCTGCGTTCCCCTGAGTCGAGTTTTGTCAACTGTTACCATCCCGGCGGTTTGGGGCTCTTCGCCTACCCTGGGCAGTCCAACATGTCCGGCAGAAGACTACCACTGTCGTGGCCCGGAATTCTGCGACAGTCAGAATACTTACAGAACACCTATACCCTCCTTGACGCTGCCGCGTTAGCAATGACATATCCCATGGAAACTATTTTCCGCGATGTGGACCGCGCACCGGACTTCACCTGCTTGTCCCTATACAAAATCTTCGGATTTCCAGATATCGGGGCGTTAATTGTTCGAAAAGAATCAGGGCACATTCTTACTCTCCGGAAGTATTTCGGCGGAGGAACTGTGTCCATGGTTGCGACGTTTGGCGAGAATTGGCATCGATCAAAGGGTCTACAAGCACCTACTTATAAGCTTCATGAAGGTCTCGAAGACGGAACTCTCCCATTCCATAACATTCTCGCTCTTGGAGAAGCTATCGATGTTCACAAGAAGCTGTATGGGTCAATGAGCAGGATCTCCGATCACACGTCCTACCTCATCTCTAGACTGTGTCGAGGTATGGCTACTATGCGCCACTCCAACGGACGACCGCTTTGCCGAATCTACAACGAAAATAATAATTTCGATGACCCAACAAAGCAAGGCTCTGCCATTGCGTTCAATATATTGAGAGCAAATGGACAGCATGTACCTTACTCTGACGTCGAACGTTCGGCCAATTCTGCAGGCATATATATAAGATCAGGAGGTAAGGGTGACTCGACTTATTAATTGCCAGCCACGGCGCCGCCGTTATATTGGCTTTACTAATTTCTTTCAGGGGTCTGTAATCCCGGCGGCATCTTCACGGCGCTTGGCTATGAGCCGTGGATGACCGAACGTGCCCTATCTGCCGGTCACCATTGTGGCTCACATGGTATAAGCATCATCCACAGGCTTCCCACAGGGTGCGTCACAACTAACGTCTCGTCTTACCCTACCACTTCGAAATTAGAAGACCCCCTTGCATGATATATATACTGATACGCCGATGTCGCACAGAATTGTTCGAGCCAGCTTGGGGGCCATGTCAACTAAGCAGGATGTCGATACGTTCCTGGACTTCCTACGTACGACGTTTCTTGAGGACGATGAGGAGTGGCCAACTCCGACCCGAGCGGCCGTCCTGTCTCCACGTTCCGAGGCCCTTGCCTTCGACCTCCCCGTTGATTATACGACGAGTAACTTCCCCGATGTGCGGGAGGTCCCGCGCCCGCGCCCCATGCCCCATCATTTCTCATCGGCCCCCGAAGCTACTCCTAGGGTTACTCCCTTTGCGATGAATGACCTAATCAATGGAATCAGTGGTCTTGCCGCTGTCAAGTAAAACATTAAGGATTATGACTAGCAACAATGGTTTCCTAAAATGTGTTCTGTTTGCTCCATTAGTGTTCCGATGTCTGCTCTGCTCATGTATGATCAGTGTATGATCAAGTCAGGAGGTTGCAGAGCAACACACACACACGCTCATTCATTCAAAAAGGAGGGAGCGGTATCACACATGTAATACTTTAAGGCAAATTGGATCTCTTCCTCCCTTGTCTGGCATTGGAGTTGGTTTTCTTATTATAGCTATAACGGGTGTACACACCATTCTGACAGTATCCGGATAATAAAAGAAACGTGTATTGTAGGCAACATTAGGTATTAATAAGAAGTTTGCCGTTGGCTTCCTTTAAATTCAATCATCATATGTCCAACCCTCGTGCTCCCAGCATACTACGGTAACACCGTGGCCGATGCCACTGTATTTCCGACTTTCAACTACGGGATATTGATAATAAAGCCACGGGTTTAATTCATCCCACTCTAGCAATTACGGAAGACCTATCCCGGTAGGTATTACCTACAGACAGGTATGCTGCAAATATCACCGTTCCCCCATTGGTACTAGGGGTATATAGAGACCCTGGTTATATAAACATGCTGTGGCGCATATTATGTCAGATCTTAAGCCATCCATCCCGAAGCTCCAATAGCTTTGCCGCGACGCTACTCGTTTCCGCCCTGGCGGCGCGGCGCGGTGCAGCACATTGCAATCAATAAGCGCACCCCGCGTAGGTAACGGTAAACAGGCCTTGCTCTGTACCTAGATAGGTTGGTGTAGGTACCTAATATATACGAGGTCCACTCCCTGTCCTGTCGTGTCGTGCAAGCGGTATGTATGTAATCATCCGCCCGCGGAGGATGCTAGTGCATAACGTGACGTACAGCGCAGGTCGACCTTAAATAGCGAGCACGAAGCGCAGAAATGCGAGGTGACCTTTTCTGTCGTGACACGCCTCCGGAGCTAAATCAAACTCTTGGCCCCTTTTTTGTCAAACCAAACAACTTGCTAAATCCAGCCTTCGATGGTAACTCATTGACAGTGATCTACGGAACCTAGGGTAGCATCGACAGCCTACTTTAGGGAATGCGGCTGGTGGGAAGCATCAAACTATGAGGCGCAAGGTAGCAATGTGAGAGCCGTGCGCTTCCAATGTTTCTTATTCGGTCGTGCATCATTTTATTCGACCAGTTGTTCGAACATCAACTTACCCTTCGCTGCCTTTCCTCCCCTGGAGATGGAATAGGCGGCAGTGTCCTCGATATTGAACTCTACCTACCCTATCCTAGCGTTCCGTGGCTGCTTAACTTACGAATCTTGCCAGCACCGCCTTAGGACAGCCAAGAATTTCGCGGCAATCCTGCTAATTTCTGTGCTACGAAGGCGCAATCATAAAAAGTGTCAGCCTTGTAGGACAACTAACTCTATGGTGTGTAGTCGGAACCGGGTCACCGGAGGTTGGCCCTTCGAGATGGGATGCCACGACAGTCGAAAGTACAGTAATCAGATGACGACACCCCTCATTTTGATTCGAATCTGGCTTGGCCCAGAATGCACGATATGTCGCAATATTGGGCGGGACCGTATAATGCTAGGTTATGGTCGTACCACAACGACGAGAGCGACGGTAGAAGCGGCAGTTACTATGCATACATGGTTCTCGAGCATCTGTTCTGGATATAATCCATTATACGAATTTCCTCCTCAGCCTATTCGCACCACTTTATGCTCTTTGATCCTCCAGACTTCTTTTCCCCCCTGCAACTCGCGGCTAATCTTTCTTGTTTAGGGGCTTGGTGTCGATAGCTTCAAGGACGTTCCTGAGCACTTGATTCATCCAATACTGCGATCACAGCCGGATCATATAGCGGCGCCGTCATGAACTCCAAGAAGATAGTCCTTACGATTTTCATCACCTCGCATGATGTTACAGCCACGTAGCACAGACGAAATATAACTCCGTTACCTCGATCCGCACATGCAGTCTTCGCAAGGCAGACCTGATAATTTCAGGAACTGCTCGGGATCTGCCTCCGGAAAGATCACACGACTTGCCGAACTTGAAGATATTGATGGGCTGTGACAAGTCGCGACGATACGACTATCTCGCGCCTAGATACGAACCTATGATGAAAGACCCCTCTCCTGTAATATTGACATCACCGCTGTTCGACTGCCTCCTACTAGGGAATCGGTACGGAAGGTACTAGGTATACGCTTAAGAAGAGTAAAGAAAACGATGTCTAATATTCCCTTGATAGCCTTGTTACTTGGATATGATTAATACCTGGCCACAATTGTTCATTTTCGTTAAGTCGTAACCTTGGAAGGCATCTTATTGAAATTACCTCGATTAGGGTCTTCATATCCTATTTCAATATATATTCACGAATATGGAAGCCCAATCAATCCTACTTAAGAGGTCGGCGTCGAGTTTGCTCATATCCCAATACTGTCTCCACCGCAGCCAGAATAGGAGTCCCACCTACAACTTCAACCATAAAGGTTCGAACATTCAAGAGATTGGTTATTAAAACTTAATTCTAGCCAACACCTGCTGTCGGTGTAAGTATTATAGCCATGATAGCCTGCTAATAAATTAACTTCCAAGGTTGATTTTATATTGTACTTAGTACCTAGTCAGGTAGGATGTAGCTTGCCACTCCCCAACCAAACAACTACGCCCATCTTCACTCGAAATCTGTTGCTCTTATGTTAGTCGCATACCTGTACATTACTTAAACAATATGATTGAATTCCAAATAGCCAGCACTCCTCTCGTAGGTCTTCGAATCCATTTGTGATCTAATGTCAACTTCATATGCCTTCATCCGATAAAGGAAATCCAAGGTTTGGATAGGAGAAACTTCAACACCCAATCGAATCCCTTCTATTAACTACCCAAGGAAAGCTCCTTTAGATGTTAGCCATAGTGAAGTCTAAGAATGTGAATTAATTAGCTAGGTACCTAGGTAGGTAGGAGGTAGGGATTCGCCAATGCTAGTATGCGATAGATGATTATCATACGTACCTACTTTGCTTTTGAAGATTCAGGGGCTCGTCTCCTATGTTTGCCTACCCCACATAAGAGGAGCCTCCAATTGAATCATCGTGGGTACCTAGCCACCAGCCCTAGATATTCCTCGTTCTTATCACTTAATGCTTAGATATATGACAAAGAACAATGGTATCTGCGATCCTTATAGCTCAGGGGTAGGGCATATCTCCCCTGATGTTAAGCTTTCTGTGGGCTAAGGATTGATGTCGTCGCTTATGCCTAGAGGTTACTACCTAGATACCAGCTAAGTTATATTACTTACAGTTAAGCCTCTTTTCCATCTCATATATTATTTTAAGGTTGTATTAGTTCATAGTATTGTGGAACCTCTCTAAACGTTGCTCATATAGGTTTTTTGAGGCTTAATCTTCATATACCGGGTCGCTATAGCGAGATCAGAGGAAGATGGTCAATCAATGCCTAATCTTTAGTAGTTCGAAACATTGTGTTTCCCCTTGTGAAGGCCTAGAACACAGATCGACTATTCCTAGCTGGCTCAACTATTCACTAGTGATGCCTTATGTGCGCCATGCAGAGAATCGTAATCATATCCCCGCTACTGACACGTATGTCCCACGATATACCGTAGTCAGATGCCGGCATCGTATATCTCAAGATCAGACCTCATCCTAAGGGATACCTACCTATCTTGGCAGTAAGACTCGAGTTAGTGATCTCTATAAGCAGAGCTAACATCAGCTGAATGCGTACTAAAAGCAGGAACATAGGGGTAAGACCTGCATCTATTAACTATCTACCTACCTAGTACTCGACCTAGCTCGTGTGTAGTAGCGTAAGTAAGCAGGTAAGTATACTAAACTTAAGCAACTTGAGTATTCAACAGTTCTAGTTGTCTTTTAAGACTGTTTCAAGATATGCATAGTAGTGCTATCCGGCGGCCCAGCCAATGGGAATTACAGAATATGAGACTCATCTGAACAAGGTGTTTATACCTACATACATACCAACATACTATGTGCAGTAGATGTTGATGTATGCCATATAGATCATGTAGGCTTGATCTCAGCGGTGCTTACTCGGGGGGGTAAGGATAATCCCATAAGAAGCTCACAACGATTACCTAGTCTGTGCAAGGGGAAGTGGGGAGCTTATAGAACTCGATAGCGCACTAATCTTAGGAGGCGAGATGAAACTGAGACTTCTAACGCGCCATGGAATAAGTGGCACGGAGTTTTGGGGACGATCGCTTCCAACCGTGATATACTTCAGCGGTAAAAGAAAAAGCAAGAACAAAGCCGCCCGTGTCATTCGCCACGCCACGTAGTCCACGCAGAGCAGTGGGGGTGCAGTGTGGGCTAGCCCTCTGTTGATAGGTACCAGGTAATCATCATTAACTGATATCGTGAAAGTGTTCTCACGTTGTACTACATCCATAACACATTCCAAATAACGTCCTGTCCTGTCTGAACGATATCGTATGTACATAATGTTGGATTTCGGACTAGCTCAGATATGGGATAGGCCACCCAACTTGAATAGCATCTATGATGGTAAGATGCCGTTAATCATGTTAAGTGTACAAGACACTCGACTTATTCTATAAGACAGTACCTACCTACAACTTTGCACGTGGCTAAAACTATTATCTCCAGAATCCAGCACATGGCATGTTGTACAAGCTAAGCTAACTTCAACGTTCTAAATGGTATTTACTATACTAACGTAATTAGAAAGCGACTAGGCTCTTCGATTGCTGAGTACCTACCTACCTACCTACCTACCTGGGTACGTAAGTTGCGGCTCCTTCGGCTGGTTCCTAGTTTCACGGAGCCGTTAACAAACCCCATGAAGCTAGCTGATATATTCTGAGACAGTGGAACTAAAGACTTGCGTGGAGAGGCGCTCTCTGTCGCACACTCTCGGGGTCATAGGCTTCTTAGTCGACGCAAAAGCAAGCCACCCGGATTAACTGGGGGTCCATTCAAAATCGACTGCTTGTACTAGTGAAATAGGTACGCGAAAATATCACACCGGTATAGACGAGACTACATTCGGTGAGGTTATGATGTACGTAGGCAGGTAGGTAGACACGCATTGCGGTGAGCTGGTCGAGATAGTTCCTTTATCGAGACTGTGTAAATCCGTTACCCAGTGGCACCGAGATCTTCGCCATGTCAATATCCTATTGGCCTGATTAGCCTCGGTTTGTGCTAAGATTTTGGATTAGAAATTATGTGCTTGATCCTAGTACTAGCCTTGGGCGCTAATAAGTTTATGCACAGCTCATGCTTCACTAGTAGACGCTGTTATATCATTTCTCCTGTCACAGCTATCGACTT